GTTAAAGCAAATTCAAGGCTAAGTCATTCATGCAAAGCTCAAACAGTTGTAAGTGGACTCACATCGGCCAGCCGGATCATTAATTACTGTTTATCAGGGCGGGGACAGATGAAAATTCCAAGGAGCTTGACGTCGCGATTTCATCAGCCACCTGTCTCAAGATTGTAGGTTTCCTCCAAGAGGAATTTTCCCATACACATAATAAATTTAAAATAAATTGAAAATCAAGTCCTTTGACTGAATAAGCCACTACCCTTTGCAGATGGCTTTATTGAAGCATTATGAATGTCAACGTCTTTTATGCATATACATAAGCCTTCATTGGTGAGTTCACTAGATTTGTTTAGCAAATCGCCAAATGTCACGTGCCCATTTTTTGGCTCTTTTTTTTTCGCCACAGGGATTGAACTCGCCGATTCGGGCCATAAAAATGAATCATTGAAATAATATGACTCTTTCATCTGAAAATTTTCTCATTTATTCATTCCCAATCACAAACTCCAAGTCAATATGAGTAGATCAGTTAATGTTGCCATCATTGGTTCCGGTGTTGTCGGTTCCGCATTCATCAATCAATTGAACAATTTAAAATCCAAAATCGTATACAACGTCGTCTATTTAGCTAAGAATACTGAAGAAGCAATTTTTTCTCCAGACTACTCAACAGTGGACTTATCAACTTATGCCACTACTTCTACTGGCAAGCCATTATCACTTGACGATTTAGTCAAATACCTCAAGGCTAGTGGCAAGCCAACTATCCTTGTTGATAATACATCCAGCGCAGCAATTGGGAGCCACTATCCTGAATTTATCAGAAACGGAATCTCAATCGCCACACCCAACAAGAAGGCCTTCTCATCTGACTTGGCTCAATGGAAGGACATTTTCACTAGCGAAGAACAACCAGGTGCCGGTTTAGTATACCATGAAGCTACTGTTGGTGCCGCCTTACCAATTCTTGGACCATTACGTGATTTAATACACACTGGTGATCGTGTATTAAAGATTGAAGGAATCTTTTCTGGTACTTTATCTTATATCTTCAATGAATTTTCCAGTTCTTCCCCATCCGATGTTAAATTCTCCGATGTTGTCAAAGTGGCAAAACAATTGGGATATACCGAACCTGATCCTCGTGACGACTTGAACGGGTTAGATGTTGCAAGAAAAGTCACTATCCTTGCTAGAATCGCGGGCTTTGAAGTTGCATCCCCTTCTTCATTCCCGGTTCACTCTTTGATTCCAAAGGAGTTAGAAGGAGTACAAAGCGTAGCTGAATTCATGGAAAAGTTACCTAACTACGATGGTGATATTCAAAAAGTCAAGGATGAAGCCTTAGCTGAAGGTAAAGTATTGAGATTTGTTGGAAAGGTTGATTTTGAAACTAACCAAGTATCGGTTGGTATTGAGAAATATGGCTTCGACCATCCATTTGCATCCTTGAAGGGTAGTGATAATGTTGTTTCTATCAAGACTGATAGATATGCTAATCCATTAATTATCCAAGGTGCCGGTGCTGGTGCTGAAATCACTGCTCATGGTGTTTTATCTGACGCAGTTAAGATTGCTGAAAGAATTGCTGTTTAATTACTTTTACACATTGACATTTTTAGTATGTACAAGATCTGTATTTAGAAAATCTATAATTTTTTACGTAATTCGTGAGAAAGATTCTTCTCTCCAAGTATCTTTAGCTTCCATAAACACTTCTTCTAAAAATTCTGCATTCTGACAAGCATCTCTGAATTGTAACATAACCTTCTGAGAATCCAAATTAATGATCTTGGAATTACTTTCGTAATCAGTCATTGCACTTATGCTGGAGTTCATTCTTGTGACATGGATATTGTTTGGAGCTAAGAAGAAATCACCATTGCTTCTTAATTCAACAATATATGCTCCTGTTTTATGTATAAATTGTGCATATTTAAATTTTGGCTTTCCCCAACTGTATGAAATATCAATATCTTCATGCAGGAAGAATGATGTAGATCGATTGTCCAACAAAAATCCCAATTTCTTCAATAAGAACAAATGATAATAATACTTATTTGAAGACAAAATCTTCTCACTGATCAACTTTTCGTGATGCCAAGGGTTTAGTATTAACTTAACTTCTACAAACGAATGGAAGGGACTTATCATAGGCAAAGAACATAATTCTCTCCAAGGCGTCTCGACTAATTTCAACCCATGTCGTTCACATAATCTTGTCCATGAGGTAATTGTATCCTCAATAAATTTAGTCGTTGTATTCAACCATTGTAATCTAATATGATAACAATGTTCAGGATTATGTATTCGATCATAATGAACAGTCACTAATTCTGGTCGGAAAGATTTCTTTAAAGGATCAACATCGAATTTAATTGCTCGACTTAGAACAAATTTCTTAATCTTTCTCGAATCAACCATAGAAGAATTCTCCGAATCAAGTGCAAGTGAAGTAATCCTAGTTAATTCCTGAAGACCTTCAACATAGGGAGATTTCGAAGACTCAGAATCGGACTTACTGCTAAGCTTAGGGGTCGCACTTCCATCCACCGTAGACGATCTTTTTCTTCCAAACCACAATGATCTCGACTGTTTGTTCGATTTGTCAAAATACTCATCTTCAAACCTATAGAAATAATAACCATCCAAGAGTCCATGTCTTGATTCAACATGTCTAAACAACCCCATATCCTTCAAATGTTGTCCATAATTGGTCGCTTCTTCTCGAGTTTCAATATCTTCAAAACATTCAACTAACCAACTGACTAATTCACTACCAATGAAGCAATCCAAATGACGTTTGAAATGCCAAGTTCTATCAACTAATTTCAATCCTGTTGGTCCCTGTAACTCCTTGGCCAAATCTGCAAGTTTTATAGATTTGTTAAAACGCATATGTTCAGGCACCATTAATGGAGGTTGCGTACCAGTTAGATCATAATTATTACATTCTTCTTTTAGGAAATCATATAAATTTCCAGTATAGAATACAATATCAGACAATGATTGTTGTGTTGACCTTCCAGGACTTGCTGTTTTTTTATATTTTCCTCTCTCAATGACATTGATTAATTTACGCAATCCTTCCACTCGAATTTCTTCTGGAGTAAGACTTTCATTATTGATATAATATGCGTTTTTGGGAATATCAGTTGGCATAACCACAAACTTCATCCTATGGAATTCTTTCTTTTCTTCTGGCATCGCATCGTCAAATCCAGCTAATAATTGATCAAACTGGTTCCAATTATATTTCTGCGGTTGCACAGCTATGGAGTCGACTTTTGCTTGAGTGTATTCGTCTGCATATCTGGTTCTAATCAACGGGAAATATGGTTTAATTTTCTGTCCCTTTTGTCCTAATGTAATTTTCTTAGCGTCATTTTCATCATGCTTGATTGCCTTTCTATATAATTGAACATTTAAATTCCCATTATAATCACAATAAATCCTATGAATTTCATCATCTAAAAGCATATAAATCCTCGCTCCAAGTGAATCACTTTCATGAACAGGGAAATATTTGATTATACTCTCGATATTTCCAGCTGGTTTCCGTTCCATTTCGGCGCGGTTTACACGATCTCCCCAACATATTTGAAATCCTAACATTAATCTCAATTGAATCATTTCTCGCATTAACTCATGAGTCGTTTTTAATTCTAAATAATTCTCGTAGTTTAAGTATACATTATAAATCTGGAATGTATATTCCGTTTCAAGTTGGTTCGGAGTTGGGAAAATCCCAGTCGCGATAGGTAATGCGGCTGGAGCTTGGAATGATCTCCATTTGATTAATTTCCGTTCTACTTTTGAGGGGAAGACATTACTCCATCGACTTATTTGAGATCTAAGTAACAGATTATTTCTCAATTCTTGAGAAGGATTGGATATTTCTGTCCAGAATAAATTAGCTATATTCTCTAATTCTTGGTCTATCACAGTAATTGATCTTGCTCGTTTTTGAAGCAGCAGCTTTGACCGAGATTTCTTTTTAGAAACCTTGTCACCTTCCCCCACTTGCGGGCCCAATGACTGTCTCAATCTATCTGGGTCCGATCTATTAAACAAACTCTCACCTTTGATTATTCGGGGTGATTGGGCATCCTTTCTATAACTATCAAGTGTACGAATTGTTGACGACATAGGAGTGATACTTCGAATAGATTGAGAACTAGTTGCTGTTAGACTTTTGACATCATCAGTGTTCTTATTCAAACTGTATAATTTTGAGAGGGCTGATGTTTCACTGTCTGGACGCGCAACAGTTCCCACGGCAGACGAAACTGTAGTTGAACTATCTGATAGTTTTATAACAGGACGTTGATAAAGTAAGGAAAGAGGAGCAGTTGAGGAAGTTGGCTTGACCACGTCTTCTCCAATTTGCTTTTGCTTAGGTTTCATATCCTTGAATTCGATATTTTCCTTTTCCTTCTTATCGTTCTTCTTTGATATTGGCTTGAAAATATCCTCATCATAATCATCCATCACATCCAATAAAGCTTTCTCCTTCCCCTGAATATGAAACCGAGGAATCCTAGCATCATTAACTTCATTCTCCATAACTCCCATCATTTGCAATTCATAGATTTTGCACCTTGGAATCCATTGAGTAGCTCCTTCAGTTTTATCTCTATAAAACGAAATGTCACACCAACTAGGCACACAATGACATACGTCACTACCTACAAGATACCGGAATAATGGAGTGACATGTAATGGAGGCTGGCTTAGACAGATGATATCTAAACTTGAATCAATACTTGTTATTTTCTTACTTGTTTCCAACATTAAATCATAATCAACATCAAATAATCCAGTACCAGGTGTTATCAACATAAAATGGTTCAAGGAATGTTTAAGATCAGTATTTCTAAATCTATCAGTCAACAACGTTAAACCAACATTAATTGCTTCCAATATATTTCCTTTCACTGATGGAAATATAGTGCCATCCATTACATATAATGTATTGTCATCATTATCTGTAGTTTGGTGAAGCATTATATCTCGTTTGAAATTCGCAAATTCTAATCTTAAGTTTGCCATAATTCTATCCCAATATTGTATACTAACTTGGTCTACTACCACCCGGTAATAATCACGTCGATTGGGTGGCCTTTCCCCTTGTAATAACGATGTCCACGGTATATCCGTTAAATCCACACTTGTGAATAACACAATAGTAATTGAATGATGGGTATTTTTATCTCTCCATCGACGAAATATTTCAGGAAATAGATTATTTACAAGCTTATGAAACATTATCTCACCATTTTCTTCAAAATTCCACATTTCTGTAGATAGTTGAATCAAAACGGTTAATTTTGCACTTTCGGATCTGAAAATGATTTTAGTATCTTGATTGATATACCCTGAAAATAATTTCTTACCATTCTTGTACATGTATTTGATTATTCCAGTACGACTGTTTAAATATGATAATCTTTGCTCAATATAACCACAAGTCCCTACCAATTCAGAAGAAAAATTCCACATTTCATGTCTTGCTAAATTTACATCTTTGATAAATATCTCAACTAAATCGACAACCACATTTTCTATTTTAGTAATCTTTTTCAATTGAACTAGACTTCTGGGTGGTAAATCAAGTAATTTCTGTAATGGGTTTGATATTAATGAAATTTGAAATTTCGATTTTGGTCCAGGCCCAGAACTGGTTGCTCCTTCATCGGTAACTGTTTCATTGCTTGATTCATCCAATTGCTCTCTCAAATTACGTTCATTAACTACAAATATCAATTTCTTAGAATCTTTCTTCTTTAGTCTGTCTTGTAACTCAAATACTTGTCCAACTTGAACACCACCAGGAAATGCATTTGAATCAATTATGATATCTTCAGTAGATGTTTGTAGATCATGAAACCATACGGTCACCTGTATTGGGTTCTTAATTTCATTTTCATTCGGTTGTTGGACGCTGACCTTAGAATTCAATTCATTTATTTTTGGTCTTGATTGTTGTCGTGTTGCATTTATAGAAGCGGAATCTAAATCGTGATTATTTCTTCGACTTACAGTTATAGTGCTACCAATATTTCTGTTGATATAATGTGATGATGGTCGAATTGATGATATGGATGATACAGTCCCTGATGGTGACATTCCCGCTGCTCCAATAGTCAAGCTGGCATGATTGGCAGTCATTTGCCTGTGGGATATTCTGGATGATGTTGGATAGTAGGCATTTCTATTTCTATTGGTGGAGTTTAACATGGGTGCATTACTATTTGTCATGAAGGATCGATGATGGTATTATGATAGATTGATTAATAGCAACAACTCAATTCAATTGATGGGATTCGGATGCTTCTGCTGTTGATACTGTGAGAGTCAAATGGACTTTGAAAATTGGTTGTAAAAAAAAACTATGGCAGAAGAAAAATCGTTTTGTCTTTTTTTCTTCTGGATTGTTTTGTTGATCTCCACAAAACAGGGCTCACAATCAATGATGTCATTATTCCATTAACGACTCTTGATGCTGGCAAATTATACCAAAACGAGACAAAAGCAGTCAAAGTTTCAAGAATTCTCAACAGCGAGCTTTTGTTCGAGTTAATAAAGGTTTATACATCCCTTCTTATTTTGGAAACCAGAAACTACGATACAAGAAAAGTATGTCAGACTAGAGACAATTATTACAATCTATAATTAATCAATTAAATCTATAAAATTCTTACTACCGAATGTATATCCATTTATGTAGTGGCTACGTTCTTCAAAACAAATTCATCGAGGAACCATTTATGAAATCTATAATCATCAGCCAATTCTGGATGGAAAGAAGTACCCAAGACATTTCCTTGTCTAACAGCAACTATTAAATCATGGTTATGATGATCAACATTCTTCAAACTATACAAAACCTCAACTGGCGCAGTATTATTATAAGTATTCAACGAGCGTATAATTTCAGGTGGAGATAATGAACGTTTTGCTTCTTCTTGTTTAGATGTGTCACTATCAGATACTGATAATATTTTAGTAACAACTGGAGCTCGAATGAAGACAGTTTGGAAATCGGTACAATTTGGAATAAATGAACTGAAATCAAGATGAGTTGAAAATGAATCCAATTGTCTACCAAATGCATTTCTAGTAACTTGAATATTCAAAGCTCCTAATATTTTTTGATGCATTTTACCATTCTTTAATTCTTTAGCTAGAAAGATTAATCCTGCACAAGTTCCCCATAATGGTTTACCAGAGGATACAAAATCATATAATGGTTCTAATAAATGAGTTCTAATGGCTATCCAAGACATAGTAGTACTTTCACCTCCTGGTATGACTAATGAATCACATCTTTCAAGGTCATCTTTAGTTCTAATTTCGGTAATTTCAATATTGTATTCGTTATATTCATCTTGATTTGTTTCAAGTATCTTATTGAAGTATTCAATATGTTCTTGAAAAGCACCTTGTAAAGCCAATACCCCCAATATTATAGTCTTAGATGTAGTCATTCTGCGTTAAGCTGTATATATTTACAGTATAAAATCAATGGCAAGTATATTTAGAGTTATAGATTTAAGCCTGAAATGATTTAGAAAATGGAACTTTTCAAAACTTTAAATCTAAAATTATTTTGCTTGATGACATTTGTAAGATAAACATCAAGAAAGAAAGACCGTTTAAGAATAATTTTTTTGTAAAGAAATTAAGAGCGAAGAAAAGAAAAGCCGAATAAAAGATGTTAAAAAAGGAATTTGACTCTGTTTTAAAACAATAGCAAGAAAAAAGTTGTGGAGAAAATATCTTCGAATTCTTGTACCTAAGTTTCCCAATCTATGAGTAAATTATTTATTATACCTCTCCAGACCTGATTAATATACTTCATACTAATAGTATAGCTTCATGATCCAGTTTGACACATGTCAAACCATCTTTCATATCTCCATTTGACTCCTGCAAGATTATGTACAGTGTGTAATTATAGGGGACCAAAAAAATAGAACATTTTCACAGGGCTTAGAAAGAAATTGAATACACAAAATGTTTCCCCATATAAGCGCATAATCCCTTTAAGAGCATACGCATTTAAAGCGAATTGAAGAAGTCAAAACTCGTTATAAAATATGAAAGAATGAAAGAAAAGTGGGGGGATCGTAATTATTTTTATTACTCATCAATTCTCTCAAGCGTAATTGAAAAGACTCATATTGTTTCCCAAATGTTCATCGAAGTTTACTAACGATTTTTTCAATGTCGAGATCTATTGATTATAAATTTTTCAGTTGATCCTCGAAAACTTTTTTAAAATTTTTTTTTCAATCCCTTTTTCTTTTTACTTTTAATAATTTTTCAATTCAATTGATATTATACCAAAAACATCAATATATACCTAAAACTCCCTATTACAATGACTGATTTCAAGATTAAAGCTGGTTTAGCTCAAATGCTCAAAGGTGGTGTTATTATGGACGTTGTCACTGCTGAACAAGCCAAAATTGCTGAAAGAGCCGGTGCATGTGCTGTCATGGCTTTAGAAAAGATTCCTGCTGATATGAGAAAATCTGGTCAAGTTTGTAGAATGTCAGATCCAAAAATGATTAAAGAAATTATGGAAGCTGTTTCAATTCCTGTTATGGCTAAATGTCGTATTGGTCATACTGGTGAAGCTCAAATCTTGCAAGCTTTAGGTGTTGATTTTATTGATGAAAGTGAAGTTTTAACTCCTGCTGATAAACAATACCATTTGAAAAAATCTGATTTCAATGTTCCTGTATTATGTGGTGCTAAGAACTTAGGTGAAGCCTTAAGAAGAATCAATGAAGGTTCAGCTATGATCAGAACTAAAGGTGAAGCAGGTACCGGTGATGTTTCAGAAGCTGTTAAACATATCACTATCATCAAAAAAGAAATTGAAGATGCTGCTAAATTAGAATCTGAAATTGAAATTGAAAACCTTGCTAAAGAATATAGAGTTCCTGTTGAATTATTAAAACAAGTAATTGCTGCTAAAAAATTACCAGTTGTTAATTTCGCTGCTGGTGGTGTTGCCACTCCAGCTGATGCTGCTTTATTAATGCAATTGGGTTGTGAAGGTATCTTTGTTGGTTCTGGTATTTTCAAATCTAAGAACCCAGAAAAGTTAGCTAGAGCAATTGTTAATGCCACTACTCACTACAATGACCCTGTCAAGTTATTAGAATATTCCACTGATTTAGGTGAATTAATGGGTGGTGTTGCCATCAATACCATTAAAGATAACGAAAGATTATCCGAAAGAGGATGGTAGAGTCTGTATATAAATTTGACGCTTTACGTAATTAATGTTTTTATAGTCTAATAATAGATGTCATTGTAATTAATTCAATACTCTGGTGTAGATAGGGGTCTAGATCAGATAAATCCGAAATCTCTTTCCTAATTAGGAAATGTATTGCGTGCTCTTGTCTGAACTTTGTCTTAACTACCAGGTCAGATAACTGATGATCCAAATTCTTTTAACTTCAGCTTACATACAAACGAAGACCGTAAATTACAAAATAAGTGAATATATTGCTATAAAGTTTCACAATGAGCAAACACTAACTTAAAGAAAATTAACTCTAACAGCAGAAAATCATTACTACGTTGAACTTAACGTTGTCCATACGCTTTAGTGGCATAGTCACCATTAATAACAATAATATCATGTGGACGGTAATTGTAAGTCTTATTGAAATATTCTACCAAAATATTCTCAACACCCTTGGCATATCTTTCTTGAGCATCCAAAGAAGTTCCTGAAACATGAGGAGTCATAGCATTACCTCCACCGTATGGATTTCTCATAGTGACCCAAGGATGATTCTTTGGAGGTGGTTGTGGATACCACACATCCCCACCATATCCACCCAAATGACCTGAATTAACAGCATCTGCAACATCTTGTTCAACACAAATGGCCCCTCTGGCGGTGTTGACTAAATAAGAACCAGGCTTCATTTTGGAAATGAGCTCTTTATTGAATAATCCCCTCGAGGAATCGTGTAATGGACAATTAATAGTAACGATATCGGATTGAGCAACCATATCTTCCAATTTCTCAACTCTTTCAATAATATTATCAACACCATTGAATAACTTAGATGCTGCATTAAGTTTTTCAACAGCTGCTGGAGGTAATTCTTGATAATCAAAATATAATAATTTCTTTGGATTGAAAGCAATCATTCTTTCTAAAATACGATACCCAATTCTACCTGCACCAACAGTAGCAACCACTTTCCCCTCTAAATCGTATTCATGTTTAGCAACACCTGCAATATCCCATTTTCCCTCTACTGACATTTCATGACCAGGAACAAAATTTCTCACCAAGGTCAATATCGTCATCATAGCATGTTCAGCCACCGATTGGACATTTGATCCAGTGACTTCCAAAACCGAAATCCCACGTTCATTAGCAGCATCTAAATCAACATGATCAGATCCAACACCGGCCGTAATGGCAATTTTCAAGTTCTTCGCCTTAGCGATTCTAGAACGTGTCAAATAAGCTGGAAAAAAAGGGGTAGTGATGACGATTTCGGCATCTTGTAATTCTTCATCGAATTTGGATGTTGGTTCTGGATCTTTGTCGGTGGTGGTTACGAGGTCATATCCGTGAGATTCGATGAATTTACGGAGTCCAAGTTCGTTTTCGATTGTTCCTAATAATTTTGGCTCGTGTTCGGCATGTACACCACCATGATAAAGAACTAATAATACTTTTGGTCTAGTCATTGTTTGAAATTGAGAAATGATTCGAAAGGTTGTTTAATCGGGTTTTAGATGTTCGATTTGATGAGGAAAGAGAAGCTGGAAAAGCAAATAGCAAGGGAAATTACCTCCTATTTATACCCGTTCTTGCCATGGAATATGAATTACAACTTCTAACGTCACTCTCTCTGCAGATTTCCTTTGTTCGACATTCCCGAGTGATTTTTCGAGTCCCGTTTAATATTTACTCCGCCAAATAAGGAGAGTCTTGTATGCCCCGATTTCACTTGCCCCTTCCCCACATTTTAAACTTTTTTTTGTTTGCCATTGGCTGCAAAAAAAATAAACCCCTCGGAATAATTATTCATTCCGAATCTGGAACAAATGCGATGAAGGAAAACAACTCGGATCTATTGAAGATCGGCATCCGGTTAGATCTAGGCTTCAAAGATGAGCCATTTAGAGGTTGATTTATACGACCACTGACGGTTCAAGAGTCTGATTGTAAAGCAAGTAATGTCTATTATATTTTTGAAATTCCTTAGTAATCTATAAAACAATCAAAGCAATGATTGTTTGAATTCCTATAAAGAAAATCCAATCGTGTCTATACTTGGAAGAAGAACTTACATCAACTCCATTCTTTATATATTTATAATTATTCAAAGGTTGAGGCATAAAATCATACTTAACCAATGCCTTAAAATCCCATTCAAATGTTTCTGTAACCTCTGTTTTCCAACACCAAAATATCCACCCTTGCGAATTCGTCTCATATTCATATAATTGCATTTCTATAAATTTCCTATAATCGATCTTTTGTTGCTTGGTTAATTTCTCAGGATTGAGCATACTCGAACAATTTCCTACTTTTTGGTTATCATAGGGTGGTGTACCTTCATATCTTGTTCCTAATCCAATCCCATTCAACCAAGGAGCACAATCTGTGAGTGCAGCTGACCATTCTCCAACTATTGAAGGATAGGTTTCGTTTCCAACTGAACCTGCATAATCTTTTATGTTCTGTAAATGTGTGGTTATATTGGATGCAACTTGATCACTAAAGACTTCGTAATGATGATGATCTATAAGGACGTTGTTGAATGTAGCCTTTTTGATGATAGTTGCGTTACTTGAAGAATTGGTAGCCTTCAAGTAGACAGTCCCATTTTGCAAGAAGTCTTTCCAGGATCCAATTGGTTGGAATGCTTCTTGAAACATGATTGTATTCTCAATCCACTGAATCTCTCTTGCATCATTATAAGTGTCAATATAAAACCCTTTTACCTTATTCATATCTAATGCCGGACCATATGGCTCATTTAAAACTTCAATACCCAAAATTGTACTGCCGTACTTATCAGCAAAATCTCCAGTCCCATATTTTTGATACATCTTTTTCAAAACCTTAACAGTGAAATCAACATATTCAGTTTTATTTTGCCAACCTGGATATCCAATATTTCTTAATCCAGAATTATCAAATCCATTCTGAGTATTTGGAGCCCCATGTAAATCAATTAAAACTTTTAAATCATTTTCAAAACTCCATTGAATTGCTTTATCCAAATAATCTTGAGCCCCCATGACATATTCATCAAAATTGGCTAGTTTCTCAAATGACCAATATCCAATTGGGAGTCGTACCAAATTCAATCCTGATTTCTTTATTTGTTGGAAATCGGTTTCATTATAAAATTGTTCCCAATGCTGCGTTAATCGTTTCTCAGCCTCACTTGATCCAAGTTTCTTGCAGAAATGGTATTCGTCAATGGGAAGGTCAGCATCGGTTTCATTTGGAAGTAAAGTGTTCTGAAATAGGGATGGGGTGATGTATGGTTCAAGAACGAGCCAACCACCTATGCTTATACCTCGATATTGGAAATTTGACAGATTGGTTGCATAGAGGGTGATGTTATTTTGTTGACCTAAGACGATCTGAAGGATACAGAATAGAATTCCAATACAGTTAATCATTGTGGATTTGAATTATGCTAAAGAGTGGAAAAACTGTTTATCCCTTATTAGAAAGAGTTTCTGCCCCTTAGAGGGCTTATAAGGTTTGAACATAACCTCAGACAACCACATCAACACACACACAATGAGATCTCATCATGTCGCGACATCGCCCACTCACGACATTCTAATACGTCATTTCTAAATTTAGATAGGGACTGATATAAACAATACATCTGATAGGTGTGTATTTGATGAAAATTATATACTATAAATACATAAAATGCTCTCAAAGAAAGGAAATATACCTCTAAAAGAATCACTCGTTATATACAAAAATTATGACCTAATCCCAATATTTTCCTTATTGTTTTTTATAAATTCTCTCTCACATTATCAAGCCAACATGAAATCCCTTTCCATCTTTTATAAAAGTCTCCTCCTCTCTATCAAAAACAAAACTCTCACAGCTCTATCCCCTTCCTGTTTAATCTAAATCTTCTTCAGGTCCTAAACCAGCTGAAGCAGCAGCTGGACCTTTATTAAGAATACTTGAAATAGAAGCTGGTGGATAAACAGCAATCATCATGACGACTAATTCATAAACATCTTCAGGAACAGTCTTTTGGTAAATACCCAAGATATCGGTTGGGTTAGGATATACAGCTAAAGCTTTATAGAAACAGATGGCAGCACCAGTTGGATCATCCTTGGTCATTTGTTCACCAGTAGCAACTTGTTCCATAAAGAAAGCTTCTCTTTCAGATAATTCAGTTGGTATTGGGTTTTCCTTCAAGTCTTCAATAAGAGCAGCCTTAACTGCTTCTAATTTAGATTGTTTAGATTCAGCATCCTTCTTGGCTTTTAATTTTTGTTGTTTTGATGCTCTTTTCTTTAATGACTTTCTAAATTCTGGAGAACTTCTACGTTTGTAATCGAAGTAGATAGCATACCCGACAACAGCAGTTGCGGCAATGGTGGTGACAGTTAAGGCTTTACTCATCGTTAATTATATTTGTCCAGATAGTAAGGGTATTCACAATATTGGCACTTTTTTTATTCTCATTGGGCTCGGCTCCAAGTTTATACTGAAAAATTTTCTTTTTTTGAATCAGAGTGCGACATTCGTACATGTCGTGTCACTCACGTGATCAAATTAGTCTGAGATTTTTTTCAGTTTAATTTTGATTGGATTAACCAAACAGAACTGAGCGAAAAAAAAACTTCAAATTGAAAAGTAGGAAACACCATTTGGTACTTCATTAAGAAACTATATATAGAAATCAAAATAAAGCAAGGATGTCAGAAAAAGTGTTGGATATCAGTACTCTTCCCAAATCAGTGGACAGATACCCAAACCCATTGGCCAATTTAACTAGGGGTGTTGGTTATCCAGCCTGGACACCAATTGATACCAAAGGAGAAACTTGGAGAATTTTTAGATTCGGTTTCATGACCACTGCAACCACTTATGCATTAGCTTATTTCTGGAGAAGAGTCGCATTCAGTTTACAACAACCAGCAATCTTAGTCAGTATGTTTACAATTGTCAAGGGAGTTCGTAGTTCCCTTGCTAATATTAGAGAAAAGAATGATATTTGGAATACTTTTTGGGCTTTTGGTGCTGCCAACACCGCGGTTATGACTGTTGGATTCAAGAATATTCCAGTTAAACATAGAATTATGAGTGCTGTAGGTTTTACTTGTCTTACTTCTGTGATTGAAGCTACTTGGTATGCTCAATCTACAAGTTCAATTGGTAAGAACTTTACATTTAAAGTTGCCAATGCAGAAGGTGATGAAAAGCAAGAGTTCTGGGATGTCTGGATGAGAAGACCATTGAGTGCCACAATTGAAGACTTGGGTGTTGGTCGTGGTATTTTGAAACCATAGGGAGGGATCGAAGAGATGGTGAAACGATTCATTTTTAACGGGGATTGATTTTGCAATAATGTACAATATAGTTTATTCATACGTCATTTTATTTATAGTTTACAACCGTGATTTTGTTGATAATATATAAAACAGTCAGTTGTTATTTTTACATTCTCTCGAGCACGAAGTTGTACAAGGATTTGTCTGCGAGAGCAGTCTTTGTTGGAGCTTAACTACTCCCTATGTAATATTCGCTAATTTACAACATTGATAAATTACTTGACAAAGAACAGAATAAAGTGAAATCACAAGTTATAATTACTTAAGATTAAGCGAAGTGAAATTAAAAGTACATAAATTACAACATATCCCGTGTTTATTGAATTCCACACTAATCAGAATGTCTATTCAAGTTCTATATACAAATAATCGAGACGATTCTCCTAAAGCTACTTTGACAATTTGAATGGATATTCCACATCATTTCCTTTGATCCTCCATATCCTCTTCTTTTTCTTAGTCACAACATGTTCCACCCAAATTTCTTCACAATGGGATTTCTTAAACTTTCTAATAAACCCAGGATCCCAAAGTTCACTAGCAACACCTAAATCCTTACAACATCTCATTAATGCATTACTCTTACACCCTTCCAATGCAGTCGTCACTTTGTCCTCTCCACCATAATAATCTTGCTCCCCACGGGCAATACTTACCAATCTTCCATTACAAATCAATCCATATTCACGCGATATTTGACTCGAAGTAACATGCACCTCGGATCGGGGTGCGAGTCCCCATCCACCGGGTCCAAATGCTCGATTCAAGATACGACGATATTTGATTTCAGGAAGATAAAGGAGTCCATCTGGTTTGATTTCAATGTCGTCAGGATTGAGGGGGGCTAGGAGGATATTGGCTGCTTCTGACAGGAATGCTGCTGAACCTAAGCCATGGAAGGAGTCTGACCAATCCACGTGTTTGGAAGCAGCATGTGGAGGTGAGGATGGAGCTTGATCTTGCAGTGGAGGATCTACCGGAAAGTTGTTGGTGTAATACTGGGGCTGCTGCTGTACGGATGTCGAAACAGCACTGTCTGATGGCTGTCTTACTATGGGGAGATTGGTTTTCGAATTGGGTGTTTCTGCCTTGGAACTTTTGAATGTGCCATTCTTTTTTGGAGCCGCATATTTTGGCTTTGGTTTGACATAATTATTAGAAGGTGGAGCAGTAGAATAGTTGGATTTTGAATTTGCCTCAACGAATTGCTCAAACCCGCTGTCTTCGAAAGCTGGTGCTGCCGGGTTGGAATTCTTGAGTGGGAACTTCTTTTTCCAAGGCTCATCTTTTGACTTTGGTTTAACAACAGTTCCAGTTTTTGCACTCCTAACTGGCAAAGCCTTGGATTGTTCTTTTATCTCAACCAGTGGTTCAGAGATACTTTCAGAAGAACCACTTTTTGAAGTTGATGTCAACTTTTCAGAAGCTTCTTTTGGAGCCACTGGAGATCTTGCAGCATACGTTTTCTTAAATGGGACCGGAGTAATCTTCTTAACTGGGACTGGCGTATTCTTTTTAAATGGGGCTGGCGTAGTCTTTCTAAATGGAACTGGCGTAGTCTTCTTAACTGGAACTGGAGTAGTTTTTTTAACTGCAGAATTCACATTTGAAGAAATTGAACTGTTATTAACCGCGGTTACCGAACCCTCTACTTTACTTTCGCCGTTCTTTGATGTCGTTGGAGTAGGGTTAGAACCAGCTGAAGATTCTGAAGGAATTGCCTTCGATGCGGTTGTTGTTGACAATTGAGATTTGGGTGATAATGTCTTAACTCCTGTGTTATATGTATTCGACTTAAATTTAGGATGATAGCTTCTAATTGACGCGTATCTAGGCGATAGCCTCAACGACCTTGCTTTCACTATATTAAGCATGCTGCCAATGGAGATGAACTTGTAATGGTTAGAGATGGAGAAATGTTACGTGAATTTTTTTTTTTCGGTAGAAGACGTGAACCAGCATTTCTTACACAAAGATTTATGTTAATTACTGAAATTATTAAAGAGATAATATTACAAGGGAATACAACAAGCGTTCTAAAAATGCAAAAATTATTATATGACTAAGTATGCTAAATGCAATGATAACTATTATACATTAGGAATTACTCCATTGGGATCTGGTTGTTGTTGTTGTTGCTGTTGTTGTTGATCTTGTGGTTGGTTTCCTTCGGCAGGAGCAACAACAGAACCATCATCTGACTGCTGTTGTTCACCTTCCTGTTTCTTCATCTCCTCTTCATCTTCATCTCTATGCTCGAATCTTTCATAATATTCATAATCAAACAAACTCTTTCTCAATGCTTTACCCATTTTGAATTTGGAAGTTAATTGATGATATTCTTTATTTTCGGAAAATTCCAAGATTGATTGTTGTAAACTATGATCCAACATGAATTTCTTTTCAACTTCATGTAATGTAGTATGTTTGTGAGTTAAATAATATTCTATTAAGGTATGTTCATTGGTTTCCAAAAGTTTCAACTTATCTTCTTCATTCAAATGTTTGATTAAATTAATAAGTTTTTCTTGTTTACCTTCATCGGAACTAGATTCATATTGTTCTGGTTTGAATAGCACTAATAAACGCTCTTCTTGTATCCATAATCTAAGACATGGAACATAATAATATCCACCAAAATAATAAGATTTTGTCCCGATTGAATATTCATGGTTTAATAATGACATGATATCATTTGGAACATAAACAGGTACTCCACCAATCATAGAATATCTTAAAGGAGAAATCTTTTCGAAATTCACCCAATGTTTTCTTCTATCCATGTATAATTCAACTGATTCTTGTTTTGAATTCTTTGATTTAATATATCCATCATATTCAGGTGGAGGAGTTTCATTATTCTTACCAATACCAGTTATATCAATATAAGTTCCAGTATCAATATCGATAAATCTAGCATCGATATGATTATCTTTAACAGCCATATCTCTGTGATGAATAAATGAAGAACAATCAATTAAGTATTTACCATATCCTTCAGAAACATCTTCAATAACTAAAGTCATGTTATAATTAGCCGAAAGACGACTCAATTCACTACTTGGCATTTGAATATCAATATCGATATCATAAGGAAACATTAATCCATCCCAATACCAACTCAATAATGGACCATGTGCAATCCATGAAATAATCCCCTTTTCTTCAGCAAATCTAAACCAATTACGCAATAATCTATCTAAAATAATTTGTTCTCTAATTTCTAATTGACTTTTGGTCCACGTTTCATCTTTGAGATATCTCAAAGCCCCATTAAAGAATCTCCATTCATAATGCCAACCAGCATCTTGATTTGATTGATCTTTCATCAAAGTAGCTAATTTATAATAAGTAGGCTCATTTTCAACGCTTACAGCACTAGCATATTTCAAGCCTTGGTAATGATTTAATTCATGTCTGTTTAATTTATTTTCATCAAATATCTTGGGGTCATATTTCAATTCATTAGTCATAGCTTCATTTATAAGACTTAAGCGATTTTCATATTCAGCAATTTGTTCATCAACTTGTTCTTGTTTATATAAGAATGCATCTTTGTCTAAATGAAGTTCTCTACTTACATTAGTTTGTTTTTGACGAGTGATTTGCCTCATTCTATAAATATCATCATCTAAATTTAATGGACGAGGTTTAACAGTTTTTTGTAATTGAGCAAATTCAACTTGTGGATTAAATTCAATTTCTTTAATTTCATCTAAATGATTTGGATTAATATTTCTTCTTTCTAAATAATTTTCAAATAAATCTGAATGAACAATTCTAGTACGAGATGATGTTAATTGAGTTTCATAAGTTCCATCTTTTGTTAAAAAAATCATGGAAAGGGGATTTTCTTGTTGAGCTAATAAATGAGCTTTTCCTTGCATCATAACTTGTTTATGAGGAGCTTTATTCATTGGAGAAGTCTTAACAATGAAACCAGGAAGAAATTCTTTTGGTAATCCAATTTCTTCAATTTCTTCAGAAGTTAAATCAACCAAATTCTGACAAAAATCAGGATATTTTGTCTTTTTATTGATTTTTGATTGTAACCATTCACAATTTAATCTTTGATCCCAAGGTTTTGATAATTCTTCATTTAACATGGTTAAATCAACCCAATCAGACCAACTAAATGGCATTTTAATTAAATGATCTTTCAGTTTATCATTCTTACGATTCTTTGCTTTTAATTGATATTTCAATTCATCTAAATAAACACTTAATGTGAATCTTGGATCATAAAACAATTCCGGTTTATTTTGCCATGTTTTTATATGTTCATCTTCTGGAGCTAAGAAATCACGAGGACTTAATTTAATTGAAGGATGTTGTACTTTGGTATTAGCTAACCAATAATGATTATCTTTATTAACTTTTACTTTATTTAGCAAGTAACTTATCTTCTCTTGAGTTGTCAATAGATGATATTGTTTTTTCTGATCATATTTGATTTGATCATCAGTTTGATAATTAATTGATGAAATATGTTGTAAAGCTAATTGACGTACTTTATTCTCTTCTTGTCGATATACTTTGGTGAAATATATTACATTCAATAGCAACACTGCCAAAAAGATATTCCTTATGACTTTGGTATCCAACATCTTATTGTAGTGGTTAGGGTTGTGTCTGTCTGTCTGGTTGTCGGGTTGACTTTGATTTCTATAAATTGGGTAATAATACTATACGAAATAAAATAACGAATGAATGTATAAGTATTGATCTTAAGGTGATAACTAACTTGTGTCTGTTGCAAAAAAAAAAATAAGAAGACAGAAGGAGAAAGAAAGTTTGATGATCAATCTCTTTCAAAGTGTGTCTGTCTGTCTGTCTGTCGGATCTCGTTGGGTTTTGTATTTCAAAGGGTGTTTTTTTTAAGGTTTTATTTTTTAATTTATTTTTTTTTTTCTAGAAAATTTTTGCTTCGGTTCCACAAAAATAAATCAACAATCAAATGTATAGGAAAAAGAAAAGTGCATAAACTGTAAAATTTGTCGAGACTAAACTATTTTTTTGTTGTTGTCTTCTAAAAACAATAACGTCGTGTGAGTTGTATTGATGGTGGAACACAAAGAGAGAGAAACTAATGATAATAAAGATTAGGTGAAATTTTGAGAGAGAAAAACGGTTTCCTCTGATGTCTCTAACAACAGCAGCGGAAGGACAATCTCAATTGCTCTTTGACAGGAAAAGAAAGAGAGATTGCCGTATCCTTTGGTGTATGACTTGTGGGCGGAGGGATTTCTATATATAGAAGAAGGTTTTTTAAATTGTGGTTTAAGCAAATTCACATGGCGGAGTTTAACAGCAATTGAAGTAGGCGATGTAACCTTGCCCTGAGCTCTTGTACAATCTTTCTTTTTATCTTTAATTTCTATTTAGCAATCCAAAATTAGGAGGACAAACAACCTCATTATTATATTTCAATTGTAGCAATAAAACAATGGATTAATAAATTTCATATTGACTTACAGATAATCTTTTTATTATTTGCATACACGATTAAAACACGAAGAAAAAAAATTGATACTCTTGTGACTTTTTCAATTGATAATTAATTGAGTTTACAGTATTTATGAACATTTTATAGAATACATACACACCCAGAAAGAGAAAGGAGATTTAACAAAATGTGGTAAGAAAGCTTATTCGAAAGAAACACGCAACTTATTTCTTTACCTATGATTGTGTTATTCTATGGCGTGCAATGTATCGTAAAACCTCTTCGATGGGATCAACATTGCACTAACTCGCGTCAACATGAATTTCGCAAAGATTATTGAAAATAAAAACATAAACAAAACAGGATTCTTTGAGAATTAAAGTTTCTATAGAGATTGTTACAATCACCTAAAAGTTTTTGACAATGATATCGAGTGAGGGACTCTTTTAAATAATAATAATTAATACGCGTCGTTATAGGTTCCAATGTATGTAAGTAATTTCTTTTTCTGAGTTGCAAAATCTCTCTTGTCACACGACATATGTGTTGAAAGCGCAACCCCAGTAATTCCCCTGCAATACCTACTTCAGTAGGACCTTGTCAAGTATTGAGGTACTCACTTACAAACTAATATCTATAACAGGACTCTTATATTCTCTAATCGCCTATAAACTTTACTCTAATATACAAATACAAAATAATACTAATAAAAATATGACAGTTTAAATTAATTATCATCTTTATGATATCTCGGTCTATCAATCCATTCATAATTAAAAACAGATCTTCTAAATGGTGTCTGGAATTTAATCTTACTTGTAAACTTATGATATTCTAGATTACCCGAAATATCCCCATCCGATTTTTGTCCTTCAACATGACCAATCTTTGTCTTGACCCCATTTGGTAAATTAAATAAATATGTAAGCTCTTGTTTATGTATATCAGTAACATCTTTAGTCAAATAATATTCTAATAAAATATCCTCTTCTTTATCTAATAATTGGACAACTTGATCCATTGTCATTGATTGCACTAAATTGGTAAATTTATCAACATCAACTTTTCCACTTCCATCGGTTAATTTATATTCTTGTCCTTGGAAAAGGAATTCTAATTTTGTATAATGAATCCATAAATTAATTGCATCAATAAAAAAGAATCCATCATAATGATAACTTGTCATTCCTTTTGAATATTCATCCTTTAGGATTTCTTCAATTCGGTTTGGAACATATAATGGAACCCCTCCCATCATGGTGAATCTTAAGGGGGATAATTCATCATATGATGAGAAATGTAAATTACGACAATTATAAACTGGTCTTGGCTTCCCTTGGGCTTCATTCTTGGCAACTAGTTCCTTATATTTTTCAGGCACTGCTTCATTTGAAATACCCAAACCGGTGATATCAATATATGAACCAGTATCAATATCAATAAATCTAGCATCAATATGATTTTCCTTGTATGATTTCCCTCTATGATGAACAAATGTAGAACAATCAATGAAAAATTTCCCAAACCCTTCAGTTATATCTTCAATAACGAGTGTTTGGTTATACAATCTTGAAAATCTCGCTAATTCTTCAGCAGGCATTTGAATATCAATATCTTCATCAAATGGGAATAATAATCCATCCCAATACCAACTCAATAATGGACCATGAGCAATCCAAGAAATTATCCCCTTTTCATTAGCAAATCTAAACCAATTACGTAAAATACGATCTAATAATACTTTTTCTCTAATTTGTAATTCTTCTCGATTCCATCCTGGTTTTAAATATCTTAATGCCCCATTGAAAAATCTCCATTCATAATGCCATCCGGCATCTTTTTCATTTTCTTCATTTCCAAATACTAATCGAGCCATTCTGAAATATGTAGGTTCATTATTAAGTTGGAATTTATTAGAATATTTTAATCCTTCAAAATACATCTTTTCACTTCTGGTGAATCTTAATTCATTGATTTGTTTTTGATCAAATATAAGTTCATTAGTAGTCAATGCTTGTAATTTATTCATTCTATGTTCATATTCGGCAATTTGGAGATCGATTCTATCTTGTTGATAATTGAATGCCGTTTCAGGAAGATAAAGTTCACGACTGGCAGATTCATCAGTTTGCTTTATCTTAGCTGCCATTCCATAAACATCTTCATGAGGATCTAACGGTAATGCTTTAACTTGGGCCAATAAGGAATTGAATTCTTTAACTGGATTAACAATGACTTTAGCGTCATCATCATGAGTTGGTTCTAAATTATTATATTTCAAATAATTGGTAAATAATTCTCCATCGACAATACGTTGTTTTCCATCAATCTTAGCTTCATAAACCCCATCTTTGGATAATAATACAATACCTAATGGATTGGCGGCATAAGTTAATAAATGCGATTTACCTTCCCACATTCTAACTTCATTACTTGCTTTATTTGCTGGAGATTTCTTAACGGCAAATCCAGGTACAAAATCAGTTGAAGGTAATCCCATTTCTTCCAAATCATATCTTGTAATTTCTGCATTATTAATACAATAATTTGGATCTCTTGGTGGGATATGATGAGTTGCTTTCATATATTCACAATTCTTTCTTTGTCCTTCCGGTTTTAATAATTCTTCATTTAACATGGTTAAATCAACCCAATCTGACCAAGCAAAGGGCACAACCACGGAATCTTCATTATTTGATTCATTTTCTAATAATTGATGTTTAATTTCTGAAATATAAATTGCCAATGTAAATCTTGGATCATAAAATATCGTTGGTTTATCTTTCCAATTATCAGGTAAAAAATCTTTAATTCTAATTTTTAATTGATAATCAGTTAATCCAGTATGAGCTAACCAATATTTCTCTTTATTAACGGTAATTTCATTAAATTTATATAAGATCTTATCAGCAGGTGATAATTCATTATATGGCTTATCTGGGATCTGATATAATGGTTTGGTAAACACTGGTGGATGTTCATCTACCTCTGGCTGATGTTGTTGATTTTGTTTTATTTTTTTATCTTTAGGTTTTTTACTTTTCTGGTTGTTGGTCTCAGATTCCTTCTCTGATACGGTAGTACCTTGAGGAATATCCTTATTTGGTTTTTCATGCGATGATGACGTTGATGCTGATATGGATCCAGAATCTATTTCTAAATCATTTGAATTCGATAGATTGTCCCATTTTAATTTACTAGATAATTTATGTGAAGTTTCTTCATCTAACAATAGTGATGACATATAAAATATGTTTAGGATTATGACAATTGCCAATACGAATTTGATGATTTTCTGATTGAAGAATCGTTTAACAACTATTAGATTCATCATTGTCTCTATATATGTGTATGTGTATGTGTATGTGTGTATGGTATGTGAATCAGATCTATGGGAAATCTTCTAATATGGAAAAATGCAAAATGAATTGTTTCTATTGGATAGCGAACGAGTGACTAGAGTTGAAAAGGTGTTAAATCGCAAACGTCGATATTCTAAAGCTAATTGGTAAGCGAATTGAAAGTGACGATTCGATTAATATAAAAAGTGGTNATATTCTAAAGCTAATTGGTAAGCGAATTGAAAGTGACGATTCGATTAATATAAAAAGTGGTGATAATTAATTTTCACGTTGTGGGCTGAGGTGGTGTGGTAGTGGTAGTGGTAGTGGTGGCTTGGCTAGGTGGGAATGGAACCTATAGTAATAGCAATAGTAAATACCAAGTGTCTAGTCGGATATCGTCTATAAGCAGAGGTAACGACTGGTGTCTGATAGAACTGTAGAAAAAAAAAATGAGAGAAGAATAAAAAAAAATGTCTGTCTATTCGGTTCTAAGCTTCTTTCGAAGTTAAATAAAAATATTTGTACAAGATCTGCATTGGGTTAAAATTTTTTTTTTTATTTTTGTCAACAAAAAATGCGAATAAAAAAATAAAAATAATAAGAAAATGTTTTCTAAAAATACAAATATTTAAGAACTTTAAATTTTGTTTTTTTCTGCATCTAACATGTAAAAAATGTAAAAAAAAGAAATTGTATTTTCGGGTATTGTTTACGAGGAGTTTTACTGACAGGTGCAAGAGCCCTGTTTATTTTTTGGGCCTTTTTTAATGTGGAAATCTAACGCCCTGTTGAGAAAGAAAGAATTCAGAATAAGCCCGTAGATGTTGTAAGAAAACAAACAATAAAGCTGATGGGATCAACATATGGAGAATATGGATGTGGTAAAATATCAGGTCATGCATTTTTCTTTTAGCTCGCGAGAACCTTAAACGTTTAATTGATTCTTTCTTTTTTGTTTGGTTAGTTTCAGTTTATTTTTAGAAGTCACACGAAATTACAGTACATTTTGGAATGGGGAGATGGTTATGATGAGAAGAGAAGACTGACATATAATATGATAATAATATATTTAAAAATGAAGTTAAAATAATTTTCCCTGTCAATTTCTTTGCATGTAAGAAATATTTTGCAAAATGTGAATTTCAATTAACAAATGAAAAACAAATTAGGCCCTTAGAAAATAAATAATATTATTGCGAAATTCAGTTCGAGTTTTCAGGGGGTAATCCCATCAGATACGCAAATGAGATGACATTAACAAGTAAAGCATCCAATAAAAGAGATGGACAGTCTATCACTCTCAATTATCTATCCCTCGATGTTCTTGAATAGAATTCCAGGATCCTTATTCCATGTATTTTATGGCCCGCCGTTCAAGCTCTTCTGTCTTACTACAAAAGTTATTATACAAACCAGATTCACATTCTCCACCCATTTTGTGACCTTATTAAACAACGACCTCTTTAGAATACTTCTACTGATTGTGTTCTTTGCTGAAAACAATCATCAATATTATTTTAAAGATCTTTGTGATAAAATTTCAAAGCCAAAAAAATTGCGAAAAGAAAACTGTAGGTGACCCAGGAGACGCGTCTTAATAATGGGCGATCCACAAAAATCTTTTATTGTGTCTCTAAACAGTACCACAAAATATTTAATTATTAGAATATCAGAATCAAGTTTTACATGCAAGCTATTTCTTCAACAATTAAGTCGTTGTCATCTTCTAGATAAAGAACAATAAGTGAATAATATATGTCTCACGCGACTTAGTGCAACTCTCACAATTTAATTAATTACTTGCTTTTGCACAGAACAATAAGAGAACAACATTCAGAAAAATATTTCTTTGTAGCTTTGAATTTGTACTCACAACAGACAGACAATCACAAGCCACAATTATCAATCTTCTTTCAGGAAATCTCATCAGATATATCATAGCAATCCTTATTCATTTATTAGAATATATACACGAGAAGAAAGATTCTCTACTTCTATCATTTCATACTATTTGCTATTCTCATGAAAACCCCAACTGGTGGACTTATGCTAGTGAGCAACCACAAACACAGCATGAATTATACCAGGCACCCACCCAAAGATAGTCAACACGATATTCAAAAGTAAACTATCAGTACAACCTCTATGAAGATAAACTGCTAATGGAGGTAAGAAAAATGCAATTACTAATTCGATTATATCGGCAGTTGTAAAAAGTCTCTTAACCATTTTTGATTTCGTTTGTTTTGTAGTGAAGTTATTCTTATAGTTTGAATTGGATTCGGAGGAGACGTTGTAGCTTATTTATATATATTATTTGAGTTAGAAATGGTTGCTAAAATTTTCAAAAAATGAGGTCAATTTTTAATTCAAAAATGATGTAAGCAGCAATTGCTAAAGCCATACTAGAGAGACTTGCTATTTACTGCTGCTAATTGCTTTCCCAAGATAATAGTGAAAAATGAAACTAATTTTAATTTTCGAAGCGGGCCGTATTACTTTCGAAATTTTAAGATAAGATATTAACAAACTTAAGTATATTAAAAACTAACTAAACAGCCTATACATAAAAACATAGAGGTTTAACAAAGCACTTAAAATGGCGCTTGGAAGCCTGGAATAGCATGATTCTTGTTTCTTTCATCTTCTTTGTTGTCATGATATCTACCTAAAGGAGGTGGGTAATGCGTTGGTTGAGCATCTTGGTTATTATCGGGATTGTCCTGGTATCTTTGTCCAGGTTGGTTAAATTGATTACCGTTATATCCACCTTGTCCACCTTGCATCCGCCCAGCTTGTCCACCCTGTCCAGCTTGTCCAAATTGGCCACTTTGTCCACCCTGTCCAGCTTGTCCACCCTGTCCAGCTTGTCCACCCTGTCCAGCTTGTCCAAATTGTCCTCCTTGCCCAACTTGGCCACTTTGTCCAAATTGTGCATCTTGCCCACCTTGTCCAGCGCTGTTCATTTGATAGTTATTCTTTTCATTTTGACCAAAAGGATTACTTTGGTATCCATTNGTTCATTTGATAGTTATTCTTTTCATTTTGACCAAAAGGATTACTTTGGTATCCATTATTTCCAGCTTGTGCGGAAGTATTCATTTGATCATCATTCCTATTCTTGTCAAACTTATCTTCGAATGGATATTGATCAGCAGGATTATTCTGCCCGCCTTGTCCAGAAGCATTAATCGGATATTGATTCTTTTCCTGTTGGTCAGAGGAAATTCCTTGGTCATTCTTTTCACGCTGTGTCGAGGCCCTAATTGGGTATTCTCTCGTTTCGCCCTTACTGGAGGTATTAATGCCATATTCATTCTTCCCCTTTTCTCCATTCCTTTGATATTCATTGGAGTTCTTATTCTTATCGTCGCGATGTTGACTTCCGGAATAATTTGATGGAACGTTAGTATACTCATCATCTTGTTGATATAAATGTTGTTGTTGTAAATTTTCATGTTTTCTTTGTGGATATACTATTGCAGTTTGTTCTTCAACCATTCTTCTATCCTTAATTATAATATAAATAGCATGGATTAAACCTGGATAGTATAATAATAAGGTTAGAACTATATTGACAAACAATTGCCCACTACATCCTCTGCAGAGAAATACTGCAACTGGTGGGAAAATAATTGCGATTATGAGCTTAAAGAAGTCTGAATTTGTTAATTCCATAGTTAATAGGTTCAGTAGATATTCAATGAAGACTGTTCCACATAGAATGGACATATCCAGATCCATCTTTAAGTAACTTTTATAGTTTAAAAAATGTGCCTTGATTGCTAAGCAACATTCAACTTTTTTTTCTTTCTGACAACCTTGCCGCAAACTTGCTATTTTGCAGCCAAATCCCTTTAAAAAATAAATTAGAAAAAAATATTTAATCAATTAATAATTACAAAAAAAATAATAAGTTATAATTAGAAACACCATGTAACTAGCAAGAGATCCAACACCCTTCATACAGTTAGCTACTTTTATCTATTTTCAAGAATTCTCATTAACAACCCCAATTCCACGCAATGGAGGAGTGTTCCTTTCATATGGCCCAGTGGCAGCAATATCCTCATATGCATTCTGTTCAACCGCATCTCTAGAATTTGTCCAATTATAACTGCTTTCTTGATTTTGAGTAATTAATGGAATAGACATATCTGTATTTTCTCTAGTATTCGTATTCAATTGAGCATGTCTTGGTATAGGAGGAGTTTTCAAAATTTGGTTGGTGGGTACATAATCAAACCCCAGTCTACCAGTCATCCTAAGCTGTTGTACTGGAGAAGGAGCCGTTGCTCTTTCTTTTGAGATCTTGGTATGATCAATTCCCCCTGAATTATATCTGTACTTACCAATAGGTGGTGTTCGGAGTTGGCTTATTTCTGAGATTTGAACACTGGAAGAACTTGAGCTTGTGCTTGTTGAAGTAAATCCCACGTGTCCCTCTCTTGTCTTGCTATCTTTGGAAATTACATAGATCGAATGAATAACACCTGGGAAGTATCCCAATAATGTCAATACTATATTGATTAATAGCTGACTTCCACATCCTCTTGTCAAGCAAACACCCATTGGTGGTGCCAATATCGCGATTATTAATAAGAGTATTAATACCATTTTAAAAGTATTCCGTCAACAGGTAAATTGATTGACCTAACAACAGGACGTTTGTGTCGTTCTAAAAGAGAACAACTTAATAGACTATTTATATAACAGTATCTTGCCCTAAATTGATAACCAATCCTAAATGGGGCTTATCAAAATGGATGCAATCTCGAATACAGTTGCTACTCCCCTTGTACTTCTATTTTAGCTGGAGGCTAAATATTTCAAAAGACCTTATATTGTTGCTGCAATCATTCTCCAAGGGTTTGGCCCTACCGAAGACATGTCACCATATCCAACAATTCTACAGTCACATTTCTGTGCTTTTAACTTATCGTAAATGTATATTTCCTAGTAAACTAATATACCAAAGAGCTCAATATTTAACTAAACTTAATCCTTTCCTACATGCTTACGAGAAGGAGGTGGAACTTTCGAGATCTTCGCATCATTATGATTTGGCATAAAAGTTCCAACATCTTCAGGAAAATCTTTTTGAGTAGCTTGACTAACGTAATTTGTCGTATCCCATTCTTCCATTCCTTCATCGTGAGGTCTTGTATTGAGACCTTCGAAGAATTTTTGTGGATTGTCTGTTTCCTTGAAATTTTCGTTCTTACCCATTTTGTTTAACTTAGTGGTGATTAAATTAAATAACTAAGAAGCTTTTGAAGAATTCAAGATATATGGTGCTTATATACTAAATTTCCTGCAACATAGCAATTTGACTAATTGTTGCTGTTACACAGCAATACATCCACTAAGAATGCAAAAAATGTTTGTACGTCATTAAAATTGCTAAAAAATAAAATGCAACCTAACTAACCTAACTAGCAATAAAATCTCAGTAAAAAACGTTCTTACAAAAAGTCACATTTAAACTAACACAGACAATCAACACTATACCGGAAACTTTAGAATAAATCCAGATTTCCCTTTAGTGAATAGTTATCCAGTTTGTCTAAACTTGTCTTTAACCAGTCAATTCTTTCAACAATCTTTCTTCCCTTTGTCAAAATCCGTGGAATAATCTTCTTCTGATGTGGAGTTTCCGACGTCTATATTTTTCTTTCAGTAGTACTTTTTCCTCAAGCTTCTCCCCCTTAGCTAGAACTGAATCCTCCGGTGGTACAACCCCTTCGTCAGGTATCGGCTTTGTCTCTGCTATCCTTTCCATTTCGGGCGTTATCTCTACTTCTTCAATTTTGGGCCTTATTTTACCTGAATTCCAACTCTCTGGAAACCCAATTGGATCCACATTATTAGATTCATCTATTAGTATGATGCACCCATATTCCTGTTGTGTTCCAGAATTATCCCCTTCAACAAAACTTTGAGAAACTGGATCAACTGAACGAAGCACCAGTGACATTGGTGGATCCCCCTTAATTTCATACATTGACACCTCCTTGTCTGCTTTTTCTCTATCTTTGATAATTAGGAACACGGCATGGATAAGAGCAGGATAGTAGAAAAGTACAGTCAATATAAAGTTTGCCATTAATTCTAGGGAGACACCTCGTTGAATGAAGACTGCTAATGGAGGGAATAGGACAGCAATAATTATGTTGACTAGATCTGAGACCGTTAGGTCCATGGTTCTGAAATATAGCAAATGTTTTTAGAGTGGAAAGTATAGCAAGGAGGCAGATCTTGAGAACATTTACGATCTTAATTGGTTTTATTTATGATCTACAAATATGTAGAAGAATATTTTTTGCATATCAAACATAGCGCCTTTGTGTGATTAAAAAGATATATCAGTTTGAGTTGATTTAGAAAGATGGCCCCCTGTAAATTAACATCAGATCTCAATGGAAACCACTTGGCTAGCTTGGTTGGCCTCTACTGGGTTCTTAGGGACACCAAGAATGATCGAAACTTAGAGTTGAAGGATTTTTTCTTGAAAACTGCAAGGAACGGAATAATAGCACATTTTAGAGCACCCACTATATTTAACTACAAGGCATGTTGAATAAGAGAGAAAATTGTAATTTTATTGAGCAACGAGTTTGACAAACTAAAGAAAGAGAAAACACTAAAAATTAAACAAAAGAAAATACGATTTAAAAATCTTCAAGTCCAAGAGCCTAAGCCAAAGGTTCGAACCAACCGTATCTAGTCCAACGGAAACCGAATGGTCTTGCATCAGCATCTCTCTTGGCTAAGCCAGAATCATCTCTCTTAGCCAATGGTTCAAACCAACCATATCTAGTCCAACGGAAACCGAATGCCCTAGCTTCAGCATCAGCATCTCTCTTAGCAAGTCCAGCATCAGCACCTTCATCTCTCTTAGCTAATGGTTCGAACCAACCATATCTTGTCCAACGGAAACCAAATGGTCTTGCTTCAGCATCTCTCTTGGAGAGATCATTCTTGGACAATTCTAAAGTGGTACCATTAACAACAAGAATGGCTTGCAGGTCACCGTATTTGGCAACCATTGGGAATTCATCATCAGCAACTGGGATAATTAAGTTAATTGCGTCTTCTGGAATGAAGACTTCTTCGGAGGCTTCTTCTGTGGCAGTGGCGTCACATACAACAGTGGAAGCAAGAGCAGCAGCGAGTAAAGCTAAGGAAAATTTCATTTTGTAGCAAAGTTAGTAGAACGGGTGGTCTCTTGGTGTATTATAATTCTGATGAAAAAGAAAGAAGAGAACGATTGTCGAAAGGGACATTTCCATCCCTTTTTATAGTTGTTTGGAAAGTATTTCAGAATGGTCAGTGGATATGAATGTGTTCTTGAATTCTAAATTGGGTCTGTTGATTTTTGTTTCTAATGACTGAAAATATTTTTTATGTTCAGGAACGATCCCTTTTGCAGCCAAATGAGGAAAAAAATTTTGAGTTAATTTTTGACATGATGCAACACACTGAAAATACCTGACTGTGGACACACCGACAAGAAAAAGATTGGTAATCTTTTCAATAGCAAATACGACTCAAGTATCATGTGTTTATTTGCATCATAACATGGCAGAATGTAATAAGAAATTGACCTTTCCTTTACCGTTTAGGAAATTCTTCTTGGAAATTTTAATGACTTCTCCGAAAATGGCAAATTCGTAAAACAAAATACCCAAAAATGTCAGGATATTGCAAGGGCATCGGCTTGTATTTCATCAGCATATTCCCTAAAGTGTCTTATTAGTTTACTTTCTGAAACACTATGTGTTAATGTCAGTGGAATGTTCACATGTGACTTTGGGGGTTTTGGTTGCAACCTTCCTATTTATCTATACTTCTCGAAACAAATATAGAGAATGAAAATCTACACTCAGGATCACGGCTACTCTGTATAGACTAGCCACCTGTTTCTGTATCACATAATCAAGTTAGAATTATTGGAGCCTTGTGGTGTGTTGATGTTTGTTGCAATCCTTTGGAAAGTTAGCTGTCCCTTGTGTATTCCAAAACGGCGATCTTTCTGTTTAAGTCTGCAACATCAGGAACCACACTTGGCAAAACATGACAAAATGCTCGGGATTCCCTTTTCTTTACGAAAGTAGAATAACCATTACCACATCGAGGACACTGCTGGGCTATCACCGGTATATTACCCAAAAATGTTTGATCGGTTTCATTTCTAAAACTTCTTGTGTTGAGTGGAATGTTCACACAATGTGACCTTGGGCGCTTTACCTTGTTATTTCTCTACACTTCTTGAAACAAATATACACAATTTAAATCTAGATTCGTGATTCCTGCTACTCGGTATAGACTAACCGCTTGTCTGTATGAGATGATCCGGCTAGAACTATTAGAGATTTGTATTTGTGGTGATTTGACGTCTCTTTGTTTCAACAGTTCCCAAAGATAGCTCTCCCTCTGTATTCAAAAGCAGTAAAGCTGATGATTGAGTTTGCAACATCAGGAACTTCCCTTGGCAAAACATGTCAAAATGGACTTCATGTGTTTCAAGTGTTTCGAGAATCTCTTTTCTTTACTAAAGAGGAAAGAATCATTACCACATCTATCGGTAGGGCTTCAGTGGAACCATCGATTCTGACTAACATTGTTTCAAACATCCAAATTGGGTAGTGCTTCGAAACATCTTGGATGATCTGGAATTGTGTGGGACGTTTACACAAATGTAAAAGAATGCAAATAACGTCTGTTTGAAGCATCTTGGATAATCTGGGTTTGAGGAGAATGCTTACTCAAATGGAAAAGAATGAAAAAAACGTTTCCGGGCATTGTAAGTAATTCACAAAGGTGAATACAGACGGCGTTCCATTGAATTTTACGAAGAGACCAAGCTCGAATACAATAATTACACCAATAAACGATGTAAGGAACAAATATTTATTTGTTTTTATTTTCTATTTAAGATAGCTACAGAAAAGATCAAGTGAATAACAAAATCCAAATGAAGACTTGCATAAAACAATACTATACACCTTTATGGAGAAGAACACTTCATTAGGTTGGGCCATATGGTTGCTTGTAATCCAGATATGGGGGCACCTGTGGTGGTGGGACCTGTTGTGGTGTTGGGACCTGTTGTGGTGTTGGGACCTGTTGTGGTGTTGGGACATGCTGCGGTGTTGGGACATGCTGTGGTTGACTATATGGTTGTGGCTGTGCAACGGGGGTAGGAACATAGCCTGGCTGTTGTTCTGAATAATATGTCTGTTGCATAACAGGCTGTTGTCCTACTGGAACATATCCTGGATGAGCGACAATAATTGGATTTTGTGCCTCGGCAGCTTCCCTATCTTTAATTATAAGGTATATGGCATGACAAAGACCTGGCCAGAAAAATAGTAATGTTAACAAGATATTGAGGAAAACTTGTCCAGTGCATCCTCTTTGAAGAGCCACTGCGACGGGTGGGAGGAAAATTGCCACAATGATGTTTAAGAAATCAGTACTTGTCAATTCCATACTTAGTTAGGTATCAATTGTTATAGAAAGATATAAATTGAAAAAAGAGACAATTTTAAGGATTTCGTTCCTTCTATAAATACAAATGACTTTAAATTTATTTTTTATTCCGTAAATTTTAATTCTATTTTTAAGTAGCGTAAATTGATTCCATGACGCAATCTTTAACCCCGTCCCCCCGTTGAAATATTGTACCATTGTCTATCAATGCGTACGGCACCTTAATTCATCTTCTTTAAACCTGTTCAGGGTTGATTTGCACGTCGATCCAAAACGCATGTGAAAAAAATCATTTTGTTGATATAGAATCAAAATACCAAATTCTCTAATGAAGGACAATCATTAGCGCATGGATAACACCAGGAATCCAACCAAGTATAGTCAACAAAATGTTAAGCAAGAAAGCGTCTGTACAGCCAACATGCAAGAACACGGCCAATGGGGGGAATACAAAGGCAAGGACAATTTCTATAATGCTTCCAAGAGTAAATAATACTTTCATGATTAATTGTTTGTTTTCGGTTCAGTATTTCTAGAGATTTTCAATGTAATTAGGCATGGGTCTCCCTTGATATTTATATCATCTAGCGATTTAGACTAGCTTGCTGCGAAATGAGTTGCAATGACACAGAATTGATTCAAAATATAGCAAATTGCTATACGTCACTTGCGATGGACGCAGTTGCTAGATCTTTGTTGTCAGCACAGAAATTACCAATTGTCATTGCAAAAAAAGAAACTTCACTGCTCCTCGTGCCATTTGACTGTTTTGGTTATCTATCTACCGTCATTTTCGCAGCAATTTTTCTTAAGGAAACTACAAATTGATTGCCACACTAATTCAAGGGGGAAATCATTTTATTGTCATCATTAAATACATTAGAAAAACTATAACTTTATGAAGCTTAAAAGAAAACAGTAGGTAAATTGCTACTTATATTATATATCTCATAATTTCATAATTTTTGAGCAAAGATTATTAATTTTGAATTTTCATAGAAAAGCAATTCTAGATTCATTTGTCATTTTTTTATTTGACTCAATTTATACTAGTACCTTAGAATTATATAAACAGCGTGAATAATACCTGGGATATAACCGAATAATGTCAATATAATGTTAATTAATAAGGAAGTTGAACATCCTCTTTCCAAGAAGACACCCAATGGAGGAAATATGACTGCGAAAATTAATTTAAAAATATCTGTACAAGTGAAAGCCATTATGTAATACTTTGGTTGTTAATTATAATCAAGTAAAGAAAAACTAAATAGAACGAAAAAGATAAAAAATTTGGGAATTGTTAAGATATTTATACATTTAGGAAAAATGCTTTCCCCTTTTAGGGTTGTGCATTCAGCCGCGCCAGGGTTGTTAAATCGATAGCAATCTAACACCAAAAATAGAATTACATATGAAAAATGACCTAAAGAGGGTATGAAATGTTGTCCATGCAATCTTCGAAACGCTTCGCTAATCACCTGCCATGATCAAGATGGAGGTGAAGCAACGCGGGCGACGTTAGATAATCATTTTGCATCGCCTACATATTCTTCAGAAAAAAAAAAAAAAAAAAAACCGGAAGTGGCTTAGAATAGAGGCCTCCAATATCCTGCATATATCCACAGCCAACGCACGTGATAACGATTGTACTACATTTTACTTAACACCACAGTAATCAACAGTACAATGAAAAATTATCAACATTAATAATTTTTGACACCAAAAAATGAAAAAATTTATGAATCATCGGTTCCCTATCTATTATAGATTGATATACACACCATCATTTTAATACCTATCATCCACCCTCACCCAACAGACATATATACACCATCCATTCAAAAATATGTCTGACTTTCAATTAAGATTATTAAAATTAGTAAATGACAATAATGGAGTCATTTCCAATACTTTGGAAGTTCCAGAATTGGCAGAAATAGATTCAAACATCTTACATTCAAATTTAACTTCTCTTTGGGCTAAAGAAATGATCAATTTCTCCAAAATTGAAATCGATAAATGGGTTTTGACTGAAGAAGCTGAATCATATGTTAAAGCAGGAGCTTCCCCAGAAGTTCAAGTTGTAGACGAAGTGTTGAAAGCATTAGAAGGAATGACGATTTCTGAATTAAAGACTAAATTAGGTCCTATTGGAGCTGTTGGTCAAGGTAAAGCATTCAAGAACAAGTGGTTAGGTAAAAAAGGTGATACATTAGTAGCAAATGTTGATAAATTACCAGAAGATGTTGTTTTAAATGAATTAAAGACCATTCAATCAACTGGTTCATTACAAGATAAGAAAGAATTAACTGAATTAAAAAAGAGAAAATTAATTTCATTGATTAAGATTATTGGCTATAAGATTGAAAAGGGTCCAAAGTTCGCTTTGGAAATTGTTAGTTTAGAAACTGATATTACTTCTGAAATGGTTGCAAGTGGTTCCTGGAAAAATGCCGAATTCAAACCTTATAATTTCCAATCTGAAGGTGTTTACCCACCTTCTGGTGCATTACATCCTTTAAACAAAGTTAGAGAAGAATTCAGACAAATTTTCTTTTCTATGGGTTTCACAGAAATGCCAACTAATCAATACGTTGAATCTGGTTTCTGGAACTTCGATACCTTATTCGTCCCTCAACAACATCCAGCTAGAGATTTACAAGATACTTTCTACTTAAAAGATCCAGCAAGAGCATTAAAACCTGAAGATGAAGAATATTGGAACAATGTTAAACAAGTTCATGAAGAAGGTAAATATGGTTCCATCGGTTATAGATATCCATGGAAGGAAGATGAATCTTTAAGAATGGTTTTAAGAACACATACCACCTCTGTCTCGGCTGCCATGTTATATGAATTAGCCAAAGATCCAAAACCAACCAGATTATTCTCCATTGATCGTGTTTTCAGAAATGAAGCGGTTGATGCTACCCATTTAGCTGAATTCCATCAAGTTGAAGGTGTTTTAGCTGGATATGATATCACTTTGGGTGATTTGATTGGTTTCATGGAAGATTTCTTTGGAAAGATGGGTTTTGATGAATTGAGATTCAAAGCTGCTTATAATCCATATACCGAACCTTCTTTGGAAATTTTCGCTTATCATAAGGGATTAAAGAAATGGGTCGAAATCGGTAATTCCGGTATGTTCAGACCAGAAATGTTGGAAGCTATGGGATTACCAAAGAATTTGAGAGTCTTGGGTTGGGGTCTTTCATTAGAAAGACCAACTATGATCAAGTATGGTGTTTCTAACATTAGAGAATTATTGGGTCATAAAGTTTCTTTAGACTTTATTGAATCTAACCCTGCTGCAAGATTAGATGAACATTTAGAATAATTTTGAAGTAAAGCTTGTAAATTAATAAAATATAAAAAGTAGTTATCCGCAGTAAAATAGTGGCCCTTCTCTATCTACTATTTTTCCACATAGTAGCGCTGAATTTCTCTCCTTGAAAAAAAAAATATTTCAACGACAACCAACAAGATTCCGTCCTCATCAAATACACTCATATAGGACAGTCAACGTTACAGCGAATATGTCTGAAGCAGAAGCAGCTAATCAATCTAACACGCAATCACAGGAGCAACTACAAACCAATCTAGAAAATACAAATTCACCCGTTGTAAACAGTACTTCCCTGATGAAATCTGAACGTTCATATCCTTTTGTCATATCAACTACAAACAACAACAACACAAACAATCCATCAGAGTTTATCTGTAAATGGCAAGACTGTGATACAACCATGTTTCCCAATTTAACAGGTTTAGTAAATCACTTAAACACCAAACACTTAACCCAACCAACCCAAGTCCCAACCACAAATGTTCCAATCAGATATACTTGTCAATGGAAGGATTGTCCCCGATTTGGTATCGACCAACCATCTCGATTTGCATTAATATCCCATTGTAGAACACATACCGGAGAAAAGCCATATTTCTGTATAATTCCAGAATGTGAAAAACATTTCACTAGATCAGATGCATTGACTAAACATGTAAAAGGAGTACATGATTTACATTCAATCAAAGATCAATTGAATGCATTGAAGGAGAAGGTTAAAAACGGATATTTGAATATAGATATAGATGTTGAGGATAAGAATGAAGAAGATTATTTAAAGATTATTGAACGGGATTATGAACAACGAATTCCATATTGGTTTTCGAATTCATTTTTGGAGGTTTTGAAGATGGATGGGATAGATTCTGAACTGGTTACATTGTCTTCGTTTGAGAGTTTACCTTTGGATTTCAAACAATATAAAATGGCTAACTCTAGATATAAGCATTATTTGAATATGCGAGAGAATAATGGGGGATTGTTGTTGGCTGATCATGATGATAATAATAATGTTGATAATGTCATCAAGAGACAACAACAATTTGATCACCCTAAGCGAGAAACTCCAATAAATAGTAATCCAATCCATGAATATTTATCAGCCACTGCTAATCAAGTATCACAATATTATAAACCTACTGAAAATAGTGATGAAATTGATCAAGTGCAAGATTTGGATACGTTGAAAGATATGCATACGAAATTATTGAATAAATTAAACACGGCAACTAAAATTAATAAAGTAGTGTCTAAACAACTATCCAATGCTGTTCTGGAAAAGAGAAAGATATGGTTATATAATCAAATATTACTTGATGGAAATATTGAAGTGGGATTACCTCCGGAAAAAACCAATGTTCCTCAAAGAGTAGTCCGAGATGAGATTGATGAAGAGTTGTTTTATGGTCTATAGAGTTTATCGATTGTTTCTAAATTTAGCTAATTTCCGTGGATTAGTGGATATAAATATTAGCTTGCTTCCTGGTGTATAGGGCTTGTCAATTGTTTCTAAATATAACCCATTAGTGGATAAATGGATATTAAATATTAGCTAATGTATGCGTGGGGCGCATGATCGGTTAGGTTCAAAGGGTTTCACCAATACAACAGATTTCAAAAGTCATATTGTCCGATATTTAAACCCCTTTCGCTAAAGTAAAAATCCATGACTTGTCGCAACTAATTATAATTCAATCTAACCCAACTGGGATGATGTTGGTTTAGAGTTTCCCATTGTTCCGGATTTAGATGCGGAGGGTGGCTTTTGCAAACTGTCATCAACGAAGCTTTTCCGCGGTTGTCAATTTAGATGCGAAAGACTATTGTACGCCACAATTTAATTTAATTTGTCTTCGATAGATTTGTCTGGGTTCCCAATGGGTTGTAATTTAATACTTAGAGAGTTATATGTTTCTTATCTAATAAATACATAATTGAAATTCATGGCCATTAAGCAAAAAGGGGTTTTAAGTTTATTCTATGACGTCAACTCCGTGTACAATGTCAACCTCTCCAGCCATACACATGTCTTCAAAGAAGCTTTGTAAGTCATTTAAGTTATGGCGCGGAAACAGACTTGGCAACTTGGTTGCTAGCAAGATTTTTTTAATTAGGTTTCATGTACGATCTTTCAATCTTATAATTTCTAAAACAGAACAATAATTAGACATGATGACTGGGGTGTCAAATAAAAAATACAATACCGTGTGTGTGTGTCATATTCGCAGGATCTGACAAATACTATAAATTAGAGTGAGGGGAATTTAACTTTTTAAACACGAAATAACAATCAATTTCTGATCATGTACAATCTTTATAAAAAGATAGATGGGCATGTACCTCATAGCTTCTCCATTGATGGTTGGAAACACGATATCTGCCCAATCGGTGAGGTGATGTTGCAATTTCTAAATACACAATGGAACAATTTAAAAATAAAAATAAAAAAATGCACGATGTGTTAAACTTCGTAAAAATTAGCGCAAATCTAGGAGAGAGGAAAAACTTTACGAATTATAGTATTACGACTGAAGGAGTTCTCCATATTTTTTTATATACCGAAAGATCTTTATTTTTACCATTTCTAGATATAAGAATTTAAAAGATGCATATTATAGAATAGAAATAGAAAATATAGTAAGCCACATCAAGAAACTAAAACTTCTCGCATAAACTAACTTCTTCTCCTTATGATGATTTTATTTATTTGACGATTTTTTAGTCATTTTTTTTTTCTTGTAACAGCATGCGATTTACATACAATAGAAAAGACTGATCACCACCATGATCTCTTCGAGAAGAAAGATAATACCAGTTTACTAAGAAATCTCTAAGACTTTTGCCGCCCCTTGTTCTTTTAAAAAAAGTAAAATGGATCAGATCAAAGCCAAAACATACAATCCATTGTCTATAAAAACTTGCATGACTAAAAATTCACAATTTCTACCTGCCTCCTTTATTGTTTTAAAAACCTGGGGCGAAGGTACACGCGCATCTCATCTTTTTTTTTTGTTTAGTGGGGCGTGTTGCAAAAACCATTTTTTAACGTTCTGTTCAAGTAGCCCTGGGGAATAAGACCACTCCCAAAGTGGCCTGTTGTTGATGCATACCAAGAAACAAAAATATTTAAATTTGAAATAGAGTTTACATTTAGAATTAAGCAAAGTGGCGGGGATTTTTATGTTTTGAATAAAAGATTGTGTGTGTGCGTGTGATGTATGTAAGAGATGCATGTTTAAATGCTAAGTCATTTTTTGTTTGTTTATGTTGCAAATTGCAACAATAATGCCAAAGAAAAAACCTTAAAATATTTTTTGGATCATTTTTAGGAACTGTGAGTAATTTAACAAAAAAATAATTAAAGTTAATCTTGAACTTTTATAAACAATCGAATTTATGCAAATTGATGTAGTCAATTGAAGAAATGTTCTTTATGAATCTGTGGATTTTATCTTATATAATGGAAAGAAAAATAAATGACACTCATGTTTCATTCATCTATTTCTTAATGGGACGGAATGGCAGGGGAGGAAGGGGGGAATATATAATTTTTGAAATTACCTATTCTTAGCTATCTGCACAATTTAGAACTCATTTCCAATTAAAGCAAAAAAATTAAGTTTCTCGGATTTATATTTTTTTTTTTATCCTTTTACATTTCCCTTCTCCTTTAAATAGATTGCCTTGTTTCAAACAATCCCCTTTCCTAACCGCAGTATTTTATTGCAGTACATATATATACATACATATTTCCCTCCAGTAATTGTTCCGCGTCTCTTTTGTGGTTGTTCTTTTTTTTTGTAACACAATACAACAACACGTCTATACATTTGATAAGCACACAGACATATATCAGCATACTCCTATCAATCGGCACCGAAGATAGAAGATCACTGTTACCTGACAACTTTCCCATAGGCAAGAATTCTAAAAACGAACCGATTGAATTCTTCTATCACGTCAAGAAAAACATTTCCCTCATCTTTATGCACAAAAGCTAAACACGGTTGTCAATATCCGTTTAAGTTTTTCTTGACATTACATCATATAAATACACACCAGAAGACTTGGAAAGTTTGAATTTTTAAGAAAATTTTACTTTTATTACATCCAACCCTAACTATTGCATTATGAATATCCTCCGGCCAGAAGATCCATTGGATGAATTTGATATTACATACTTTGAAAATGAACCAAGAGGAATAGACGCGTATATGATGCCGGATAATCTTTTATCCCATGAATTTGAAACTGTTTTACCAGATTGGATTCAAACCCAATGCATAGCACCATCAGTCCTAAGTTCTCCTTCTCATAGCCGGAATAATTCCAAAATAGACGCACTTGCCTCACCATTATTAGTTGGTAAATCCGGTAATATTGACGCTTTGACATTAATGAACGCATCAGCTACTTCAACCCCGGCATCTTCAACTTCTGGAAGTCCTCAAATGAAACCTCAAGAACATAACGCATCCAAGTCAACGAAGAAGAAACTTCAGCATCATCCTAGAAAACGTCATCATAGTCATGGAGATATATTCACATATAATTATAGCATCCATTCAAAATATAAAGTTAGTAAAAGTGAAGTGACATCCCCTATGGGTCCACCACATAAACCAAGTGTAACTATAGCATCTATTAATACATTATATCATTATCAAAGACCTCATGATGAGATTAGTCCACGGACAACCACCACCACCACCACAACAACAACAACAACCACTAAATCAGTCGGAAATCCATTCTATAAGCCACTTACCTCAAGAACATCACCTAACCAATCCTTCTCAGATAATACACACGACGCATCCGAAAATATTCCAGTAAATACCAATCTCATTACATTAGTTCAACAGTATGATGCCACATCATCCACCTCTAATGCTGAAGCAAACTTTCGAAAACTAGAAGATGCAATAATGGTTGAATCGTTATTTAGCAACCACGCAAAACTTCCAACTATAATGGACGATAATAAAGAGAATTATTTTGATCCATTAGATGATTCTTTTCACTTATGTTAATACACTCACACACATGCGCGCGCTCGGGACACTTTCATTTCTTATGTATTACTAAGGTTATTTTCTTGTTTCTTATTTCTTTTAATATTTGTGTATATCGGACTTTTTAATATAAGACTTTTTAACATACGTTTTTTTTAGGGGATAGTAATTTGAGAAGTAGATTGGTTGCAAAAGCAACCATATATAATTTGTTAATTGTCTCGTAAATTATCATAAGATCATACACTTCTATTTACATACGTATACATAAATAAATAATTGTGAAAATGACACACTTGTTGTCATTTCTTTATATTTCACCTATTAATGGTTTCAATGCTAATGGTAATAATTCAGCTGCATTCCCTTTAAATCCCCAAGTATCTTTTACTTTTCCCATCACAATATCATTCTCAATATCAGTATTGAAAATAGCCACTTTTCCTCCTTTTAATTTCACTCGATCAACATAACTATTTGCCGGATATACAGTTCCACTAGTACCAATGACAAGAATCAAATCCACAGGATGATTTTCCAGTTCAATAAAACTATCGATTTTCGTAATCATATTCAACGAAAGGGATTCTCCAAACCATACTACTCCTGGACGTAGAAGTCCCTGGCAGACCGGACATCGTGGTAATTCTTTTTCCAGTAATGTTTTGACCGGTTTCAATTGAGGAGATAGCAATTTATCTTCATTTTCATCTTCTCCCAATGTTCGTTTCCTATTCCGAGCCGTTCTATCAAATTCAAACTCAGTATCTGATAACGCTTTGGTTAATGGTTGTTTAAAATTATTATTCTCAACATAATTACACATAAAACTAGTACATTTTAACGTAAACAAAGATCCATGAATTTCATAAAGATTTTCCTTCAAATGTCCACTTCGACTCTGCAAACCATCAACATTCTGGGTTATGGTAATATACTTAAAATTCTTGTTCTCTTTACTCAATTGAGATAATTTACTCAAGGCATAATGACCACGATTCGGATTTGCTTTTAGGGCCCCATATCGTCTCCATGAATAAAATTGCCAAACTAACCCCGGGTCAATATAGAATGCATCTGGGGTAGCTAGATCTATCATATTGAAATTCTTCCATAATCCTTGTGAACCTCGAAATGTGGGAAGTCCTGACGATACTGAGAGTCCGGCACCTACTAATGCAACTATTTTTTTAGATTTAAGGAGATGTTCTTGGAATTCTTGTAGTTGAGTCGTTGCCATCATTTGTAAGAGGGATATCTTCGTCTTCGTTTCCCTCTGATAGTGTTCCAATTGCTTGTGATTTAAAGATAAGGGGGAGATAAAGAGTAGAAGACAAGGGTGTTCTAAGAAAATCCAATTTGGACTAAAATGGAAAAAAGGGTTGAGGATTTAAAAATTCTAAATTTTGCTTTGTCTGAGATTAAAGAGTGAAAAATAAAATGTGGGATTGTCACACTCTAAACCTAACGAGGTGATGATTTACATACGGGGGATAATTTTATTACATTAATTATTTATATATAATACATACAAAACATACTTATCTAGATTTCATTATCTCTAGTCTTATTCTTTAATTTCCAAGCCAAATATGCTACAGAATGTCCCAATTCAGATCTAGAATTAGTTATTATCTTCCTACCATTAAACAACACGGGGGGAGCACGATAGAATATCACTTCTTCAGATTCCTTGCCATCTTTATCCACTTTTCTTCTCTTATTCACCAATTCATCAAAATCACCTAAATCATTTGTCTCTGTATCTAAACCATAAGCCAAGACTCCACCTGCAAGTAGAGTGGAATAAGCAGATGCTGATGTATGGAAATTAGTACCGACCGGTGTAATACTAGTTGGAGCAGGAGTAGTTGCTCTCCTAAACATTTGTTGTTGTTGCTGGTGTTGTAATTGTTGCAATTGTTGTTCTTGTAATTTCTTTGCTTGATTTTCTTGGATTTCAGCTTGTAACAGCTTGTAAGAACCGGGGAAAATTGGCTTATCTTCAGTATATGAACCACTTCTTCCCGTAGTTGTAGCAGCTGTAGAAGTAGACCCAGAAGGATTATTAGCAACAGCCACACTTTCGATACTAGCAGTAGGTGACCCATGAGGAAGTACATTAGGAGCGGTATAAACAGTAGTAGTTGCACCACCACCACCTTTCAATTGAGAAATTGGTGTGAAAAGATATGCACGACGCCCAGATTGTGGATCATCATGTTCAGGTTGATGAACAACATTAGGACTGGTTGTATATTGACCTAAATCATCATCTGGTAATGGAGCGGTTTTATAAACCAGTCCTGTTATAGGTGGACAATTGGAAGGACCATTTCTAGGTTCTGGAATTGGCATACCAACATAAGCATCTGGTCTTAATAATGATTTAAGTGGAGATTCATATTTGATTAATTTACGATTGTCATGTAATGGAATCAACGGTTGTTCAGGATCGTCTCTAACTTCATCTGGTAAACAAGCTTTCCAAGTTCTAATACGGTTGAAAACATGACTTGATTCATTATATCTGAATTCACAAATAAACCATGGAGCACCATCTGGAATCACACCTTCAGGGAGATCACCCTTTTGATATCTTGTTAAGAAGATAACATAACATGGCCCTACAATATCATCAATTAAATGATCTCTATATTGACCTGTTTTACAAACTTCATTCTTGAAGAATAAACGATCAACACCATGACATGTTTGTTCTGGACGATAATACCAACAGATATTACAATATCTATTTCCTTCTTCAGTTGACCATAAACGGAAGATTTGTCCCACGGTTGGCCTATCAGGATCGGCATCATTTGACATCAATACCCAATCCCCGATTTTATAAGTATATCCATTCACTTCTAAAGTATCCAAGGGGAATCTTAAAACTCCATCACTACTTGCAGTACTAAGACTTAATAATTCCTTATCAGTTTTAGCCAATTCAACTTGAATGATATTATTTGCTTCCTTTTTGAAATATTGATAATCTAAAAATTCTTCACAATATGGATCCAGACCATAATATTCTTGTGCATTAGCAAACATTAAATCTAAATCATTTATAAATTGTTCAACATTGGCATATTTTCTACTTCTAACTTTTACTCTTATTTCTTGTAAACTCATTGGATTAGCAATTCTTTCATAATAATCAGTATCCAGTTTTGCATCGGGGAGTCTTTCGAAATGTTTTGTTAACATATGATCATTAGTTGGATCACGCAATTTCTTAAATCCTTTCAAAATCAACTTGATACGAGTTTCAAATGGTTTATCAATAATAGGAGGACGACCTCTTCTAATACCACTTTCAGCTTGTTTTGCCGGTCTATTTGAAGAATACAGGGGTGAAGAATGTTTTGGAGTATGAACAGGGGCGGGTATGAATGGTTGAGCTGCCTTATGAGGTTGCGGGATCTGTTGAAGTTGTTGAGGATGGCTAGTGGTCACTAATGGTTTAGCCATTGAAATGTAAGGATCAGCTTGAGGAGTAGTGCTCATTTCAGGAATGAATTCTTCTTTCTTTAATGGTGGCTCATTTTCAAATTGGAATCCCAGTGCATCTTGTGCATCTTTATCATCTGGCAAATCTCCAAGATGAGGATATATCAACGATTCATGATGAGGGATTGCTTTATCTTGTCTTAATTTGGGAAGGACAATTGTATTTATAAATTCTTTTAATATTTGAGCATGTCTATAATAAATTGAACCTGGTTCATTGAAATATCTTGCATTCCATGAAATTAATGCCAAATCATCAATAAATTCTTGAGCATTGGTATATTTTTGTTGTTTGATTTTTCTAGTTACTGCATGTAATGAAAGTGGATTCTTAATGATTTTATAATAATCAGTTCCTGTTCTTAATGGTAATGTTTGAAATGTTTGAAATATAAGATATCCGTTTTCTTCAACTTTATATAATCGATCCAATAAGACATTAAGTCTATTCAGAAGCTTCTTTCTTTCTCTATCGGACATTTTTCCTTCTATCCTATAATTTACTTTTACAAGAAGTGTCTGTCTGTCTGTTTGTCTACTGATCTGGTCTGTCTCTCGATGAAAAGGTCGTTCATTTGTTGTTTTGTTATTTTTTTCTTCTTTTTCTTTCCACTGCGAATTGAAACAGAAAAAAAAAGATTAAGAGTAATAAATTGTGCAGTACACGCACTATGACTGGCTTTTTGCAACCACTACAGAGTACCAGATATAAGTCACATAATGAAATGGATTTCTACTATAGATAGAGAGAGATTCAAAAAGGGATATAAATCGAAAAAGAGAATAGTGGAATCACGTAATGTATATATATATATGAAAAGCAAATAACCAGAAAGAACTAAATAAAATGGGAGAGTGGACATCGTCTAAACACTTGGATCACCAAATACACCCCAATGTTGTTCAACCCCATAAGGTCCAGGATCTTTCCAATAATCATTATACATAGTAAACACAAACACTTTAGAACCTAATGATTGCACAATTGATTGAATTGCGGAAACTTGATTTGCAACCGATGGAACACAATTTCCATATGGTTGACCTTGAGTTGGCCAACCAGTTTCAGTAATCAAAACTTGTTTATCTGATCCACAAGCACCTTGTAAATTGGCAATTTGTTGTTCTAACCAAGGACCAGAATTACTTGGATCTACATTACCATCCCAATATGGATGTGAATTAACGGCAAGATAATCAGATACTTGACATAATGCAGGATTAGCCACTACCGCAACCAAAGTATCTACCGAAACAATATATCCGTTATAATCAGGAGCATTAGTTTTCAAATATTGTCTAGCCGCACTTACAGCACTTTGAATATCTCCAACAGTTGCCGCACCAGAATTGACTAGTTCATTCCCAATAGCAATAGTATGAACAACTCCCCAACCACGACTACTTCCTCCAATAGCATTCACGATATCATTCAATTCATTTTGTACTGGATTTATAGTCCAAACCCCCAAAAATAATTGTTGATTAGAATTAATAGCTGCTAAAACATTCTCAATCCCAGAACAATCAGTACTATATAATCTAATAAGGTCAAAGTCACTTAATTTTGCAATATCTGATGCAACTTCTGCAGCAGTCTTACATTGTCCACTCTTGGTATACGGTGAGTAGGTGATTCCTTTCGCTCCAACGGAAACTTGAGCTCCTTGGCTGCTGCCACCATTAATGGCAGTTGCCGTCAGGACATCAATAGAACCACTAAGCATACCTGGGGATCCGCCTTGGAAGGAAACTCCTGCTGTTGGTTGGGGTGCACTCTGTGTTGATGCGGAGGATGATTGTTGAGATCCTGATCCGAGCAAAAGACTGAAAACTTCATCATGTGAAAGTCCACTTGTTGTTGTAGATGCTGCTTGTGGAGGAATGGTGGAACTAGGAAGATCATCGCCATATTCTGTCACTGTCTCGAGAATCAAAACAGTAGTTTCTTTCATTGTAGACTCGTCTTCTGTTAAAGTTATAGCGGGCGAGGCGGATGAAACAACTGGGGTAGCTGGAGCTGGAGCAGGTGAGTTGTTTGTCTCATCATCCCCCTCCAAGAATTTAATAGCCCCTTGGACAGCTTGTCCGAAGAAGCTTCCCCAAGAAGATTTTGTAGTTGTTGGAGTTTGTTCTACTTGAACATTATTATTGGTGGCCACAATCGAAGGTTCAGCCGAAACTATTGGAACAAAAGTGGAAGTTGATTGGGTGATTGGAGAAGGTTGGGCAAGAACATCAGATTGTGCTGTATCCTTAGAACCAAATATATCCAGCCAAAACCCTCTTTCCACATTGACTGGAAGGGCATCAACCGAAAATATTGAAATGAATAGTATAAGTAAAACGTTTATCACTCTCATAGCTTCAAATACCTATGATCTTAGACAAAATTCTTGAGTTGCCCTTTCTTTTATTTCCTTAGGGTCCAACAAGCAAAGTATATATCTTTATAGAAGCAGGTGTATGGTTATTAAGTTGATTTTAGGAATTGAAAAAAACCTGATCTATAATTGTTGCAAAATTGTTTCAAATAAAAATGAAGAGGAATTGTTTAAGTTTAAGTACAATGCCACGCAGATCAGATCTAATGCACATAATTTAACATTATGGGTTGTAGAAAAGGCTCCCTATATTAACTCCTTATTATCTTAATATGGTAATTGAGTCCTTGTTTATTATCTAACATTTCCTAAACAGGTTTGGATCAATTTTTTGCAACTTCATGGTTTTTTTAAGTGCGACTTTTTCCGAAATTTTCCTAATTAGGAAAAGACCCACTGCCACTTCAGGAATAGAATATCAGTTGTTGGAACAGAATTTTAATACAAGACAATGAACTTTTTCTACAAGCTAGAGGCAACTCTGTCGTTTTGTGAAATCTAGAGGGCTTTGTGGCAGTGTAAGCCATGAGGTATGAAATTAATTTATGGAGGCTCCAAAACTGATTTTTCTATTGGCCGACCCCCACCATTTTTTCTTGAATTGGAAAAGTAATCCAGAAAACCACCGGCCTTATTACAAATTACCTTCAGAATGGGCTTATGAAACCGATCTCCTGATCTGGTTAATTAATTAAGTTGCTGTGTAGTATTCCCCGCCAGGCTTCCTTGAATCAAAGGGGGGATGGATACATCTGGGGACACGTTGGTTCATGGTATCTCCGAGGCAGAATTAGGGAGATCAATCTCGTGATAAACTAGTGAAGTGCGGGTCAGAGAGTGGTACTACTATGAAGAGTTATCCGTCCATATCGTTGTTCAGAAAATATATCGACTACTGATTCGTATGAATATTGCAATATGGTGGTATCGAAATCGAGAGCATTTATTGCGAAAAGTAAATTTACATGAGCCCCTACTGTTAACTCTGGTTTGTATTAAGTTATAAAGTTTTGTCATGACACACAAACTGGACGAAAAGAAATCTAAACTATATTTACGTTGTATCGACGTTACATATCAACCCTAGGGATATCTTAAACTCGTTCACCTGAAGAATTTCACAATATAATAAAACATGACCAACATCACAACTACACAACCCCAAAATAACCATTTATCTTGTTTTGCTCTTCTCTCAATACTTCTAATAGTCCCCCTACTCACACCCAACGTAACTAAACTTTCTTCAAACTTCCCTTGAATCTTTCGTAATACCTCATTTTGTTCAACTATATCATCAAATGCTTGTTGTCCCATTTCCAATATCCGATCTAATTGTTCTGAACCCTTTACGAGAGTATTTTTCTCCTTATACATACCCTCTTGATACGACATGTAGGTTTGTTGTTGTTGTTGCAGCGCTGCTGGATCATAGGGGTTATCTGAACTAGTGGTACTATTATGAATATGTCTTCTACCAATTAGATCTTGAACATTATTTTCATGAATGATTGATTCTCGTTGTGATTTTAATTTATCAAATTTTGATTGAAATCTTTGTAAATCTTCATTGAATTTATTTAGCCTTGCTTCATTCTTTGTATATGATGGATCATAAATATCTCTTGATACTAAATCTCCATATTCTTTGATTGTTTTTCTGAATGCTGTAATTGAAGTTGTAATTGCTCCTTGAAGAGATAATGGCGATGTTGATAGATTCGTTTCGAATTGGGTTAAGTCATTGCTGATTGTTTGGGTTTGTTTTAGCCCGTGATTGTATAGGGAATTCATATTGTAGATAAAGTCCACCCAACGAAACAAGTCAGCCTTGCGATTAAACTGAATTTTTTTTGTTGTCGTTTTGCTTTGTTTGCATTTCGGTTGGCAAAAGAGAAAGAATTGATTGCTGCAATTTTATAGAAGAAAATTTATATCACCCTTCACCTTTCGGTTACACTCAACCATTGATGGCGGGAATTGGTACTTGGATTGTTTATGTTATACGATTATTATTCTATATAATGCATACAAATTAACCAATGGGAATGCTGTGCCCCAGGGCAAAGTGGGTTTGCCCCCATGGCAAAATTCTATTAAGTTTTCTTATAAGCCGCATGCGGCTCATGGTGATCTAGAACACATACTGATATTTTTTGCATTCCAAGCTGTTGTGTTTACCCTTCTGTGTTGTTCAAACAAGCTAACCAAAGAATCTGGCGAATGCTAACATCAAAGCAAAAGTACCAGATGATACCCCAATTAACCATTGCATAACTTGAGTCTTGACTGATTTAATTTGCATATGCATATTAGCAATTTCTTCATCAATTCTAGTATAAGTATCTTCAATCTTCAGTTCATGCAGAGAACTTTCTTCTCTAATTCTCCCCTTTTCTAAATTTAAATCCAATCTTACTCCAGCCTGATTTTTGGTGATTTCTTCTTTTAATCGATTTTTTAAATTGGTTAAATCAGTACGTAATCTTTCTTGTTCTTTTTTTAAATTGGTGAATTCAGTCTTATCCATAGTTTGTAATTCTCCTTTTAATTTTGCAAAATCGACTTTTTGTTGATAGGCTGTAGATGATAATGTTTCTTTGGTGACTAGATTTCTGGTGATTGAAATTACCCCGTCATTAATAGCGGCATTGACGACATTCACAGCGGCTTCTGCTTGTTTTTGATCAAATCCACCTTTTTCTTGCAATGTCTGTACGAATTTCTTGGTGTCAAATTTCGTAATCGAGGATAAATATCGATGATGTTGTTGTACATGTTGGGGTATTAGTATTCTTACCGGAGTTTGTAAGGCAAATCTTTGGGATATTATTCGAGACATCGTTTCTATATATTTGTGTGGTGGTTGATGGAAGAAGAGAGATTGGCCAGGTTTATTGTATAAAGTTGTCACAGGGTCAATAGGAAATGAAAAAGAAGATGGTTGTGGATGGGAACTCACACATCCATATGAATTAAATATTTTTGTGTATCAAAGAGAAAGTTGTATTGTTTCCCAGTATGGCAAAGACAAGCGAATGGGAATGTGAGAAAAAAATCTTACTAAAAGAAGATCTATAACAAAGGGATATCCATCACATCACTAAACCAAAGCACGTTTGGAAAAATATGTTGTCAAGATCAAGATTGGTAGTTCGAACCCTTCCGATCTCACGAAGAGTTCTTCCGAAAACAAGCGGATCAATAAGATATGTATCTTCCAACAACAAAGAAGTTAAGGATGATTCTGATTCTAAATTTGATTCGATTGATGAGTTTAATAAACATAGGGTACAATATAATTTTGGTCATAACTTTAATGAACTTGAAGATTTAGAACCAATAACCAATCCAGATGTAAAACGTGAAGTTGAAACCAAACAACAAAACAGCATAAACCTAGATGATGAAATGATGCAGAATGTTAATACTATGCTTGAACAAGATCCTCGTTTAGCAGGATTAAAACCCGGTTCTGCAAAATATAAAGAAATCTTACATTATCTTCATGAAGAGTTCCAAAAACAACAACAAAAGGAAAGAAAGAGATGGGAATTTAATGAAAGAATGAGGGGAGTTCTTCTTGGTGCTGTAGCCGTTGTTGGAATTTTATCTGCTCATCAAATCTTTATGAATTATGAATATTTGAAAAATAAAATAATGGCAAATATAACTTATAAAGGTGTTGATGAATCAAAGGCAAAAGATATGGCTTCTCCAGAATTGAATACTAAGAAAGCAAGTAATTTGAAAGATGCTTTATCTAATGAATTACATGAATCAATCTTGGAAACTGTTCAAGATTCAAAGCAAGTCCCAGGATTATATGTTTTTGGATCTCATAATTCTCAGAAATTACCTGCTCGTATTCCATTCTTTGATAATATGTTACTTAAGGATGTCTATGTTTCCGGTGATTATTTAGCAGCTGTTAATGATGCCGGAAAAGTCTATGAATTATACAAGGGCTTACAAGAGCCACAATTGGTTAACTTACCATTCAAAGTTCAACTGATCGGAGCTAGTGGTCCATTCCTTTATTTCTTAACCAACAAAGGTCAAGTCAACTACATCCCCAGAGGCGATCAAAAAGTGACCAACTTCCTCCCAACTTCAACAAGAAACTGGATCGGTCTATTAAAACAAACCAAATATGCCACATTATCAACCCAAGACCCTATCAAACAAATGTCAACCGGGAAAGATCATCTTACATTATTAACCACCCAAGGAAAAATCCTTATTGTTAATTCCAACCCCACCAATCCGGAAAACTATGGACAATTCGGTCCCGCCTATTCCCCCTATGATAAATCAAAAGCAATCCCGTTCAATCAACCGATTGATATCACTTTATTAAATAACGAAATCGTCATCCGTAAGGATGGGACTAAATTCATCCAACCTCGTGTATTTAGTAGTATTGCCGCCGGACAACATTTCAATATTGCTTCTGATCAATCGGGGAATATTTGGACATGGGGGAAGAATCTATCTGGACAATGTGGGGTTGAATTGAGTGAAACTACTGAATTACGTCCGATTCCTAAGGTTGTGTTGACCAAGGAGGATTTTAAACGGATTTGTAGAAGTTCGTTGGATGCCAATCCAAATACGGAAGAATTTTCGGTTAGGGAAGTGTTTGCTGGGGATGAAAGTTCATATATTCTTTTGAATTATGCCGACGGGAGACAAAAAGAACAAGATATTGTGTTGAGTTTTGGAAATGGTATAAATGGACAATTAGGTGGGAATAGATATTTACATGTATGTTCAAAACCACAAGTTATGAAATCGTTATTGGGATTGACAGAATATGATGAAGTTAGAGGAAAATCTGTAAATATTGGGATTAAGGATCTTAATGTTGGTAACAAACATCTTTTTGTTACTTTGGATACTGTGGGTGAGATGAAGGATGTATTGGCAGTAGGTGAGAATGAACATGGTCAATTTGGGAATGGTAAGAGGGTTAAATCAAGTAAGCCACTTCAAATACCTAAATTAATAGAACCTGAAGATGTTGAAAATAATAGAGGATCAATGAATAAGTTGGTAAAGAAGATTAATGATATTGTTACTAATAGACTACTGATGTTGCATGATCATAAATTACCTTCTGGGGCCAATGTTGAACAAGTTATTGTTGCAAGTGACGATGCATCAGCCATCTTCTATAGACGTAAATAGGACAATCGCTTTTCTTGTTTTCTAACTGTATATATATTATTATTATAATCTATTTTCTATTAACAACACTAATAATTAACACACTTATAAGTTAAAGAGTTCGTTTAAGATCTTAATGGTATCAGCAGGAGAGTTGACGGCATGACCAATAGTTCTTGGATCAGTATAAATTTCATAATCATTACCACCTTTGTAAGATTTATCACCAAAGAAGTGAATTTCATCAAAGTGTTCATCTTCAACATGTTGTAAACAATAAGTCTTATCCCAACCAGTTGGGAAGACATCGAAAGAAATTTGTCCACCAATAGAATAAGTTAAACCATAATCTGGGAAGTTTTCTCTTAAAGCATTAACCATAGTTTCTCTAATTTTATGTTCTTTATCATAAGCTTCATATTCATTTCTTTCTTTAGTTGAAGCATTTCTACCAATTGGAGAAACATTAATCATACCATTTCTGAATTCAACAAAAGTACCTCTTCTAACTGGTAAATCTAATTCTGATAAATATCTTAAAATAAATTTAACTAATTTATTATATTTTTCATTACCAATCCAATTAATAAATGATTGAGATGCTAATTCTTTACCTAATTTATAAGCAGTTAAACCATTCTCGGAAAAGCAATAATCGAAATCTTCTAAAACAGTTGGACCTAATTGTTCAACTTGTTTAGATAAATCAGAACCACCAACAAAACCAACAACAACTTTCTTTCTTAATTTTTCTAAAGTTTGTTTCATTTCATCAGAAATGAATAATCTGGCTGGAGTTAAAGTACCATCAACATCGAATAAGACTAAAACCTTTGGATTCTCTTTATGGGCGAATGACATGTTTATTTATTTATTTAATTACTTTACTTAAATTAAAGTCAAAGAGACAAGAAGAAGAAGAAGTGAGATTGAAATTGTAATTCGGGAAAACTTAAATGAAATTTATATTTAGAAGAAAAATTCAGCCTCGAGTAGTTTTTCCACCGTGTTCAAAGTAGAAAATATTTTTTTATGGTGGGCGCGTCTAACACAATTTTAGTAACACAATAACCACTAGACAGTATGACAATAATGAAGGAAACGTTTCATCCCAAAACGGTGTTCTCTATTGTTTAAGAGATTGACATATATGCACGACTATATACCCTACAGAAACATTTTACTGTCAAAAGATTACAAAATTTAAAGTCGTCAAACTGTGGATTGAGAAAAATGTCGTTTTCTGTCATAATTTGTGTCATGGTTTGAAATTTACAATGTAACGTAACATTTAAGATTTTCTTAATAAATCTCACTCAGTTTGAAAACCTCTCTTTACATATTTGATACCGTTCTATAGTAAGTAATTTGTTTATAAGACTTGATTCATTCGCATATGCTGTATATCTACTTCTATAAGTTGCTAACATCATAATTTCTTGTATCTGTTCGAACGATCTTCCATTGGCCCTCGTTTCATTTATGATGCAATTTTGGTCAATTTGCAGCAAAAAATTTCACTCAGCTTAATGGTAGAATAATTAGCTTATGACCTGAGAATTCCATGTATAATTTACTGTTAAACTCTCTCAAAGATATGAAAGCATCTCATCAATACTTAAAGAAGGTTCTTAAACAAGTCGTCTATTTAGAATATGTCGTATTCACTCTTTTCCGAAAACTCTACTTTGTCCATGCTTTCCCAATCCCAGTGAGACAACAAAGCTGTCTTCTAGCATTGACCGAATAACATTGTATGAGACTGATTATACTGAATCAAGCTACGAAGTATCAGAGGGAATACCCGTTAGACACAAATATATACAAACTTACACTCTACACAAACACATATTATATGAAGATTCTTTTCAAATTAAAATACACAAACCACACAATTTAAATAAACTAAAAGTTTAACTATATATTTAAGCTTGGTATTGGAAGTTTGGGAATTGCTTTAAGTTTTGTTCTAAGTTACCCTTTCTAGATAAGAACTTAACATAAGCACCATCATCCTTAACTTCACCATTGTTCTTCTTAGCAACATAATCAGCTCTATCCAAAGGAGTGAAACCCCATTTCTTAGAGATAATGATTCTTTGTTGACCTGGGAACTTATATCTAGCTCTTCTTAAACCTTCAATAACAACTTCCTTGTTAGAATCCTTAGTTCTACAAGACATGATAATTTGACCAATAGAAACTCTGGCAGCTAAACCGTGAGGCTTACCCCAAGCACCTCTCATACCTTGTTGCAATCTATCGGCACCGGCACATGACAACATCTTGTTGATACGTAAAACGTGGAATGGATGGACTCTAACTCTTAAATGGAAAGAATCTCTACCAGAAACCTTGGTGATGTATTTATTGGCACAAATACGAGCAGCTTCTAAAGCTTCAGAAGATAATTGTTCTAATTCGTTAGAAACTAAATGAATACATAATGGGAATTCATCAACCAAAGCCTTCTTTCTACCTAAATCGTAGATTCTAATCTTAGCGTCTGGGACAGCTCTGTTGTATCTGGACTTTGGGTATGGTTTGTTCTTACAGTATCTGTAACATCTAGCTGGTCTTCTAGCCATTTTGTCTATAGGAATATTATTGTTAGTAATCAAAGAAAAACTTTTATGAAAAACAATCAAAGATCTTTGCCCTATATATCTTGCATGCGGTAGATTTTGCCATTATGTTGCGGGATCCTTCGGGATTTATATACTCCTGAAAATTAGTCATTCTTATTAAAACTAAGGGATTATGGTTGATTACAAATCATTTTTTTCAATTTTTCAATTTTCAATAAATCATGTTGGAACTGGTGGTTCCGGTTCAGTCGTTCATTTCATGTGGTAGGAAAGGGATATTAGTGTATTCTATTGCATTTATGACATATATTAGGACTTAATCTTAATAGGTAGGTAGGGGGTACATACCTTATTCAACCTTGGTTAGTATTACAAGTAAAGGATTTGTAAGCAAATTCTCAAGAAAATCTTTTTTATTGGGAATGAATGAATCCGTTTGGTTGTGTGAACTACAAAAAAGTGCGTGCGATTAACAGAAATGATGATACTGCATATAACGATGTCACTTTTGTTAGTAGAAATCTCACCACCAAAAAAAAAGGGAGAGAAAATTTGGAAAAATGAAAAAGTTTTTTTCCTGAAAATCCAGGTCACATGACTCTGTGACTGCTTTTTTTGATCACCTGACTAATATCAGGTGACTTAGATCACGTGATCGAATTTCCTATTTTGGAAATTGATTTCCCATTGCTTTTTGGGACTATGAAAAAAATTAAATGAAGCTCATCTCTTTGATCCAATCTATCTATTTAATAATAAACGATAAGCCAAAACAAAATGGGAAGATATAGTGTTAAAAGATACAAGACAAAGAGAAGAACAAGAGATCTCGATTTGATTTATAATGATTTATCATCCAGAGATTCAATAGTCAGATTAAAGAATCAACCGTTAGATGAAACCAAACCAGGATTAGGTCAATATTATTGTATTGAATGTGCAAAATATTTCGAAACACAATTAGCATTAGATCGTCATGGGAAATCCAAAATACATAAAAGAAGAGTTAAAGAATTAAAACAAAGACCATATACTCCTTTGGAATCGGAAGCTGCTGCTGGGGTGAATATGCTTAAATTTAACGAATCAGTGAAGAAGTATTTGGAATTAGAACAACATAAGGCAGAATATAAAGAAGAAATAGATGCTTTAGTGAATCAAAAGAAAGATACTTTGGATGCTATTATTACTGGTATCCCATCTGAAGAGTTCCAACGTCAACAACAGGAAACAACTGGGGAAAGCATGATGACTGATTAGGATATTAGCAAATATGGCTTATCTTTATCAGTATTATCACTATTTGTACATTAGTTAAAAAAATCTTTCAATTCATTCGTATGGTTATATTTTTTAATAGACATAATAATATTATTATTAATTTTGAGGATTATCGATAATAGGGAGGGGGTTGATAGTGGCTAAGGAAATTAATTTTTTAGAAGGAATCAGATGCCCGAGAGACCGAGAGATAGAAGAAGAAATCTTTCTTAAAATAGATATATATATATAAAACCAATTCTAGATTCTGGGAGGCGGTGTTATTTTGTCTGATTACCCTTTTCGTATATGAACTAATTGGGTTGTGTTGACCGAGTAGTATTTTCTCACATGCAATATTTATTATGCAACAGAACGAAATTGACAGCCGCAAGAAGTAACTACTATTGTACTACTACTGTAAATAGAAAATAATATAAAGACAGAGTGAGCGTATGAGTAAAGGCAAGCAATCTAAAATCTTAATTTAATTATAAATTCCCACACGTAACAAAACACACACACAAAGAACAATCTAATAATAAATTGTTACACTCATTCTCTTACCAGCAACACAACAACAACAACAGAAAAAAATAAATTCTGATTTATTAATTATTTTAAACTTTAAATTTACATTTACCACTTCAAGATCTTAATATCTATTCACACTTTTCTTATTTACTTAAGACTTTACTTCTTTTCATAGGTACTTGGAGAAAACTTTAAAATATCACTTTTCATAGAAAGATTCAATCATTGTATTAATAAATATTTAGATTATCCCTGTATCAATAGTAAACAAACAAGTGTATTTCAACCAGACTTATCAATTCATTTTTGTACTACAACTATTTTCAAATCAATCCCAAGACATTTAGCAACAAAAAACACACTATGAGATTAAAGTTAAAATCAAAAACAGGTGCATGCACCATAAATATAGAAGATACAAAACCATTCAAGGAATTCTTAGAAGATATAGATAAAAACCTACAATTACATAGACAATCTGAAATACTACATCTGATCAAATTAGGCTATCCACCAAAACCATTAGATTTACAAGATATACTACCCGAAACAACAATTTCGGATAAAGGAATTAAAGATGGTGATCAATTGATAATAGAATTTAAACCTGGAGTATTACATAAACGACAATTATCAAGTTCTCCAGAAATACCATTAGCGCCACCCATTAAGAGGAAACAACCACCAAGTGAAGAAATTCCATCTATTTATATGCAAGATTTACAGAAATATCTTATACTTCGAAATATTCCTGATGATAATTCATGTTTATTTAATTCAATTTCATATGCATTGTTTGGATATGATTCATTCAAGACATTTTCACCTCCTCATAATTTACGAGAGATTGTTGTTAGTTATATTGAAAAAGATCCGGAACTTTATTCTGAATTAGTATTGGGAAGACCAAGACAAGATTATTGTGATTGGATCAGGAAAAAGGATTCTTGGGGTGGTGCAATTGAATTAGGAATATTGGCAGATTGGTATAATGTTCGAATTGTATGTATTGATATTGAACTGGGGAATTTTATTCGATTTGAAAATGAAAAAGAACGAGCTAAAAGATATATTATATTGATATATAGTGGGATTCATTATGATTTATTAAGTATGAATGAAGTTTTATCTACTAAAGATTGTGATAAAGCAAATGATGTATCAAATTGGTCACTCGAAGATAGCAAAGAAGAAGAAATAATACTTGCATCAAGTCAGAAATTATGTAAACTATTACAATCACAGGATTATGCAACTAATACTACTACTTTTAGAGTAAGATGTCTTGATTGTTTACAAATTCTTGTTGGAGAAATGGGTGCATCAAAACATGCGGAAGATACTGGACATGTGAATTTTGGTGAAGTGACTAAGTTGAAAACTCTGATAGTATAGAAGCGACGCTACGCATGGGAAGTATCCAAATATAGTGATAACTATTGAGAATAGTTTAGTTAATGGCTGAATCTACTTGATAATTATCCCCAAGACATTTGCAACATTTGGATTTCTACTAGTTTGCTTTTTTCTTTTGTTGGCTTTTCGGTTAAACAATCTAGAGCCAATTTAATCATCTGATTATAGTTTCCAGTCTTATACTATAGAACATACAATATATATACTCTAGAGTTTACAATATATAGTACAAATAAAGACATATAGTGATAAGAATGTGGTTGCACAGATAATGGTAAGTACACACTACCTATTCTCTCTTTTTTTGATGCGAAAATTTTGCCATGTGTTGCATTTATTTAATGACAGAAGAAAAAATCATCCATCACTTTCAGTCAGTCAGTCAGTCAGTCAGTCAGTCTCACTCAGAAGAAAACTTAAAATTAATCTGAAAAGCCTCACCATCTTCTCTTTCACTTTCACTTCCAATTTCTTTTCTTTTACTTTCAAAAGGATTGATAAATTTACAGATTGGGAATCATCTTAATAATCAAGTCACTAACTACCACTTCCAGATCTTTTCATAAATTTGTTTCACGTTTTTTGAAAAAGAAAATTTTCCAAATATCGACAATCATAAAAAAAGAAGATCAACCCCATCATATAAATTATCCACTTGACCAACTACCAATCCTAATTTATATATTCATTTTCCAAACTATTTAATTAACAGTTTGATAATTCCACATTTGATAATACTTACAATCCAAAGATGTCTAAATCTACTGAAATATTTTGTATGTACTAATACCTTGTTACTTAGATTTCATTTGATTCATGAGAAACTTTTACTAACAATTCTTTTTTAGGTCGTATTCCAAGATCTGTTGACTTGATACACGATTTTGAAGATATCACTCCTGCACCAAAAGCCAATGCTGAATGCCGTGTTGCTAAATACTCCAGCAATGGTAAATACTTTGCTTATACCCAACCTAATGAAGTTGTCATTCTTGATACAACTACCAAAGCTAAATTATATCATCGTATTGAAATGAATGAAGTATTTGATATCTTGTTTTCTCCAAATGGTACTTATTTATGTCTTTGGTGTAAACCAATTCAAATTAATAAAGAAAATGGTACTTGGAATAACAATTTAAAAATATTTAATTTGAATACTAAAAGTATAATTGTTGAATGGAGTCAAAGACATCAAGCAGGTTGGAAACCACAATTCACAAGTGATGAAAAGATCTTTTGTAAAGGTTTCAATCAAAAAGAAATTCATTTCTTTGAAATTGATTCTAATTCAGATGCTACCATTAATATCAATCAACCAAATTATAAATATAAAGTAGCAGATCCTAAGGCACCTTTTAATTGTTTTGAAATTTCTCCTGGTAAAAACCCAAGTATAGCGGTTTTCATTCCTGAAAAATCAGGTAAACCAGCCAATGTATCCATATATAATATTCCAAATTTCAGTCAACCTACATGTTCCAAAAACTTCTTCAAAGCCGAAAGATGTCAATTGAATTGGAATTGTCTTGGTACTGCATTATTAGCATTAGCTTCCACCGATCATGATACTTCAAATCAATCCTATTATGGTGAAACCAATCTTTATTTATTAGGGATTGCCGGTTCATACGATTCAAGAATTGATTTGAAAAGAGAAGGTCCAATTCATGATATTACTTGGTCTCCAACTGCTCGTGAATTCGCCGTTAGTTATGGTTATATGCCATCTGAAACTACATTTTTCGATGCTAGAGGTAATGCCATTCATTCTTTGCCAACTGCACCAAGAAATACTATTTTATATTCTCCTCATGCGAAATTTGTATTAGTGGCTGGATTTGGGAATTTACAAGGTACGGTTGATGTTTATGATCGTCAAAATAAATTTTCTAAAGTAGTGACATTTGAAGCTTCTAATACTTCAGTATGTGAATGGTCTCCATGTGGAAGATTTATTCTTACAGCTACAACATCTCCAAGATTGAGAGTTGATAATGGATTGAAGGTTTGGCATGCAAGTGGGAAATTAATCTATATGAAAGAATACCAAGAATTATATTCAATCGGATGGAAACCACAAGAACTTTCCACCTTCCCTCATTTGAAAACATTAGAACCAGCACCTGAAGCTCATGAATCGGCCAAGGAATATTTAGCCAAACATGCGGCTAAAACAAATGCCGCAGTTAAGAAACCTGCTGGAGCTTATCGTCCACCCCATGCTCGTGGATCAAGTATGACTCCAACTTCTTCCTTACATGAATTGGAAAATAATAGAAGAAGTACTGGTATAACCCCACCACCGGGCTTGACTAGAAATGGGGTGAATCCAGTCAGTGGTAGACCAAGGACTGTGGTTGGCGCTGCTCCAGCGGTTGAAAAGGAAAGTAAAGCCGCTGCAAAGAATAGAAGAAAGAGAGAAGCCAAGAAACAACAAGGTGAAAAGGGAGCTACTCCAGAAGTTGCCGAACCATCTCCAGCTGCCTCCCCTTCTCCTGCTCCTGTTGCTGCTGCTGCTGCTGCAGTTGCGCCAGCACAGGCTTCTGGATATGTGATTGGAAATGTTGCCTCTCTTGAAGAAAAGAAGATTAGATCATTATTGAAGAAATTAAGAGCTATTGAACAATTAAAGATGAAACAAGCTTCAGGTGAAACTTTGGAAGATACTCAAGTTATTAAGATTTCTAAAGAAGATGAAATTAGACAAGAATTGACTATTTTAGGTTGGCAAGAATAGTTAATTATCGAGGATTAGTTCTCGAAAAGGATATAAATAGTAATTTATAAAATCTTTAGTACAATATATATAATATTACATTTCTTCTTTCTTAAAGATGATTCGCTTAGTCTGACTATTTCGAATCGAGTTATGAGCCATGCCAGATGGAAGTCCGGTTTAAAATATCTGTAGAATAACTAATTAAATATGTTTTGATTTCTTATCAGTTCTTGTTATCTATAATTATTGGATTCCCATTTAATTATTAATTACCCGAACCAAGCGGGTGCTGCACATACTCAGGTTAGCCGTTATAAAACCGGGTAATTCTCAGTGTTTTCAAACAAGAATGTGTCAAACGTAATTTCCTCATTCAGCAAAGTGATTAATTAATTAATTTTATTTTATTTTTTTCGTTATAAGTGTACAAATTAAAAAAAACCGGTTTTATGTTTCGCATAAAGTTGTTTGATTTATTTTTAGTCTTTGTGTGAATATGTTATTATAGTTTTGATTTTGTGGAATTCCACCTGTTCCGAATTGTTGTCTAGTTTTCTGTTTCAAGGCAAATCTAGATTTTGAAACGGCGCATCTTAGGACTAAATCAGAAATGTAAGTGTTAGCCTGCTGGAGGTCAGTATTGGCTATGGAGGTATCGGTTTCTCTGCAGAGATGAATATTTTTTTGGAGCGAAAGTCTATAATTTTGGTTGGACGCGAATATTTTTTTTTCATACTAAAAATTAACGAGATCAAAAAATTTTCACTCTTATAAAATAACGGTGTTAAAAAAAAAATATACAGGAATGCAGAGTATGACGCGGTATGATAGAGTATCAGAATCACTGTAATGTTCTAAATAATATTTATACTTGTTTGCAATACTTAGTTCCACATTAGAAAACGGTATAAAATAATTTTCACAATAACTGTTACACATCCGGATCTATTTAACAGTTCCGCACTTGAAACACATCAAAAATGTAGCACAAAATGCCACCTCCAACAATTGGATCAGATCAAGAAGAGCTTCGTTTTAGAAATAAGTTTGTGGCTAAGTGAACGAAAATTAGGGGTCTATTAGTTTCGTAAAAATATCAATGGGTTCAGTATAGTTATACTATTATTTAACTTGGCAAGATAGAAGAATTTTATTGTAATTATATCAAATCCAAGAGATTTCAAATCTCTCGTCTGACATATTTTTTTGTTTGGATTCTGAATGGAAAGCACAACTGTTTGATTTTGTTCTCGTGTGGTTGGTTGTAAGTTATTGAGATGAGTACTTTCAGAAAAGTAAATATTATTAATTAATAAATCCACTTTTGAAAAGACACATTCAACTAAATTGATCTAGAATTCTGCAGGTCGTGTTTTCGCGTTTACCATCTATAGAAGAAATACAATTTAATTTGTAAAATTTACAGATTAAACTTAAAAAAAAATAAATACATGTTACACTAAAATCCTTTACAGGTTGATGGTAATTTACAGGTTTCATGGTCCCCTTTCGAATTTTACATTTTAATTACATTTTGTTTCTCAATCTTTCTAAGTTTTGTTTTAATCTTTCTTTCCGATTTTTTTTTTTAATTAGAATCTTTCTTTTTATAATTCATCACAACAAATCGATTATACAACTTTTCAACTTAAAAGTAACTCACAATACTACTATTCTTTTACCAACTAGTCATCACAATCGTTAAGAGTGTTACTTTGAAGTCATAAAGGTATGTAATTTTTACAAGAATTAATAATAATAAAACTGATTTGAATGATTATTTTTAGAACGTGTGGACTTCCCAGACTTTTTTTGATCTATTCGAGACAAACAAGAAATTTGGACATAAAAATATCAACCACATCATATTCAACCACTCGTCAACCCCATTACTCGATACATTACAACAACAATCATTATTTGGCAACACACACTTCACATTGGTGCAATAGTCGCAGCAAAACGGATTTGGCTGTCAAAGCTTTTTGGCTGCCATTTTTTTTTCTACGATTCGCACAAAATACTGCATATAAACCGTTTCAAGCATTGTGTTTGTTTTTTTTGGTGTTCTTTTAGTTAAAGGGGTGTTGGGATAAATTTAAGGGGGCTGGGATTTATTATGATGATGATCTAGTTATAGAAATCTTGAGGAATGATGATACTGAGAGGGCAGTAGCACATAGCCTATAGAATGCTCACTGGACACATGCTTCAAAAAAGGCTTGATTAGAAAGTGATAATTTTAGAAGTGTTAGCCTCCAAAACTCAGCCCTTAGTTTTTTCTAAAATTAGAAGCACCACCAAAAAAAAAAAAAAAATTTATTCCCATCCATAAATTTAAATTATTTTTTATTGTTGCATGGATAATTTAAATTGTGTGAAGTTGCCAAAAATGTACAATGCCTGAAAAAAAGAAATTTCTAAATTGGTGCCGGATTTGAAATTTTGAACTCCTTTTGTGGATAAGGTTTTAAGAAAATAATATCTTGTCATACATAAAAAAAGCCTACAAAGGAGAGAGTGGTTGTTCGTAATCGAGAAGAGATCAAAAAATATTGAAAAAGTGGTTGTTATTTTTCGAAGGATTACTTATAATTAGAACAAAATCCACTTCATCTTGGGAAAGAAGATCAACTACATCTTTTGGCTTATCCTTTCAAACAAACAAACCGAATTTGAAATTCATCTTGCTTTTTACTTATTAAACAACTAAAATAAGATCCAGGATTTTTTTTAGGGAGGCAAGGCAAGCATCATTAATCTACAAAAAAAAGAAAATAGAAAACGTTACACTCGCTAAAAAAAACTGAAGTTACGAGTTATTTTTTTCCTTAGAATTTGAAAAGTTGTTTGTTTTATTTCACACACATCATTACTTAGTCAATATTTTCAAATACAAATCACATCATCGTTTTATTATTACATTCATTCTACCAAGGGGACCAAATACTAACCTAATATCATCAAGATGTCGTATAACGATAATAACCCCAATTATTATGATCCCAATCAACAGGGTGGTCATAATGGTGCACCACCACCTCCAGCACCACCACCTGTGGATGGATACTATCAACAACCATATGAAGATATGAATCAACCGAATCAAGAGTATTATGACCCAAATCTTCAATACCAACAACAACCTTATGACATGGATACATATCAAGATGGAAGTCAATATGGAAGTCAATATGGAGGACAACCGATGAATGCACAAGGCTACAATGCTGATCCAGAAGCTTTTTCTGATTTCAGTTATGGTGGTCAAGGAACTGGTACTCCAGGATATGATCAATATGGTACCCAATATACTCCTTCACAAATGAGCTATGGTGGTGATCCAAGGGCATCATCAGGTGCTTCTACTCCTATTTATGGTCAAGGTCAAGGTTATGACCCAACCCAATTTCAAATGTCATCCAATTTACCATATCCAGCATGGTCAGCCGACCCACAAGCACCAATTAAAGTTGAGCATATTGAAGATATTTTCATTGATTTAGCTAATAAATTTGGTTTTCAAAGAGATTCTATGAGAAATATGTTTGATTATTTCATGACTTTATTGGATTCAAGATCATCTCGTATGTCACCAGCTCAAGCTTTATTGAGTTTACATGCCGATTACATTGGTGGTGATAATGCAAATTATAGAAAATGGTTTTTCTCATCTCAACAAGATTTAGATGATTCATTAGGTTTTGCTAATATGAGTTTAGGTAAAATTGGTAGAAAAGCCAGAAAAGCTTCCAAGAAATCAAAGAAGGCTAGACAAGCTGTTGAAGAACATGGTCAAGATGTTGATGCTCTTGCCAATGAATTAGAAGGTGATTATTCATTAGAAGCTGCTGAAATTAGATGGAAAGCCAAGATGAACACTTTGAGTCCAGAAGAAAGAGTTCGTGATATTGCTCTTTATTTGTTATTATGGGGTGAAGCTAATCAAGTTCGTTTTACTCCTGAATGTTTGTGTTATATTTACAAAGCTGCATTTGACTATTTGCAATCTCCATTATGTCAACAAAGACAAGAACCAGTTCCTGAAGGTGATTATTTGAACCGTGTTATCACTCCATTATATAGATTCCTTAGATCACAGGTTTATGAAGTTTATGAAGGTAGATTTGTGAAACGTGAAAAAGATCATAATAAAGTCATTGGTTATGATGATGTGAATCAATTATTTTGGTATCCAGAAGGTATTTCAAGAATTATGTTTGAAGATGGTACAAGATTGGTGGATATTCCAAAAGAAGAACGTTATTTAAGAATGGGTGAAGTTGAATGGGGTAATGTTTTCTTTAAGACATATAAAGAAATTAGAACTTGGTTACATTTTATCACTAACTTTAATAGAATTTGGATTATTCATGGTACTGTTTATTGGATGTATACTGCTTATAACTCCCCAACATTATATACTAAGGGTTATGTTCAAACTATGAATCAACAACCTCTTGCTTCTTCAAGATGGGCTGCTTGTGCTATTGGTGGTGTTGTTGCATGTCTTATTCAAATCTTTGCCACTCTTTTTGAATGGATGTTTGTTCCAAGAGAATGGGCCGGTGCTCAACATTTGACTCGTCGTTTAGTATTTTTGATTTTGATTTTCTTACTTAACTTGGTTCCAGTTGTTTATACATTCTACATTACTGGATTAACATTATATTCAAAATCTGCACTTGCTGTTTCCATTGTTGGGTTCTTTATTGCCATTGTTACTTTATTTTTCTTTGCAATTATGCCATTGGGTGGTTTATTTACTTCATACATGAACAAGAAATCCAGAAAATACATTTCATCTCAAGCTTTTACTGCTAACTTTATCAAATTGAAGGGTTTAGATATGTGGATGTCTTACTTATTATGGTTATTAGTTTTTGTTGCTAAATTATCTGAATCTTATTTCTTCTTGACTTTGTCTTTAAGAGATCCAATTAGAGATTTATCCACTATGACTATGAGATGTGTTGGTGAAGTTTGGTATAAACAAGCTATTTGTACCAATCAAGCAAAGATTGTTTTGGGTTTGATGTATCTTGTTGATTTGTTATTGTTCTTTTTGGATACTTATATGTGGTATATTATTTGTAACTGTATCTTTTCCATTGGTCGTTCATTCTACTTGGGTATTTCCATCTTAACTCCATGGAGAAACATTTTCACCAGATTACCAAAGAGAATTTATTCCAAGATTTTAGCTACTACTGAAATGGAAATCAAATATAAACCAAAGGTTTTAATTTCACAAATTTGGAATGCTATTGTTATTTCAATGTACAGAGAACATTTATTAGCTATTGATCATGTTCAGAAATTATTATATCACCAAGTCCCATCTGAAGTTGAAGGTAAGAGAACTTTAAGAGCTCCAACTTTCTTTGTTTCCCAAGATGATAACAATTTTGAAACTGAATTCTTCCCAAGAAACTCTGAAGCTGAAAGAAGAATCTCATTCTTTGCTCAATCATTAGCTACTCCAATTCCAGAACCATTACCAGTTGATAACATGCCAACATTTACTGTTTTCACTCCTCATTATTCTGAAAAGATCTTACTATCATTGAGAGAAATTATTAGAGAAGATGATCAATTTTCCAGAGTTACTTTATTGGAATACTTGAAACAATTGCATCCAGTTGAATGGGAATGTTTTGTTAAGGATACTAAGATTTTAGCCGAAGAAACTGCTGCCTATGAAAATGGTGATGATTCTGAAAAATTATCTGAAGATGGTTTGAAATCCAAGATTGATGATTTACCTTTCTATTGTATTGGTTTTAAGTCTGCTGCTCCTGAATATACTTTAAGAACTAGAATTTGGGCTTCTTTAAGATCTCAAACTTTATATAGAACTGTTTCAGGTTTCATGAATTATGCTAGAGCTATTAAATTATTATACAGAGTTGAAAACCCAGAATTAGTTCAATACTTTGGTGGTGATCCAGAAGGTTTAGAAATGGCTTTAGAAAGAATGGCTAGAAGAAAGTTTAGATTCTTAGTTTCTATGCAAAGATTATCGAAATTCAAAGATGATGAAATGGAAAATGCTGAATTCTTATTACGTGCTTATCCAGATTTACAAATTGCTTATTTGGATGAAGAACCTGCCTTGAATGAAGATGAAGAACCAAGAGTTTATAGTTCCTTGATTGACGGTCATTGTGAAATGTTAGAAAATGGAAGACGTCGTCCTAAATTTAGAGTTCAATTATCTGGTAATCCAATTTTAGGTGATGGTAAATCTGATAATCAAAATCATGCTGTTATTTTCCATAGAGGTGAATATATTCAATTAGTTGATGCCAATCAAGATAATTATTTGGAAGAATGTTTGAAGATTAGATCTGTTTTAGCTGAATTTGAAGAATTGAATGTTGAACATGTTAATCCATATGCTCCAAACTTGAAATCTGAAGATGAAAAGGTTAAGAAGGATCCAGTTGCTTTCTTGGGTGCAAGAGAATATATTTTCTCTGAAAACTCGGGTGTTTTGGGTGACGTTGCTGCTGGTAAAGAACAAACTTTCGGTACATTATTTGCAAGAACATTGGCTCAAATTGGTGGTAAATTACATTATGGTCATCCTGATTTCTTAAATGCTACATTTATGTTAACTAGAGGTGGTGTTTCTAAGGCTCAAAAGGGTTTACATTTGAATGAAGATATTTATGCTGGTATGACTGCTATGATGAGAGGTGGTAAGATTAAACATTGTGAATATTATCAGTGTGGTAAAGGTAGAGATATGGGTTTCGGTTCTATTTTGAATTTCACTACTAAGATTGGTGCTGGTATGGGTGAACAAATGTTATCCAGAGAATATTATTATTTATCTACTCAATTACCATTAGATCGTTTCTTATCATTCTATTATGGTCATCCAGGTTTCCATATCAATAATATTTTCATTCAATTATCTTTACAAGTTTTCATTTTGGTTTTGGCTAATTTAAACTCATTGGCTCATGAAGCTATTATCTGTTCATATAATAGGGATGCTCCAATTACTGATGTTTTATATCCATATGGTTGTTACAATTTGTCTCCAGCTGTTGATTGGATTAGACGTTATACTTTATCCATTTTCATTGTTTTCTTCATTTCATTTATTCCTTTGGTAGTTCAAGAATTAATTGAAAGAGGTGTTTTGAAGGCATTGCAAAGATTCCTTAGACATTTTATTTCATTATCTCCAATGTTTGAAGTTTTCGTTGCTCAAATCTATTCTTCATCTATTTTCACTGATTTAACTGTTGGTGGTGCTAGATATATTTCAACTGGTAGAGGTTTTGCTACTTCAAGAATTCCATTTTCAATTTTATATTCCCGTTTTGCTGATTCATCTATTTATATGGGGGCAAGATTGATGTTGATTTTATTATTTGGTACAGTTTCTCATTGGCAAGCACCATTATTATGGTTCTGGGCATCATTATCTTCATTAATGTTTTCACCATTCATTTTCAACCCACATCAATTTGCTTGGGAAGATTTCTTCATTGATTATAGAGATTTCATTAGATGGTTATCAAGAGGTAATACTAAATGGCATAGAAATTCCTGGATTGGTTATGTTAGACTTTCAAGATCTCGTATTACTGGTTTCAAACGTAAGTTAACTGGAGATGTTTCTGAAAAATCTGCTGGTGATGCTTCAAGAGCTCATAGATCCAATATTATATTTGCTGATTTTATCCCATGTCTTATTTATACTGCTGGTCTTTATGTTGCATTTACATTTATTAATGCACAAACTGGTGTTACTAGATATCCATATGAAATTGGTGGATCTACTACTCCACAACCAGTTAATGCTACATTGAGAGTTGTTGTTTGTGCATTAGCTCCAGTTGTTATTGATATGGGTGTTTTAGCTGTCTGTGTTGCTATGGCATGTTGTGCTGGTCCAATGTTGGGTATGTGTTGTAAGAAGACTGGTGCAGTTATTGCTGGTGTTGCTCATGGAATTGCAGTTGTTATTCATATTATTTTCTTCCTTGTTATGTGGGTTACTGAAGGTTTCAATTTTGCTAGAACTTTATTAGGTCTTGCTACAATGATTTATATTCAAAGATTATTATTTAAATTCTTAACCTTGACTTGTTTGACTAGAGAATTTAAGAATGATAAGTCTAATACTGCTTTCTGGACTGGTAAATGGTATAATACTGGTATGGGATGGATGGCATTCACACAACCATCTCGTGAATTTGTTGCTAAAACCATTGAAATGTCTCATTTTGCTGGTGATTTTATTTTAGCTCATATTATTTTATTCTGTCAATTACCAATTTTATTTATTCCATTAGTTGATAGATGGCATTCAACTATGTTGTTTTGGTTAAAACCTTCCAGATTAATTAGACCACCAATTTATTCATTAAAACAAGCAAGATTAAGAAAGAGAATGGTTAGAAAGTATTGTACATTATATTTCCTTGTTTTGTTATTATTTGTTGTCATTATTGCTGCTCCAGCTGCTGCATCTAGTCAAATTTCTGTTGATCAATTTGCAAATATTGGTAGTGCTGGTTCGATTACTGCTGGTTTATTCCAACCAAGAAACGTTAGTAACAATGACACTGGTAATCATAGACCTAAAGATTATACTTGGAGTTATTTGAGTACTATGGTGAAGACTAAGACTAAGGGGTTCTCAACTAATCCATTCTAAGAGGAGCTGTAGGAGAGAAAGAAGAGAGAAGAAGAAGACTTTTCCATATTCACTTTTTTGTCTTCTTATAAAAGGGAAGATAGAGAGTATTGTACGTTTAGTATTTTTTTATATTATTGTTGATTTTTATTGTTTATTTTGTTTTATACATATTCAAGTTCTTTTGTATACTTTTTAAATTCAAGGATTATTATTTAGTTATAAAACTATCCCATCATTTTACTCTCTTTACTCTTTCGTAGAATACTAGTAGGACACTAGTAGCCTTGTACTGGGAGGTTAAAGTTGGTTCAGTGTTTATGACACGACAGAGACAGAAAAAAATCAGGTGTGATGTAAAAAAGATATCAACACGGGTGTTCTTTTTCATTCTAATAAGATTTCATATTGATAGAAGTTACGCCAACCCATAGACATACCCAATAAATATATAGATATACCAACTAAACACATACAATGGCATTCTTAAGAGGACACAGTTTGGCCAAGTCAACTAAAATTTTACTTGGATTATTAGTTACAATATCAGGACTTATACTTGTATTAAGATATCGAGAATTTAGATTAAATGATGAAGTTAATTTTTATGAAATACAAATTCCATTCTTACAATTAATTCCTCGTTCTACTATATATAATCCATGGGTATTAGTAACAGCTATATTTGCCGAGATTTCAATTATTTCATTTATATTATCATTTGGTATTTTATTTATTTCAAGTAAATTTGTTGAAAGATTTTGGGGATATTTAGAAGTAATTAAATTTGTAGGGATTGTTGGAAGTATTTCAAATTTGATTACTGTTGTTGTTGCAATTATTTCTAATATTATGAGAGAAGATGTTGCTAGTATGAATAAACCTTTAGGTGGAGGTATTTCCTATTATTTTGGATTTTTGGTTGTATTTAAACAATTAATTCCAGAACATAATATTGTATTATTTCAAGGTTTGATAAATTTCAGAGTTAAACATGTTCCATTTGCTATGTTAGTATTGGTCAGTTTATGGTCATCGTTTGTTAGTAGATCATTATATCCTGCTGTTCCATCAATTAGTAGTTTCTTTGTCTCGTATTTTTATTTACGATTTTTCCAACAATTCCTTGCTCAACCAATATTACCAGTAACAACAACAACAGGGTCTCCAAGTACTAATGATACTGCCAATAGCTCAATAATAACAGGTGATGCATCTGATACTTTCCAATTAAGTGAATTCTTCCCATCAGCAATTAAACCATATTTGGCACGTGTTTTTGATAGTATTTATGAAGTAAGTGTATTACTTGGATTAGTAACCCCTTTCAATGATGAAATGGTTGAACAATGTAATTTAAGAGCACAAAAGAGTCAAGAACAAGCAAGTAAACAACAAAAGACAGTTTCTGCTTCTGTAGCTGAAAGAAGAAGACAAGTTGCTTTGCAAGTGATTGAAGATAGAATTAGTAAAGAAACTGCAACTGGTGGAAGTACTGCTTAGGGAGAGTGTAGAGCGAGACTCATAGACTTTGTTTGTTCTTCCTTTCTCTCTCTCTCTCTTGATTTCTTTTCGTATTAATGTATAACTAGTGTTAGTAGTAGTAGTAGTAGAGATGTTTATAAAGTATAACTATGTAAGTTATTTAATATTAATATATGTTTTATATACTCATCCCTTCGGTCTAGACAATGGTATTGTATCTGCATTCCATCAATTTCTTATTGTTTCACCGACGCTACCATATTCTAAACAGTCTTTTTTTTGGCATTGCTTTGCCGTATTTGACACATTTGTTCATTGAAATAAGATCTCTTATTATTTTATTTATAGAACAAGCTTAGCGAAATTGTTCATAGCATCCCCAGATACACAAGTTCAGTAAGCTAAGAGATGTTCGGTGGAGGGAAGTTTAAACCCAGACATGGGAAGCAAAACAGTGTCACATTCTTACCATTACCTGCTACTTTTAATCGTACTTTACATAGAAGAAATATACCTCAAATACTATTCATTAGTTTAATCATATGGTATATGTTTAATCCTTTAAGTTTTATAACAGCAATGTTTAAAACCCCAGTCACAACTGCATATCCAACACCACATGCCTTAACCACAAGGCATACAGTAGAAACAAATTCTAAATACATTTATCCTCATGTTGAAGATGTACCAACTTTAAAACAAATTACAATTGATAAATTATTTAAAGTTTCCAGAGTTAGAGATTCAAATTTCCCAGAAATTGAAAAAACGATATATTCATCATTGAATTCAATGGATGATCCAGATCCAGCGATTCAAAAGACAAAAGAAGATCAAGAAAATGCCGTTTCTGATATTTCTAAAGTTATTAATAATTTCAAAAATCTTGATAAAGTCATATATAAACCAAAATCAGGATCAATTGCCGATTATCCTGAAGTTGTAATTGTTACCGCATTGGATTATGAAAAATATTCATTTGCTGCCTTAACCAAAATTATTCAAAACAGAGTCGATTATGGACATTTCCAAAATTATGGAGTCTATGTTAGATGGGTTAATGAATTCTTACCAATTATCAATTCAATAAATAATCTTCATGATAAAGAAAAATCCAAATGGGTTCGATTATATGCCATACAAGCTGCTAGATTTGCATACCCGCATGCAAAATGGTTCTGGTATCTTGATCAAAGTGGGTTTATTATGGATATGACGATAAATATCCAAGAATATATGTTGAACCCATCCAGTTTGGAACCAATCATGATGAGAGAACAACCCTTGGTTCCACCCAATGGAGCAATTAAAACATATAAAAGTGTCCGAGCTGAATCTATAAAATTAATCGTTACTCAATCGGAAACTATGATTGAAACTGCGTCTTTTTTGGTTAAGAATGATCATATTGGGAAATCAATTATTGAAATTTTGGGGGATCGATTATATTTAAATTATGCAAGTTTCCCATATGGACCTGATTCTGCATTGACACATATTTTACAATGGCATCCTTTTATTTTAAGTAAGACTTCGGTGGTACCTACAAAGACAATTTCATCATATCATCGATTCAGAGATGATACTGATGAGAAATTTGTTTATTCTGAGGGTGATTTTGTTGTACAATGGGCTGATTGTAAGAGTGAAATTTGTGAACAAGTATTAGATGCATATCATCCAAAGATAAAAAGACCAAACCAGTAGTAGCAATACCGTTTGCATTATATATAGTAGTACATACCAACATAATAGAAAGATTTTTATACATTACATCATTTCTCAGAAACTATCTAAAGTTATATTCTCAAACTTCTCAATCACCTCCATATCTATATTTCTATCAACAGCCTTCAACCCTCCAAATTTAATTCTCTGCACTAAATTCCAAATCTCAATCATCGCATCCATATTCCGGGCATTAGTCGAATTCTCAACATTTACAGTCGGAATCACAATATCAGACTTCATAAACACTACAAAATAAGCCAATTCCCGAAATGATGAATGTTCACTATATGGCAATGCATATATCCTATATAATTGTCTATCAGGTTTTCCTTTCGTGCTGGATTTAATTACAGGGGGGGATTGGGATAGGATATTGTTCAAATATGAAAACTGGGGTCGAATTGACATTATGTCCGCTACCATATGTAGGTGATTCTTAGGCTCTAGTGACTCGTCCTGTTTTATGCCACGATTTCCACCAGGGACAAAACTCCATCCGGTGGGTCGGAGCCCGATACATCGTTCAAATGATTCATAATAGCGATTATGGTTGAAATAATTAGATAGTTCCTGGATTGAACTCACGATTTTCATGGGTACTAGATGAATGACGCATTCCGAGGGGTGGGTGTCGCCAAGGTCGTCTGATGTTAGGACTTGGTCGAGATATTGGTCTTGATATGTTTTTAGGATTTCTAGTTTACTTTTCCGGCTGTTTATGTTTGAGACATATATTGGACAATTATCTAGTTTTTTCAGGATTGTGATTGCGAGCTTTTCCTTACCGATTACATATGTTCCTACTAATATTAAAAACTTCTTTTTCTTCTTTGTAGTGGGCTGTTGTTGGATTCTCAAGAAATCGGTTATTCGGGATTGTGTAAGCATTCCAAACCAGGTGCTGAATAATGATTCCCCTTGTTGTTGTTCGAGAAGAAGATCTTGAAACATGGTTGCAACCGTTTCACAAACTAATTCCTGGGCTGGGAAATTATAAACGGGTGACATGTATGTGGTATCAAGATATATTTTATCAATCTTCAATACCTCGTTTGGAGACCTGCTTTGTAGATTAAATGGTTCCAATAATGGATGACATAGAATTTCTTTATTCACTCTAAAATCTCCACAATGTAAGATCCGATATTTTTGCCCATTTAATCCAATTGATTCAAACAAGAAAATCGCCGCCCCAGGACAATGATTAGCAGTGATTGGAGTCACATACAACCCAGGCCCATTCCCTTCCATACTCTCAATCCCACCATCCTCCACAGCCTCCCCGTTATATGACTTCACTAAATATCGCGTATCCATTTTTAAGTGTTTGATAAATCTCGGATCAATTGAAAAATATAACGTGAGTAATTTCCCTGTTATTTCAGTACAATAAATAATCCGTGTATATTTTGAATCATTATCAAAATCATCATCGGTGAATACTCTTTCATAGGCCCATTTTTTGGATATGCCTCCATAATGATCTGAATGGAAATGGGTGAGGAAATATTGGGTGATATTGTCATCGGGGGCGAATGAAAACGCGTCAACGCTGATTTGGTAGGATTGTTGTTTTGTGGGAGGGTTGATGGGGAAGGACATTCGTTTTAGATGGGGGATTGGCTTTCTGTTACCTTTGGATGGGGTGATGCTTTTGGGGACTTTGATCTGGTCTGATTTTGTGCTGGAGGGAGTGCTGTTCATGTATTTTAATTTCTCTGCATCTTTGGGAATTTCTAACTTTCGTCTCTTGTTTGAGTCGAGTTCTTCTTGTTGAGTTGGGGGTCTGGGATTCTCTTGTTTTAGTAGTGGTTTTGGAGGTTCTTGGACAAATGTGACGCGTACTAGACATGTATCTACGTGATCGGTCCTATCGGATAAAGTTAATTTACCTATGTTGATATTACATATGGGACATGATATATCTTCTAGTTTGGTTTCAATAGTAACTGAGAAACATGACTCTTCGGTAGCTGTATCAGTATTGTCTAATTCATTTTCAGACATGATTTCGATGATTTCATTTGTTGATTCAACTTTTCGTTGAGTGAATTCAAATATTGATCTTTGTTTCATCTTGCTTCCTCCCCTCCTCACTTTCTATAGAATTCCTTGTTGAGTTAGTTTATTTTAAGTAGTTTTAGGAACTTTCTTGTGTATTACGTTTGCATTATAATAATTTAGTACGGAAGGATGAGCTAGCAAGCATCAAATAAAAGTGACGTGGGAGATCATTTGGTTCCATCGTTTTAAATTCGCACGGAGAAAAAATTCAATTCTAGTACGACGAAACTTTGTTGGTACGTCATTACTTCTTATCACACTGAGGGCCAATGGGATTATTAACAATTATTAAGAAGCAAAAGCAAAAGGATAATGAGATACGAATATTAACATTGGGGTTAGATAATGCTGGTAAAACAACAATTATTAAACAGATGTTAGGAGAAGATACAGAAGCCATAAGTCCAACAATGGGATTTGCTATAAATACATTAAATTATGCCAATTATACCTTAAATTTTTGGGATGTTGGTGGTCAACAAAGTTTAAGAACTTTTTGGGGTAATTATTTTGATAAAACTGATTTAGTGATGTGGGTAATTGATGGGTTAAGTATTGAAAGATTAAATGAATCATATCAAGAATTAAGACAAAAGGTGATTTTACAAGATCGATTATTTGGTATTTATTTAATAGTTGTTATTAATAAAATTGATTTAATTAAACAGGAAGATTGGCAATTATTAAAACAAAGAATAACCAATGAATTAAATTTAAATCAACAAATCCCTGAAAAGGAGAAATGGAAAGTTCAATTAGTTAGTGGGAAATCTGGTTATGGTATTAATGAAATATTAGATTGGATAATTAGTAGAGAATATTAGAAGAATTTTGTTGTCGATACCACGATGCTTAATTAACTAATGCCTGGCTTTAGCTTCTTCTAGTTCTCCACCAAGACTTTTTACTTAATTAAATTGATTGTAAGTTAAAGGGCGATCTAAGAAAAAAATATTAATTTAGTATGCAATTAATTAAATCTGAAAGGGGAAACCTAATTGATAATTAGGTGGGGGTGGCTGATCTCCAATTGGATCAATAAGAGTGTGTTGTATGTGGGTGGGTGGTGTGGTGGTTTACTCCTTTTGACTGAAAAATAATTGTCACCTAAATAATAATCTCGGTAATCATTCTCATTGAAATAAGAGTCAAAAATGTCATAGAAAAGTATATGTTCACTTCAATTGCTGTTAAATATGTCAGATATCTTAACTATACATGTACATATATCATTCTGTATCTTAAGTTTACAGCCGCTGCGCGATTTGGTTACGAGTTGACATTGAGAAACGGGTGCAATCGCGTTATGTAAGTGCATTTCGATCTGTTTAGGCGGGTTCTACTATACAGGGTAGACACTTTAAGTACGCGCTACAAATGGTGAAATTATGTGACGCGAAAATTCGCAATTTAATTTTTTTTTTACCGAATTTCGCCCAATTAGGAAATATTTGATCGCTCCTTCTGCTGGTAACTACAACAAATGTAAAGAATGAAATGTCAATTCCGAAACATAAACAATAACAAATAATAAAAACTTTATTGTGAAAGGGTAGATTATAATGTCGAAGAAAGCCCTTCCCGGCGGCGGCTGGATTTCTTGGGTTGTATAGATGAATGAAATTAAATAAATATATTTAACTTTCCTCTTTACTTTAGTTTACTTCTTTTTTGCAGCACACCACATTGCTTTCACTTGTTGGTTTATACCTTAAATAAAATCAGTATCACAATGACAGTTGAGAAGAGTTTGCCTGAAGCAAATCCATCTCAACCGCTTTTCCAACTTCATGCTTCTGAAAGTAATCATGCAATTACATTAATGGAAGTAATGGCGGTCATTAAACCAGCCAAATCATCCCAATCATCACTTTCATCAATTGTAAGGGGTTTACATACAAAGAATACGCGTATACTATCCATATTGGATCAATCACTTCTGGAATGTGAAAGTGAACAAGATGGTCTTGAAGTACTTAAATGTTTTGTTAATGAATTTATTTTATGGTTAGATGATGGTCATTTAAGTTTACTTAATAAATATTCTGATAGATTGATTCATTCTGAAGATGCTACTAATTTTGATTCAAAATGTTTAAATAATCCAATAGAGAATTTAACTCATTATATCACGTTTATTAAATCATGTTCTCAGTATTTAAGAAATCCATTTATACTTAAAGAATTAACAACCATTAAAACTAAATTAGAAACAATTGTTCATGATTTCAATAAACACCTTGATTTAAAGAGATTGAATGCTATTAGATTCACAAATATTCGAACATTTGGTTCTTCTCAACTTACAAATAAACAGCTTGTTTCAAGTTATTTCACAATTGATCAAATCGTCGAGAGAAGTATGGATAATAGTCTCTTTATAACATTTAACAATACTGAAGAGCCTATTGAATTGGTATTATTAGATCTTGCTGGAACTGGGGTTTATAACTCATTGGCTATATTATCAGTTGATTTTGAAAATGGAACTGAAGTAACTAGATCACTCATATATCCACCATTCAGGCTTAATGAAGTATCAATTTCATTCACTACTAATAAATTGGAACTACGTGCCATCAACTTTTCTTCAACATTAGAAAGTACTTCATCAGAAAATGATACTATTACTATTATATGTGATGATTCAGAACTTCTACAGAATTGGATAGCCAAATTATCAGCTATTTTCCCGATGGAAAGAAGTGATTCTCCAGTTAAGGAATTAAATTTCTTAGAACCTCAAAATAGTCCTTCAAAAATGCTTGGTTTGGGTATTGATATGGTTGATAGTGCAAATCCATCTATGGAAAATGTATCAATTGTTAGGACCCCTGCACCACAAAGTAAATTATCCAATCTGATCCAAGATATACCAACAATTTCTAATAATAGATCTAATGAAAGTTTACCAATTAAGGAACAATATGATCGTTCTTTACCAATCATTAAGAAAGCCTTATCCACGGCTCCACTAGGCATACAAAACAACATACACGAAGAAGATGATGACGATGATGGGGATGAATTCTTATTCCAAATGATAACTAGAGACCTGTCTAGTCGATTATTAATCCCAGAAACTCATGATCGTCCCGTTTCATCTCGTGCTGAACTCATACATGAAGATGCTGAAAGTATTGTCGGATCCGAAGAGGAAGACGATGAAGTACCTCCAATTCAACCTGAAATGAATCAACCACAATTACGTTCAGATATGAAGAGACTGTTTGCATCCTCAGTACCTGACTTAGGTGTGAAAGAAAAGAAATCTACCGTGTATCAATTATCAACCGGTTCTGCTATTGATCTTGCTAATTTTGGAAAGAAACATCAACCTTCGTTTGCTTCTACTGAGTCATTATTACTTAAACAAAAGGCGGTGGCTAAACCACCTAGACAGAGACGGAAATCTTTGTTTAGTATTTTTAAGAAATCATCTAGGCCTATCATGGAAGATATTTCTCCTGGATTTGAAGCTGTTCAAGGTCCGAATAAAGTTAAAGAAAATGTTTCAAAACCGGCACCAATTCCTCCTGTTGTTCCAGTCGTTGTTGAGCCTGAAGTGGAGAAGAAACCAATTGTATCGAAAGACTCTTTAGATAATGAAAGTGACGACGTCGATCTGGAGAAGAAAAGAGAAAGAGCCACTTCCAGTCTTCCAGCTCCATTTGCATTACCATCCTCAACTTCAACATATTTCTTCAAACCATATAGAAATAGCACCGCTACCAATCTTCAAACAACTGAATCGTCTCCACTGGGATCTACTGACGAGAAGAAAGAAGAATCCTTGTGTATTCCTCAAAACTTGAAAGATGTTATCAACCTGGATGATACCATTGATTTCTTTATTAGTTCGTCATCTCCAAAAGCGATGAAAATATCTAAATGGAAAGAAAAATATGGAAAATGGGAAATGATAACTGTTAGTGAACGATTATTCGTCAAAACAGTCATGAATTATGAATTAAAAAAATGTTGGTTGATTGTATTCAAAGAAGAATTCGATATTCGTTGTAATCATTTCATCGATATTCCATTATTATTATTAGACATTACCCCAAACATCACCGATATAAGAAGATCAGCAGCATTGGATTTACAAATTAGTTCAATCAATTCAATCACATCCGAACAACAACGAATTATAATCAGATGTACTACTGGGGCATTGATAAATAGTATCTTCACCAACTTGGAAAATGCCCTTGGAGCAATCTCACCAAATTCATTGAGAGCTTCAAGAAAGACATTTTCTGATGGGACCATTGCGTCATCGTTGATGGAAAATAACCATACGAGTCAATCTTCAACTATGACAAGTATGAGTTCTATCCAAATGAAGTCACCACCACAGGTGAGATTGCCAACTATAGAAGATCGCATTTGTGCTGATGAAGAAATATCGAATCCTATTGTATTGAATAATAATAATCCTGGCTTGGTGGAGAGTAAAGAATTGGTACTGATGACTGTCAGGTTACAAAAACAGACTCAATCGTATTCAATGATTTATCTTCCTTCATCATGGAAGATATTGAATATGTATAAATTGTCGATTAGTTCACTGAATGATCCATTGTCAATGAGGAAATTTTTCCACTTTAAGTTATGTAATGAACTGACTGGTCAACAAGAATTTACTTGGGTGATTCCAGAAGATGATAAATTTAATTATTTGGAGACGATTGGGAAGGCGGGGATGTTGGTGAAAGCATCTGATGAAGAATTGTATATGATTGAATGTAAAGGTAAGAAAGCATTAAAGCGATTATTTGAAGTTTTGTGAGACATTTTATAAGAGAGAGATTGTGTTTATAATGTTGTGTTGTGATGTGATATTTATAGTTTTGTATGTGTAATGCTTATATTTAATTCGTTGATTAATTTTTGTATTAATTTTGTAATGTATGTTTCAGTTTTTAACGAACTTGTTGCAATTTTTTGTGAAATTGGTTGCGAAAAAACCAACCACAATTTTTAAATCTTTTTGCACCCGTTTTCTTTTCTTTTTAGCGCCATCATCAACAAACATAGTCACAAATGATTATACAACTAGTATTTACATTATTATCACTCATCACTCTTATCAACGCCTTAACAGGTAACCATTCCCTAGAAGCCACTTATGAAGAAGACGTTCACACAATCCAAACCATAAAAGTTGTAGGGAACAAATTTTTCTTATCCCAAACAGGTGAACAATTCTTTATCAAAGGAATTTCATATCAAAAAACCAGACAAGAAGGAGAAATGTATGACAATTCAAAAGAACCTCATTATATCGATTCAATGGCAAATCCATTTTCATGTTTAAGAGATTTAGAATATTTGAAAGAATTAGGGGTTAATCTTGTAAGAGTTTATCAAATTTTACCAACCGCCAATCATGATGTTTGTATGAATGCATTTGCAGAAGCGGGGATATATGTATTAGCTGATCTCTCGGAACCATATCTTTCAATTAGAAGAGATTTTCCACATTGGGATACTCAATTATTACTGAGATATCAACAAGTCATTGATTCAATGCATAAGTATGATAATGTTTTGGGATTTTTTGCGGGCAATGAGGTTACAAATTCACCAATGACAACTGCGGCTTCACCATTTGTTAGGGCAGCAATTAGGGATTCTAAGGCATATATTAAGAAGAAGGGATATAGAAAGATTCCAATTGGATATGCTTCGAATGATGATACTGCATTTAGAGACAATTTGGCCAATTATTTTGTATGCAATATTGATGGGTCAGATGATGGTTCAGTGGACTTTTTTGCCATTAATGTATATGAATGGTGTGGATATTCTACTTATTCCACTTCTGGATATAGACATTTAACTGTTGAATTCAGTGATTTCCCAGTTCCGATCTTTTTCAGTGAATATGGTTGTAATATTGTTTCTCCAAGACCATTTACAGAAGTTGAAGCCATTTATGGAACTACCATGTCAAAAGTATTTTCAGGAGGTATAGCATATGAATATTACGAAGAAGTTAATCATTATGGTATTGTTATTGAGAAGAAGGATGGACAGATTGTTAAGTTGGCAGATTTTGATACATTGAAATTCAGACTTGAATCAGCTGCTCCAAAGGGTATTTCCATTGATCAAGTTTCAAAACCAGCTGAAATTGTTTGCAATAAACCTGACGGATTATGGGATGTTTCATTTAGTTTACCTCATGCTCCAGATGAAGGGAAATGTGAATGTTTACTCAAATCTTTAGATTGTATTATCCCCAAAGATAGAGCCTTTGATGAAGTATCTTTCCTTTCCAAAATATGTCAAGAAGTAGATTGTGATGCAATTTCAGCTGATGGAAGATTAGGAAAATATGGTCTTTATTCCGATTGTGATTCAAGAACAAGAGCGTCTTTAATATTGAATGATTTCTATCATGATGCTAATGAGAGTCAAGAAGTTTGTTACAATGGATATGGAGAAGTTATTAGAAAAGATCAATCACTTGGTTTGAATGCACTTTTCTCATCCGATGGAAGGAATTGTTATAAAGTTCTTAATCCAAAGTTATTAGACGAAGAGAAATTATCAAATGTATCAGCCATCCCAGTGGTTTCCACTAACAAGACTAAACTTCCTGAAGAATTCAAAAAGGAACATAACAAGAAGAAACTTAACGCTACTATTTCTGTCAACTCATCTGATGGTGAACGTGTTTTTATCCATTGCTGGTATTGTTTCCTTCAAGCTATTATTGCACTTGTAACCTTTCTAATCTAGAACATCCAAGTACCAATTATTTTGCTGAAACTATTAATTGGAAATATATATAATAATTATATAGAAATTTATTTTAACAATATTTAATTCATTCGTAAAAATAAGTTGATAAGATCGTCACATTTAATCATCTTTCTTTGGACCCCATTTAAGTCCCAAGAATCCATCACCACTATTCAATCTTGGTAAAATACTCTTTGGTTTAAATTTTGGTTCAATAATATAAATTCTTCTCGATCCAGGAATATCTAAAGCAATATATGCAAACTCGGTACTCCAAAATGAAGTATCAATTTGTTCCAAAGTAACAATCCCGTAATCTCCCTTATCCGTTTCAACTTGGAATTTCATAAATAAATGATCTTTACCATCCTTACCCCTTCTCTTAATACTTTGTGCTGGTCTATTACGAACCCATTTATTCCCACCTACCATTCCATGGGCTTTCAATCTAGTTCCCTTGGGGAAGTCTAATGTTTTTTGAGCAGCTTCATTTTGTTCAACCAATTTGACCGCTTTGTTGAAAGTTCTGGTATCTCCTGAAGGTAAGAATAATTCTGATAAGATTAAATAAACGACTAATAATGCAATCCCAGTAGCTCCAAGTACGACTAAGGATGATAATGAGAATGTAAATGCTCTTGATATTCTATTGAGGATTTTCTTACCTTTGGCATCTTTATCATGTGGAGGTTGTGGTGGTGGAGGTGGGGCGGTCTTTGTGGAATATAATGCTTTGGTCAATCTGAATATGTTGCCATTGTTGTAGTGATGAAGGGGAAATGATGGTTGTTTAGTATATTGCGGGGCGTTGCACCTTGAAGTAATATATGTCCTCAACAAACCAATTTGAAAAATTGGAAGTTTGGTGGAAACAATTCTTGAATTGAGAATTCGAGGATTTATTACAGAAGACCGTTGTAGCAAAGACATTGTGTATACTGATGAGTTGGTTAGAAAAGGGGGGTCTTAAGGCATTAACTTGAATCAGAAACTTAAAATTTTTTTCTGGTCTCAATTGAATCTCACTTTGTCTGCAAATTATTTTGAACTCCTTTGAAATTTTTGCAATCATTTCAATTGAAGCAATTCACACAGAAATACTCTCCAAAACTATTAGATAATCTTCAAATACAATATTTCATACTAAGTCTTTTATTAGAGAAGTCCAAAAGTATAAAAATACCGAAGAATTGGCATGCATGCATCAGAATTGGCTGTCGACACTTTGTCAATTTGCATCCATTAAGTTACTTCTCTTTGGACACCTGGACATCCTTTAAACAGTAATATTCGAAGAAGCTATTGCCATATCAAATGCATGGTTACTAGAAAGTATGAATTTATTGAGTGGAAAGGGGACGAATCATTCTCTGAAAATCCTGCAAAACGCATGTTGCGTCTTTATGACAGTATAACTCCCACCAAAAAACAGTGTACCTAGAAAATGAGTACATGGTAATATATCATAGTACTCTACCTACACGTCCATGACAGTTTTAGATTCTGTCGGGATTTCGCTGTTTCACAATTGATCGAATAGTAATTGGGGAAGAAGTCCAAAAAATACAAATGTTTGACACGTTATAACCAACACAAAAAATAATTTATTCTTAATGTGGTTCAACATACCGAAACTTTCAATCTAGAATAATGTTCACAAGGTATATCATACTCTAGCTGCTAATCGTAGTCGAGAAATCGAGGTTTGAAAAATGGGCCACAGCAGCTGGCATTCGAAATAAGGAATTTCAAGATTTACAAACTAGCCCTTGTGGCCTAATTGGTTAAGGTGTTATCCTCCGGAGATAATGATTGCGGGTTCGAGTCCCGCCTCGGGCTTGGTTGCATAATTAATTTTTCCTTGCTATGAACTGTGAATTTTTTTTATATAGACTTGATATGGAGGTCATTACTTCATATAGAAGGTCTGATGTGTTTTAAACGTTAAAAGTTACAATTGAGAAATGTATTTGTTACTCTAAGCTATCTCGAGATCAGATAATGTCCATATTTTTTTTTTTTCAGAACACTGCATACTGTATATTTACTAAAATGGATTAACTGTTTCTATAAACATAATTGAAATAAATAAAACCTGTTCCTGGGGGAAAGTACAAGATCGAAAACCCCTTTACAAAAATTTGGGTCGATTGAAAGGTTAAAAACAAGTTTTATAGAATCCATCTTTTTTAGTCCTGAGGGTAGTTGCCTCAGTTTTGATAAATCGTAAATGTTGATTGACTTTCATGACGTTGATAGATATATTTCGTCTTGGATAGCGCAGTATTGCAGATTTTGATTTTCAGTTTGAGGGCCAATGATCTTGGACCAAATTTTCGGGCCATACTTGCGGTCATATTGGATGTGGATGATTAACACAATTGGTTCCTTTCATCAATTGACCATATAGTTTGCTGAGTATATCTCCACGTTGTACTGTTTCCAACGGTCAAGGCTCAATCAGCAGATTGTGCCCTTAGGTCTGGGCATTCGGATTTGGCTTCTTTCAAAGAAAGTTTCCCATTGCCGTTTGTCGATATCAAAAAACTTTGTCCAACCAGACTTATGGAAGGATCTCCTTTCCTTGATTGTTCCTTGAAGAAACTTTTGATGGTTGTTTGAAAAGCTCGCTCAACTNTTAGGTCGGACCGACAAAATTCGCAACAATAGATGGTTGTGTGTTCTTGAATCTGGGGCCTGTATGTCCAAATCGAGTAGATCTCTGTTGATGCCCAATAGAAAGACCCGATTTTAATGCCGGGGCTTGGTAGCAGAATATTGTAATTTATACTAGCTTGCAAGAATTAAGAAACAAGCCCTCAATCGGTAGATCTTGCGGAGAGGAATTCTGATTGTCATGAGTTTAAAAGATGGATTCAATATTACAAAACGTACTTAGTAAATTCAATTTTTAAACAAACAATTTTTTTATAAAGGGGGTTTTAGTCTTGTACTTTCCTCCATAGAACAGTTTTTATTATTTAATTATGTATAGAAATATTTAATTTATTTTAATAAATATATGCTGTGTTTTGAAAAAAAAAAAAATGCAACCCAAGGCAGGTGGATGTAGATGTGATACATAAAAAATTACAAAGTTCGCAATTTTTTTACGAAAATTTCGCATCTCATTTCACACGAAATATTTCAACACATTGAAGGACACACAAATAGTAAAACTAAATGCAGAATAACAATATAGAGACAACGTGCATAAATCGGGTAGTCCTAACGTTCCCATATAAACAATNCGCATTAGTATTATGGTCACCACATGGAGAATGAATAAGAGAAGATGCAACAATGACAAACAACTCTTGAACAAAAACCGACACATCAGGTAATACTAATGCGAGCTGTATGAGATTTTCTAATGGGACACGCCTATGTGGACTATGTAGACATCATAATTAGCCAAAAAAATGTATGAATGGTTGGAGAGCAAGAGAACCAAAGATTGGGAAGAAGAACAGAAAGAAACGATCAAGAACAGAAAGAAACGATCAAAATAGAAGGTATGGCAAACGGTGATAAGCATCGAGATTTATTATCAAAATCAAAATCATCATCACCCAAAGTTCTTTCATCTATAATTGCACCATTCTCAGCAGGTGTAGTGCCGAAAACATAAGCATTAACAGCAGAAATAATTCTATCAAAGGCTCTTTTTTGATCAACGTTTAGATTTTCATATAAGCTTTCAAATATAGACTGTTGCTCAACGGTTTTTTTGATCAACGTTTAGATTTTCATATAAGCTTTCAAATATAGACTGTTGCTCAACGGTTTTTTTGATCAACGTTTAGATTTTCATATAAGCTTTCAAATATAGACTGTTGCTCAACGGTTTTTTTGATCAACGTTTAGATTTTCATATTAGCTTTCAAATATAGACTGTTGCTCAACGGTGATCAAAAAAGAGCCTTTGAATGAAAAATCGAGATTTTTGTACCCTATATATAAACTGAATAGCATTGAAGAGAGGTCGTGCACGGCATAAAAAGTGGTTAAAAAATAAAACTTGAGTAAAAAGAGGACTTTTTTATATTTATAGAGAAGAGAAATAGAGATAGAGAAATAGAAATAGAGAAACAAATAGGTGTTTTGAAAGAAAAAAAAAATTCAGTGGTTGCAAATTTTTAATTCCTTACTTTTTTAGAGCTCCTTGAGCCTGGAAGTTTTGATTTTACTTTGTTGTGAGGAGGGATTGACTACTGTCGGANATTTCTTCACTTTCTAATATTTGAATGAAAGAGAAAAGAACGAACGAGGGTTAACAATTCAAGGAGAGTAGAACATTAATCAGGTGGTGGTTTAGGTTAGGGGATTCTCGCCAAGAACAGGATTTCCCTGCTTATGGAATCTAAGTTAGCGAAAGGTTTTAAATGGATTAAGCTTTAGAACTTTATTTTCCTTAACGAGTTTGTTCCCAAGACACACCAAGGTGAAACTTAGTCCCCATTAAGAGGAAACCAAAGGATTTCTGAATAGCTGTCTGCTTTCAACTGAGGAATATACCTTTTCAAATACATTATTTTCAATAATTCAATGTTTTGGCTCGGGAAGTCGTGTTTGAGTCACTATAATTTGGGGCATTTTGGACGATTTTGCAATTTTCTTCCTGAAGAAAGCCAAAAAAATGCTGCAAATCAGAGGTCTTCAACAGGATTTTTGACACAACGAAGTAATTTTGAGGCATATAAGTATTACATATCCTTATTGTCGGCCCATAAAAACAGGCTACTCCTCTTATTGGTCCAAACAATAATTGGTGCAAGAAAGAATGTGATTTTAGTGGTCAAAAAATCATGAGTTTAGTGCTTTTGAGCGTAAAACAATTATTTTTCTGCGTTTTTTAGCTTTAAGCTTAACTTTGAAGAGATGGTTCTACTCAACAGAATTAAATATAGACATATAAAGGTATGGAAATAATAGCCTGATCAAAGTAGAAAAGGTTGACAGTATATTTCAATCCAAAAATTGTATTTATATACTGAATTTTAGGAATTAAAAATTTTAAAATGTATTTATATTTTGCGCTTTTTTCCTTCCTATGCAGTTGCGTTTCCAAGCACCTGCCTCCATAACTCAACTTCGACCACTCAAACTTTGGCTTATTGGATAACCAATTTTATTTATATCACCGATATAATTACATGAAGCCATTGTGATATCTATTAGCTACAATTTAGTACTGATTTGAGCTACGGTATGCTAATTCATGGGGCGTGAGGGGTTAAAGGGCAAAAAGCCTATATGCAGGATTGGAAATTTTTGACGGGTGGAGTGGAGAGTTTCAATTTTGTGAGAGCCAAAAGTTGTTACAATTGATTCTCAGCACTGAAAGCAGCTCAACATGCTAAATTGCCGAAGAGGATAACTGAGTCTTGCTAGATCCGTCTTTTCACAAATGAAGCCATGCTACATGGGATGATGGTAGTCAGCCACCTTGAACCTATCACACTTCCTTCACCCCCCAGCCAAATCAAAGAAATATCACGTGTCTTCAGACATCAGTATTTGCAATGATATTGACCAGGTATTAACCAACACTTAGATAGGTATCAGACTGTGATACCCATCTGAAGGGATATAATTTTGGCTTTGAAAGTGGCTTCCCTTCCTAGCTTCCTGCTAGCTCCTTGCCTTATGTTAGCGTGGATCACGAAGTTCCCATTCTACTTCAAAAGAATGAAAAGTTATATAGTTTATTGTTGGCCAGATGTGTTATCAGAGCATCTCCAACAAAGTACCAACAATCTCCTATAGAACTTGATTGAATGAAAATATACGTACCATTGGATTGCGTTTGATTAATATGTGAAGGGTTGATATGTGAGAATTGTACTAGTTAAAAAAAGGAAGAAGTTAATTCAGAATATAGAAACTTTGGACCACCCATTGAAATCCCCCAGATGACCACCTTAGATCAAATCGAGCCTTCTTCCCTGAAATCAGTTAAAAAAATACATCACACAAAACAAACCATTGGTCAGGTGGATAATTCAGCATGAAAGGATTAAACTGATCCACGAAATCTGGCCCACCCGCTCCAAATTGAATCATTGTGAAACCTCCGAGATGACCAACTTAGATCAAATCCAGCCGTCTTCCCTGAAATCAGATAAAAGAAATCCATCACAACTAACCATTGGTCAAGTGGCTAATTCAGCATGAAAGGATTAAACTGACGGAGGAAATTGAGCCCAACTCTCTCCAAATTGTATCATCCCTGATTCCTCCACACAATGTTGTTTTCAAAAGTGATATTTTATCTTCTGATATGATAGCGGTTGGAAATTTGATTTATAAATAATGATTAATGGAATATGGATTGAAGAATATTGAATTGGATTTTTTTTAAATACTTCAATGATAATAATAAACATAACAATGAAAACTACTTGATTGAATGACTAGGACGAATGATAAATGTAATTGACTTTGACTTAAATTGTTGGTGAAACGTAAAGAAGAAAAGGATGATTTTAATTCTAATTGTTTTTTTTTGCAATCTGGTGTTATTTACACAAATAGTGCTGCAAATATTCTTTGTATTTTTCTGTAAGGTGAGATTTCGCACTTTCCTATTCGGGAAAGTTATCGGAAACAAAAAAGAATTTGCTATGAGTGAGATCCAAATGCGGATCCCAAAATATCAAGTTATATGCTTGGCTCTTCCTTGGCATTACGCACTCGCATTGGTTTCACATCAGCTGTGTTTTAGGAATGGTGCCACGTCACACTTGTTTGATTTTTGTCTTGCAAATCATAATTCGGCTGTCACGTTTTTTTACACGGTGCCCCATTAGACAAATACAAATACCTGTGAATTTACTCTTTCTTTGAAATTGGAATTTGAATGGAAGAATAGCGAGAACATCAGTAAGTAACTTTTATAGAGAGCTCACAAAGCACACATATCCACTTCCAGTTCGCACAGACGAGCTTCTACTCCAAATTAGATTGACATTGTCTACCAGACACTCATCATTCCGGTCTTAGTCGGTAGAGGTTTCGGAAAAAGATAAGAGGAAGACTTCTACAACTTGCATAGAAGTCAATTCTATTAAGACAAATTATTTTCATTTACTATTATGGTTGGGCTTACCAGACCTCAAACCCCTGAAAGGATGCTGCCGAAAGGGTTACACAACTTGCTAATGCTGAGGCTGCTAGCTCTAGTGCTGACGCAATTAAAGTCAATGTTGTTGTTGGTAAAACATTTATCAAACCCGAATCTGAACAATCAATTCTCCCCATGTTCAAGAGCCACCATTAACTGATGAACAAACCCGAGTTCCCCAAGTGGCTACTCTTGTACCTCAACCACTACCTCAACTGTTGTCCCACAAGATAACACTGTTACTGTTGTTATTAATGGTGTCACTACTATGGCGCAAGCAGTTACTATGCCTTTACGCCCTCAAGAAGCGTTGGTCATGGTTACATGGATTGATTCTCAGAGTGCTTGTAAGCAGTCTAATGGGTCAAATAAGTAGTTTGCTTTCAGAATTGTAAGATTTGGGCTCTTGAAAGCCCAACCAAACTAGTAAATGAGTTGTAGTAGTCCTCAACTTATCCTTTTCCTAAACGCTACCAACTATAAGAGTGGAGATGTTTAGTTGAAAACGTTAATCTAATTTAGGGTGGAAGCGCATCAGCTTTAGCTTGGAACTTACAGGTGGGTATGGATTCATTGTGAGAGCTATATCGAAGATTCTTGATGAGGTTCTCGTTATAATTCCTTCCGAACAGAGAAAGGGGAAATTCGCAGGTAAAATCCTGGTCAGGCGGACACCGTGTCACGAGGATTTGACAGTAGAATTACTGCTTTCAAGTCAACCATCATACAAGTGTTAAGCGGGATCGTTTCTAAAACACATTTGAGGTGAACCCAGAACAACACAAAAAGACAAAAATCTAGACCATCATATTAGTAACAAGATTTATGATAGATTAAAGAGGATTATGACCGTCGATAAAAAAACCCATATAATACAATGTAACGGCTACATACGAGCACGAGCCATATTTTGTAAGATTTTACTTTCACAGTTATTTCCCTTAGCGTTGGGAGGCAAGAATGAGAGCGGAAGGGGAATAATTTTGTTGGTGAAAGAATGTCTAATACCCAAATCTAATAAAATACTCTCAATCAAGGAAACATTGCAACAGGAACCTAATATATATGCATCTAGAATAATATACACACCATATGACTCTAAATACCACCGGCTTCACGATACCATCTAATACCTCTATCGAAACTGACAACACATAAACCTTCATTACTATCACCACCAGCACCACCTCTCACTCCCTTTTTAATAAAACTGACCCCACTGGCTACACTTTCATCATGATCATCATGATCAGTATTATCCAAATCAGTAATTGAGATATTTATAGTAGCTTCTCTTTCACCAGTCTCTAAATTCCAAACACGAATACATTTATCAAATCCACAACTTGCCAAATTTTTCCCTTCTTCATCAAAACTCAATCCCATTATCCAACCTTGATGAGCAAATCCTCCAACTGTAGTCTTTGCCGAATGTGATGGGGTAGCCAATGTACCGACATTTTCACCAAATTTGACGTCATATAAAGTGATAGATCCAGCAGCTTGGTTATCTCTAGCCACTGCTAAAAGAGTTCCACCCGGTGAGAATTCAATTACTCTTGGAATGGATGAGGATTTAGATTTATGACTTAATACTAAATCAGTTGAATGGAAAGTATATATTAATTTCAAATTTTCGAAATCATATAAAAGTACATCACCGTTCACATATCCAACTGCAGCTTTTTTATCAATGGTTGAAGAAACACCTAAAGAATTTGGAAATGATGAATTTGATCCTGGCAATTCTCCTGATTTTACAATTGTAATTTCAATAGTTTCATTTTCTTCCTTTATGTTAAGTAAATTGACAGAGGTAGTACCTTTAGTTTGAGTCGCTATGAAATAATCTTGTTTTGATTCAGGGTTACGATAGAATTTAGGTACCCAGAACCCACCATTAAACCCATCAATTGATAATTGTTTCAAAGTATCAAAATCATCATTGACATAATATTTGAATATAATAGAACCATCAAAACAAGCAAATGCTAAAAGAGTAACTTTGGTAGTAGAACCAGCCAATACATTCTCATAAGTTGCAATATGATGAATTCCTATTTTATTTATGAAATCTGATTTAACAAATTGTTTTGGATTATGAACTTCATCTTGTTTATTATCCCAAAAATGAGCATAACCATCACTTGAAATTGAAATGGTATATTTGTTGGTTATTGCTACTCCTAATATATCCAGCTTATGTGCATGCGATGCACTGACAGTAGAAATATATTGTTTACCCATTGTTGTCTTAATGTATTTGGATTCAGTAGTAATTAGATCCCCTTTATGAAAGGCTAGAAATGGCAGCAGAGAAGAAGAAGAACGGATTTGAAATATTTCATATTGCGACATTATTAGCGCGACATTCTTCATGAGGAAGACATTTATCAGATTTTTTTTTTACAACCAAAAATGAATTCAAACTTTCCAATTTTGAAGTTAACAACATCATCATCAACAATTACAATTAGATTCTGATAATAAAAGCAATTCCTGCAAAAAAAGATGAAAGAATCAAATGAATCAGTGACAGAAGGACCAATTGCTGGATCCAAAGAATATTTCATTTCTCTGATTTTAAATCAATCGATTTTCAAAACTCATTGGGAAAAGTCAAAACAATCATCAGAGAATCATTGTTCTGGTTATAATACACTTGTATGTAAAGACAATACTGAATTATACTTCACTCTGAAGAATATGGTAAGATGTTGTACAATCAATCAAAAGACTTTTAATTATAAATTGATGAGATCTTCATCAACATTCAATTATTTTGAAGTTACACAATTAGTTATGAATTCTTCAGAAACTTTAATGGCATTGGTTGGAAATTTTTCAATTCATATTAATACATTACCTAAATTAGCCATGGATGATCCTACTAGCAGTTGTATTAATAATGCAGTATATGAGATTCATAATATCAATGGTAGAGTTAAGAAAGTTCTTTGGCAATCCATTGCTCAGAATGATCAAGTATTAGTTGTTTTGAATGATAAATCTGAAATCAGAGCCTATGATGTACTTAAATCACCTCATAATCCTCAATTATCTATTGATTTGAAACAATTCCCCGAATTCACCAATCAGGTAGCTACTTCAATGGCTTTTGGTTCTGTTAAAAATTTAACTGGGGCATTGACTTTATATGTTTCTACCGCATCTCATGTTTATGCAATTTATCCATTCACAGCAAGACATGCCAACATTGCAACTAGTTTAGAATCTATCAATATTGCATTACAAGAGACTAAAACTGCCATGGAATTAATTCAAGAAAATTTCCCTGGTAGTTTACTTGATACTGCTTCAAGTGAGATTCATAAAGCTGCATTAAAACAATATGAATATTATACATATCTTAAAAATCAATTAACTTCTCCATCAGCAATCAAAACTAAGGATGCGGTTAGATTTCCAAATTCATCCCAAGCATTTCAACCATATACTTTATATCAAGAATTATCCAGTTGGCAAGCACCAAGTTTACAAGGGCCAATTGCAACTGCCACCAGTGGGAATACATTACCAATTGAAGATATTTATTCATTCGGTGATAATGAGCATGTTAGTTTACTTGCGTCAGTTTCTTCAATTAGAAAGAATGAAGGTACTACGATTACATATTATGCTCAACTTTCACCAATATTAATGAAGTACAAAATGTTGGGCGAGGATGGACAACAGCAACAACGACAAGCGGCTGCTGTTGCTGCTTCTTCTCCTAAAGTTCCGAAAAAGATGTCAGTGATTAGATCGAAATATATTAAGCCAAAGCGAGGATTTGGATTTATAGATCTCGCTGAGAAAGATGAAGAGGAAGCCAAAGCAGAAGCAGAACAAGCACAAGAAGTCAATTTATCAATTGTGAAATATCAACAAGAAAACAAATTCTGGCAAGAAGAATTATCAGTCTTGGATATCTTACAAACTGATGCAATTCAACTTCAAAATTCAAGTAATCGTGGATCATACTTTGGAAAATTGGATGAATATAAATTCGCAGTAGTCGTTGATTGTAGTTTAGCAATTATTGATTGTTCATGGGTTAAATCCTTAGTTTCACAATTATCCCAAAAGAATCCCGAAGAACTTGATCTTGAAATCAATAGTACTTATAGCATAGCTACCGCTGGTGCTGATTTAATTACTTCATTCGCATACATTAAAGATATAGTTGCCGGTACTGGTGAATATTTACTTGTGATTAGAAATAGTAGAGAGCAAGATTTAGAAATGATTCATGTCGTGGATACAACCCCTGAAGAAACGATTGTTGAACTTAAATCCGAATTCAAGAGAATTGAATTACCTTCAATACGAGTATCTAATGAACCATTTGAAGAAATCACACAAGAACTTAGTTCATTGGCACTTGTTAAGATTGGCGAGGATGTTTCTAAACAGATTGTGGATCAACCGATTGAAAGTAAAGGAGAATATTTAGCCGGAATGAATGAGGTTTCGATGGATGTTATTAGTGTTGTGACTAATTATACTAGTTTCGGGATTAAATTACAATCAAGGATTCTCTCACAATTAGATGCATTAAAATCTCAAGCTTCTATTGTTTTAAAAATGAAGGAGCAAGTTACTGAAGATGATAAATTGAGTAAACAACAAGAAAAGATTGATGAATTGATCAATAATCAAGAGACATTAAATAAGAGAATGGATGACTTACTGCAGAAGATATTTGATTCGATTCAGAAATATAGAAGTTCAAAATCTCTTCCAATTTCAGAAGCTGAACGTGGATGGTTTAATGAAATAAATGCCATAAATGCAAATGTTAATCTTGGAACCAAAGAAGATGAAAGTATAGTTAAAAAAGTTGAAAATTTACAAAATCAAGTTGAAACAATTATAAATAATGTTAAATCGGGAAAAATTAAAGAAGTCGATCATTTAAAACAATTGGAGTTACAACAAAGATTGAATAAATTAAAAACTTGGTTACATCATGAAAGTTCAATGATTGAATCTCTAAAATCTAAATTACAAAAATCATTACAAACCGTGGATGCTTTAATTTAATGAGATACTAATGATGCTGATATTTGTAAGCCATCAAAATATCGATTATGAAAAGATTCTAGACATTTTTGACTCAGTTTTGGATTAGTGAATTGAATAACAATTTCTTCGTTATCGGGATTAAACTCTATGGTTTTTATATCTTGTTCAATGTTTAATTTCAGACATTCATCTTTAATATCTTCTGTAATATCTGATTGTAAATATTTATCAGTTTGATATTCTTGTTTTCGAAACATTCCTTTTAATGATACAATTAATTTTTTAAGTAAAATTTTCTGCTTAATGTTGTTTAAAGTATTTTCATATCTTACGACTTCTCCTTCCTGCTCTTCGTCTGATTCCCAAGATGTAAGCTTCTTATTCGTCTTTTGTCTAGCCTTATTTATTTCCTTTCTCTTGTTCTTAATCTCAGCATCATCTGCTTCCTTCTTCTTATCATTATTCTTAAATGAAGCAGGCTGAACAGAAATCTTTTCATTCAATTCAGTACCAAAATGAGTTCCATCGGCCATTTCAATTGCCATAGTGACACTTTCAGGATTATGATATATCACCAATGCCTCCCCTTTGAACTTCCCATCATCTTGATAATATAGTTTAACTCTTGGTTTACCAGTTTTGAAATCCTCCGAGATTAATCCATATTTACTAAACTGTTCAATTATCTGTTCTTCGGTACTGTCTAATGGTAAATTCGATATAAAGACCGCGTGATTCTTATTCTTCGTTTCTTCACCCTCTTTCAGCGGTTGTGTACTACCTTGTTTATGTTCTTGTTTCAATTTAGCCAATCGCTGTTTTAGGATCGACATTTGTTCCTTCTTATGTTTTTTTATATCTTGTTTATTCAATTTCTCATCCTCGTCATCCTCATCTTCTTCCGTACGTTTATGTTTTCGTGATTTTTGAATCCATTTATCCTGATTATAATCATATTGATATTCTTGATCTTGATGTTCAAATATCCAAGTATCTGATTCTTGATCTAGTGAGATTCTATCATCAATTTCTTTAAGGTCTACAGTTTTGCATTTGACTGCTGATGGTAATGGAGGTCTATCCGGGAAGGCTATTTCCATATTGTGTTACTTATGGAAAGAAAGAGATTAACATTTGATGAGTGTGAAAGGGCAGAGATGCGCTTTTATTTTTATTTTTCCGGGCATTAAAGTAATTTGGGTTTTACTCTGAGGTTTAAATATAGTCTGCCATATTTTGCAGCCAACAGTATACTTTTAGAATATTATACGCTCAACTGTAAATACTAATAAGAATAAGTATAGATACCCTGAACTAGTAGGAGGGTTCCCTCGTTGTAAATGCTTGAAGCTGTGAATTATTGCATGCCTGATGGCCGCGAAATTATTCAAGATCTCAAGTAACTGAATTATTTTTGTCGGAAATATAAAAAAGACTTCGGATTTTCTGTCAAACGATTATTCATTCTCATCTCTAGTATTTTATAATAGGTCACTCAAGCATGACTGTCTGTTATTGATAATATAAGAAGGAGTGAAGTACTCTTAGATAAAACCATGAAAAATAATAAATGTCTCCTTTTTCTCACATACGACATTAGTCCATAACGACATTCTTGCTTGAGAAAATAACCAGACAATGAAAAGTGAGAGACAAGATCCACCCACGTTAAACGTTACTCTCATCCTCCTCCATCAACACAATACATAAAATATAACACGTCAACGCAAGCAAAATCATGACAGACGTATCGAGTAGTAATATGCCATCATCAGCAACTCCTAATGATTATATCTTAAGTTTATCTCAAGAACAAATTGATCATGATCAAAAGATTGGTATTAAAGCCATTCGATTATTTTTACAATCAAAGACTTCATATGATGTATTACCAGTCAGTTATAGATTAATAGTATTGGATACTTCATTATTAGTTAAGAAATCTTTAAATATCTTATTACAAAATAATATTGTTTCTGCTCCATTATGGAATAATCAAACATCAAGATTTGCTGGTTTATTAACTTCATCAGATTTTATAAATGTAATTCAATATTATTTCCAATTCCCCGAGAAATTCGAATTAGTTGATCAAATGACCTTAGATGGGTTAAGAGATATTGAAAGGGCCATTGGAGTAGATCAAATTGAAACTGTTTCAATTCATCCTTTTAAATCTTTATATGAAGCTTGTGTTAAGATGTTAGAATCAAGAGCAAGAAGAATTCCATTAATTGATGAAGATGAAAAGACTCATCGTGAAATTGTTGTTTCTGTTTTAACTCAATATAGAATCTTAAAATTTGTGGCATTAAATTGTAAAGAAACAAAAATGTTATTAAAACCAATTAAATATCTAAAGGGGTTAGGTACAATTAAAGATATATCAACTTGTACATTGCATACTCCAGTTATAGAAGTTATTCATTTATTAGCTCATAAATCAGTGTCTTCAGTTCCAATAGTTGATGATCAAGGTAAATTAATTAANACTTGTACATTGCATACTCCAGTTATAGAAGTTATTCATTTATTAGCTCATAAATCAGTGTCTTCAGTTCCAATAGTTGATGATCAAGGTAAATTAATTAACGTATATGAAGCAGTTGATATATTAGCATTAGTTAAAGGTGGAGTTTATAATGATTTAGATTTATCAGTTGGTAATGCCTTGCTCAGAAGACCAGAAGATTTTGAAGGGGTTCATACATGTACTATGAATGATAGATTAAGTACAATAATGGATACTATTAGAAAATCAAGATTACATCGTTTATTTGTAGTCGATGATGAAGGAAAATTAATATCTGTTATTACTCTTAGTGATATCTTAAATTATATCTTATTTGGTGAGGATTAACCTTATCTGAGTACATACCATTTAGTTCCATACCATTTAATTAATTACATACATATTAGTTGTAGAAATTTATTTGTCGTAGAAAATCACGACTGTCGTAAACATATGCGTTTGTCGCAAAGCAATCATGATTGCAACATTAAATCCGATTGTTCGATTGATTTGGACAAAAAAAAAATTTGGAGCCACAGCTGTCGGAGCACAAGACAATAACTAATTACTAATCATGAATGATAAGAAACGTCATCTTACCCCCTTTCACTTTCATTTTCTTGTTTTCTAATATTAACTTACCATTATCACTGCCACTACCACCAACTACCACCAACACCCTCAACTATGTCACTGCCGTCGCCTAAAAGTAGGCATGCTCATCAAGATTCATCTTATCTCCAAAAACTATGTCAACCTCAAGTAACAATACGAGGCACCTTGGTTGGACTCTTCATCGGTTCTATAATCTTAATATCCAACTTCCAATTTGGCTTACAAACAGGTTGGGTCTCTATGATGTCCCTACCTGCCGCATTACTTGGCTTCGCATTATTTAGAGCCAGTCCATATTTATCGAAAAATTTCACCGATGTTGAAAATGTATATATCCAAAGTGTTGCCGTTGCAGTCGGAACTGGTCCATTATGTTATGGATTTATTGGAATTATACCTGCTATTGAAAAATTCTTAACTGTGGAAGAAACCGGTATGAATAAGTTGATTAATTTTTCATTGAAGGAATTGATGATTTGGTCGTTGGGGTTAGGAATGTTTGGAGTGTTTTTCGCTATTCCGTTGAGAAAACAAGTTATTGTGAAAGAAAAACTTCCATTTCCTTCTGGAAGTGCTACTGCTACTTTAATATCCGTCTTGCATGGAACCGAAATGTTTGATGATTCTAAACCCGAAGAAAATTCAACTGATCCAAAAGATGAAGAAGGAGAACCACATCCTCTCGGATACAATGACGATCATCATGATATTCACTGCCACATCCAATCACCTACACTCGTTCCGGTAACCCTGATTGAAGAATTAGAAGAAGATTATGATTCAAATATGCATTCATTAATATCAACATTCACAGTCTCAGCAACTTATACAATCCTTGCATTCTTTTTCCCCATCCTTAAGCAAATCCCAATATTTGGAAACTATCTTTCTAAAACCTATCAATGGAACTTCCAACCTTCACCAGCATATATCGGACAAGGAATAATTATGGGATTACCAACAGTTTCATATATGTTATTCGGAACAATTCTTGGTTGGGCCATTCTTGCACCACTTTCGAAATATAAGGGGTGGGCACCTGGTGAAATCAATGATTGGATTAATGGAGGACAAGGATGGATCTTATGGATTAGTTTAAGTGTCATGATTAGTGATTCATTGGTTTCATTTGTGATTATAAGTTTTAAATCCCTCCGAAATGCCTATCAATTCATCCAAAGCAATAATAACAACACCCCCAATACTCCATATACCCAAATCCTGTCAATACGCTCACCACCAGTAGACCTCACATTCGAAATGAGACGCAGTGACTCCGACTACGGAACCATCAACTACGAAAACCCCGCCGAACAACAATCAGATGTCGAAGATGAAGACGAAGACATCCCCCACAAATACCTAATCTCGACCAAAGCAGCCCTCCTCGGCCTCCTAATCTCCACCATCCTCTGCATCACCTCCCTCCGTCTCATCTTCCCCAGCGACCTAATCCCCATCCAATACTCCCTAGTCGCCATCCTCCTCGCCATGATCTTTGCGATCCTAGCTGTTCGTGCACTTGGTGAAACTGATCTTAATCCAGTTCTGGGTATTGGAAAACTCTCCCAACTCGTCTTTGGACTCATTATTCCTGCGTCCCACCCAGCAAGGATCTTGATTAATTTAATTGCTGGTGGGATTGCAGAAGCCGGAGCCCAGCAGGCAGGGGACTTGATGCAGGATTTAAAGACTGGACATATGATCGGGGCGAGTCCTAAGGCGCAATTCCAGGCACAGATTGTGGGGACTTTATATTCGGTAGTATTGAGTTCTGTGATGTATAGGGTGTATAATTCGATGTATGAGATCCCGGGGGATGTGTTTAGGATTCCAACTGCTGTAATATGGGTGGACTGTTCAAGGTTAGTCACGGGCCAAGGATTGCCACCAAAAGCATTTGAATTTAGTTTGGCATTTGGGGTCGTGTTTGGGGTGATTTCATTTTTGAAGAATACGGTAGGGATGGAATCGAAATTGCATAAATGGTTAGTATTTTTACCTAGTGGTGTTGCAGTTGGGATTGGGATTTATAATATTCCTAGTTTTACAATTGCTAGATTTATTGGAGGGGTGATTGCATATTGGTGGATGCATAGTAAGAGTGGTAATAAGATGTTATCCAATAAGCGTAATAATAATAGAATTGGTATGATTATCTTTAGTAGTGGATTGGTGTTGGGTGAAGGGTTATTAAGTGGGTTCACTATGTTATTAACCAGTTTAGGAGTTGGTCATTTCTAAGTGAACCCTGTTGTATGACATACGTTTAATGACAATTGGCATTTTTATGTACGACTAGTTAATATAATACAAAATTTACAGATTATAATACAGTTTAATATTATACACGTCGTCATCAATCATTCTCTGGAGTAACACGACCGTATGGACCATCAGTCTCTTTTCTTCTTGCACGAATCACTCTCTAATTGCAACTCTCAGACCCTCAACAAAACGATACACATCACAACTCAACTCAACACAACACAAATCAGAAGAAGGTTTTGGCACGAAATTAAGAATTCAAACAAGTTAGAAAACAACTCGTTTTTAGAAATACAACATCAATAAAACAAAAAACAGAAACTAAGATTAAAAAAACAAGAATATAAAAATTATATAGAAATCAATCAAAAACAAAAACAAAAACAAGCTTCACCATTTTTTCTTTAGAACAACATCAAGAAAGGAAAAAAAGTAAGACCAATTAGAACAGCAGGGGAAAGGGTAGACCAAATAGAACAACATCAGGAAAGGCAAAATAGGTAGACAACAGCAATAAGGACTTCAAAAAAAAAGTAGTAGACCTTTCAAATAGGATAAGAAATCAAATTAAAAAAATTGTGCCAAAAGAACATAAAAAAAAGACCATCAATCAATTTTGAATATGTGATAATTTGGATTCCTCTTTTCCTTCCCTTTCTCGAATAACTTGGATTGTATTGTATTTCAATTGGACCTCATTCCATTCTAACAGGTGCATTCTTCTTTCATTCTTTTCCAAACGGGTGTATTCCTCACTCACTCTCCCATTCACTTCGCTCGCTCATTCATTCATTCGGGTGCCTATCTCGAATTCCTCTCTTTATCAGTCGCAATCCTCTGATTAATCAAATAAATCGCCGTCTGAATGGCCCCCACAGACCCCGTCAAAGTCAATTTCCTAATATTAGTTAACCCTCTTCCACCTCCAAGCATAATCGATTGTCCTCTATCAGGTTCAATTTTCACATATGTACATCCACTATTCTCACGAATATGTTTAATATTATTTCCACCACGTCCAATCACACTTCCGATATTGGCATTGGCGACAAAGATATCTTGATTGAATTTGTCTGGGGATGGACCAACTTGGACTGGAGGATTGGTAACTACTTCGCCAATAATGGTGTTACCGTGTTCATCTGTATATTGGGTTTGTTGGGGGATGGTACCGACACCACCACCTAGACCTGCACCGCCGGCACCTGGAACAATAGAGGCTTGTGGTGGGAGAGGAGCGCCATATTGGTGGTGTTGTGGTTGCTGTGGGTGAACTGATGGTTGGAACATCATTTGGAAGTTGTATGGCTGTTGTTGTTGTTGTTTTTGTTGGTGCTGGCCATATGGTTGTCTTTGGGCTTGATATGGAAGTGGTTGTTGGTCCATGCCACCCATTGCAGCTGGTTGGCCGTATAAATTGTCCATTGGGGAGGCACCGCCGCCAATTGGATGTTGTTGTTGATGTTGTGGAGGGGCGATATTCATCATACTATTGCTGACATTTCCATGTTGATAATTTGCTGGATTATAATATATAACTTTATACTTCTTTAAACAATCTTTATGTTCAAGCATAACTTGAGCAATATAATATACGGCAATATGAATTGCATCAGCAACTCCAGTAACTGAAAGAACTCTATCAGTGGAGTAAGGTAATGGTTGTTCAGCAGCCTTTAATTTTGCAGCAGAACTTTCTTCAATTTCTCTAAATTTTAATCCTTGTTTACCAATAATAAATCCAATCATTGGATGTGGCACTAATAATTTCAAATTATATTGTTGACTTCTAATAGAAGCAGGTTCATCTTCAGGCTCATCTAATATAGTTCTTGTAATTAAACCAAATGCTCTTGCTACATTTTCTGCAGAACCTTTAACAGTAACAATTCTTTCTGGTACATTTTTAAGATTATCACTAATATTAATTCCAACATTTGCCTTTTCTCGAAGATGATTAATCTTTTCACCTTTTTTACCAACTATACAACTTGCTTCTTTAACAGGACAATACATTCTAAATTGAGTATAAGTTGGATCATTGTCTTTTTCTCGATGGTTTGAGACTGGTTTGGAGGAACTAGAAGTTTCAGAACTTCCTTCATATGAATCAGTTGCTTGAGGTTCATAAGCAGGTTCGTCGTATTGTTCATGTTGTTGTTGTGGATATTGGTCTGTTGGTGGGTCTGCGGGATCTTCGGTATTCAGCGTAGCTTCATCTTGATGTTGTTGATATTGATCATCAGTTGTAGATACATCTTCTTGTACTGAAGTAATTGTAGGAGCAGTGATTGAGTGTTCTTGTTGTTTATCTTGTAATTCTAATTGTTCACTATCCAATGCTACTCTTTTATTTAATTTATCAACGTCTTGTTCTTCTTCATCATTCTTACGTTTTAATAAATTGCTAGAATTGGAACTAGAAGTGTTTTGACTTTGAGTTTCTTCATTATCAAAAGCTGAAGTAGAATCGCCACTATTGACATTAGTTTCTGGGATGTCGGTACTGACTTCGATGTTGTTGTTGTTATCGTTGTCGTTGTTATTATCGTTGTTGTTGTTATTATCGACATTGGTATTGCCGTTATCTATAATATTGCCTTCACTACTGTTAGGATCTGTAGACATTGTTACTTCTTTATATAAAATGGTTAAATGGAACAATTATATTAAAAAAGCAGAAGGCAAAAAAGAAGAGTTATGCTTTTTTTTTTATTTATTTTCATTTCGTGTGAGAGAGAAGCATTGAAAAGAAGATTTTTTTTTTCTTCTGGTTTTTATGTTGTTTTCTATTGTGTGTGTTGATTGATGGTTGGCTGGGCAAATTTACCACCACCAATTTTATAGTTCGGGATCTTTGTACGAGTTACGAGCTATGGTCTGTTCATACTACTAGAATCTATACCAATCATACAAGTAAACACACAGTAGAGCTATAAACATGTTTCAAGTGAACAGTGGAGTTAGCCCACTTATCTTAGTGCTCTTTTTGTTAGTTACATTCTTAGAATACTAGGGTTAAAAAGACAAAATGTCAACAAAATTATCCTAGCCTTAGGAAATAGAAGTTCTACATTGCTTGATTAAAGTTATTATTTACTTCCAGAGCTGCTTGGAGCATTTTCCGGGCTTCTTTTCGTTGGCGTTCTTGTGCAACCAAAGCATAATTCCGATGCACGGCACCCGGGAAAGCTTGTCTTACGAGAAATTCACTCCATGTTTATAGTCAATTTAATTTCCTCTTCGCCAAATATGGATCCTGAATGCTGAAAATCTGGAGAGATAGAAGGGTTGATTCATGTTGATTGACTGTTTCTATTACACGTTCTCGAACTACAAAATAGATGATCCAGATAACGTCTATATTAAAAACGAAACACTAATATACAGAGAGAAAAGCATTTAATAACTGCTCATATTAACTGACCACACTACTTTCTATTCTTTTTGGCAATTCTTCTTAATGCTCTTTGTTCATTCTTCATAACACCATCAACCATCTTATATTTACCTTTAACACCCTTTGGTCTACCACTTAAACCTCTATTACTACCTCTAGCAACAACAACAGAAACCTTTGGTTTCATCTTTTGTTTCTTAGTCAACTTCTTCATCAATCTTTGAATTTCATCAGCCTTATCTCTTTCTGATTTAGCACTATCTTCATTAATCAAATCAGATTTCTTCTTCAACTTCTCCAATCTTCTCAATGCTCTCATCTTCTTTCTTCCTTGTGCTTCTAACACTTTCTTAATTGGACGGGCATTAAGTTGTTTTTGTTTTTCTTTGATGGCTAATGCAGCTTCTTTCGTAATTGGTTTAATGATCTTGGAATGTTTCTTTTCATCATCAATAAACCATTCTGGTAAATCATCTTTATCACGGAATGAATAACGATTTATACCTTCATCAATCAAATCATGCTTATTCATTCTTCCAAGTGCAACTTGATGGGCCAATGTCATGGCTTCTACTGTAGCAAGATCGACTTTTTCCTTTTGACTCTTGGCTGCTTTTAATTGTTTGGCAATGGATTCGGATTCATCATCGTCGGAATCATAGTCAGACATAACTTGATCTTCATTTTCATTTGGAACAATTTCAAAATCGCTGTCATCGTCTGAACTTTCATCTGAACTATCACTAACTTGAGCTTGTTTTTGTTGTGCTGCCTTTCCGTTAGTTTGTGTCTTTCCGTTGGTTTCTGGTTTAGTGGAACCTCTTGTCATTTCTTCTAATAATGCGTCGTCACCTAATTCGCCAAAGATAGAATCGGAAGCAAAGAAAGCTTTGGCATTCTTGGATAATCCTTCCTTACTCTTTCTTTCAGCGATCAATCTTTCAATAGCTTCATCATCATCTGAATCATCTTCATCTGAATCATCAACCATTTCATAATCCTTGGTTTCTTCATCACTACCTTCTTCTTCAGAATTAATACCGTCCCAAGCTTCATCATCGACATCACCCCTAGCCTTCTTGGCACGGTAATTAGCGTCTCTTTCAGCCTTACGTTCTTGATAATTATGATACATATCATCTAATTGATCTTCTAAAGCATCCAATTCGTCACCAGATCCAGCAGCGGCAGCTTCTTCTTCATCCACGTGAATGTCGTTATCTCTGGTCAATTCTTCTTCGGTGAAGATCATCTTTTTCTTCCCCTTGGCTAATTTATCCAATTGTCCGGTCTTTTCTGCGGTCTTTAAATTGAACAAAGATTCTGCTCCAAGTTGTGCAGCTTCAATACCAATATTCATATCGGTTAACATATTCATTTGATTTCTGACGATTTCTTTTTGTTTCAATTCATTAGCGGTTTTCTTTTCTCTTTTGGCTTTTTGCTTTTGTTTAGATAAAAGATCTTGTAATTCTTGATCAATCTTTTGTTCTTCAGTTAATGGTTCAACTTCAATTTCTGGTTTATCTTCTTCTGGATCCTTATCTAATCCAAGAATATCTCTAGCTTGTTTTCGGAATTTTAAAATATGTTTGAATTCTTTCTTACCTAAAACTTTCAAATCTTTCATACATTCTAATAATTCTGGAGTACAACTTGGTAATTTACGTAAGATTTTCCATTCATGATCTTCTTTATCTGGTATATCTAATTTATTCAATGTACCTAATTGATTAATAGGATCTTCATCTCTAATAAATTCCAATAATGGTATAGTATGATATAATATATAATCTCCTTCTTCATAACCACCTCTTGATCTAGTTTTCTTTTCTGGATTGAAAACCTTAGCTTCATTGTTTACTTTTTCATTACCTAACTCTTCGAAAACTTCTCTTGGATCCAATAATCTTGGATCTAATTTCTTAGGAGCTTTGAAACCTTTACAAACCACAAAGATTTCCGCAGAAACATTTCTAGAAGCAGGAGGTTTAGTAGCTTCAACTTTTTCAAATAATTGTTGGAAAACCCATAATAAATTATTATAATCTCTTGATCTAAAAATCTTAGTCACAAATGTCCCACCAACATTCAAATTTTCAACTGCCAATTTTAAAGCTTGTAAAGTCAACTGAGATTGAGTATAAGCATCTTGAAACCAACCCATACCAACATTTGGCGCACCATCATGCATAACTGTATCAGCTTTCCAAGTTTTCATATGTCCTCTTAATTTAGATCTACAATCTTCAGTTGTAATATCACTTTGGAAAGTAATACAATTAGGTAAAGGTTTAATAGGTACAATATCAACCCCAATAATCAACGAGTTGAGGGGACAGAGTTGTGATGCAACTTGACACCAAGACCCAGGGGCAGCACATAGATCAATGACAACTTTTGATTTTTCGAGAAAATGACCATATTTTTCATTGATTTGGATGATTTTGAAGGAAGAACGGGCTCTATACCCCTTTTCTTTGGCAAGGTAATAGTATCTATCTAAACGACCTTTACTATTCTTCTTCTGTGTCTTACCCATGGTTGCTTACTATTGGAAAAATGTTAATTAGAGATAGTCAAGTTGATAATAAATTTTTTTAAAGAGAGAGATGGAGATGAGAGAGGGACAAAACGAGAGAAAGAGGAAAAAAGAAATTGATGTCTGTATGCAGGATGGTAACATTTTGGTAAATGAACGACTCTTTATTCCAATTTTTTGCAACCAACTCATGATACTGGATTCCATATGTCTGCCTACAGGATATATCGGGGAAGTAAGCATCAAGCCCCAGTTCCCACTATTTATCAAGTCTTTCATGAAGTCAACAAGCAGATGAATTTTCTTTCTCGCGGTTCAAAGCATTCTATCTCACTAAGTCCTAGTTAAGTTCAAGACTACTCTCGTCTTCTAGTTTTGAATGATCAATAATCGACTCGAGAGACAGAAATAAATGTATAAGCCATTTGAAGTCTAAGCTTTCACTTTAAGGGTGTGACTTTCGTTGGATGAATTTATTTTGCATCAAGTATTTTTAATCACTTTTTTGCAACAAATCTTTGGAAATTAAAAGAGACACAAAGAATTTCCTTATTGTTACTTAATAGACCCTACTTGTTATTAATAGTTAATCAATGGATTGGTAAAAGGTCATACAAGTCAATGATATATATATGTACTTACAATATGATATGAATGGAGTTGTAGAACACTTCTACTGTTTTGCAACTTTTCCTTTCCCATTGAATTATTTTTTTTTCCTGACACTGCCAATTTTTCAACGAGTCTGGGTCAAGACTCAAGACGGTGGAAAAGAATTCCGAGCTTACCTCCATACATCTGTCAAATATAAACCACCACCAATTCATTGATAATGGCAACTAACACTCTACCAGACACGTTCTTTCAACAACTCGTTGCTAAATATGAAACAGCAAAAGGTGATCACCATATCTTATTCAATGGAGAATCTGCCGTGCATGAACTTATCTCAGTCCCCACTGGATCTTCAACCATCAACTACCAAATCACATTATTAAAATCATTAATGCATCGTCCAGATCAAGGATCAAAAGACAAAAACCCTTTTGCTAATCCAGAACCTGAACTCACAATCCTAGCCAATTATAAAGACGAATTCAAAATCGTATTTAATAAATACCCCGTGGTAGATTATCATTTCATGTTAGTTACTAATGAATTTCGTCCACAATCTTCTCCACTTACACCATTGGAACTTCTGGCTACCTATGAAGTTCTCCAGGCTTTGAAAACCCAAGATACTGGCCGTGATTGGGTTGGATTTTATAATTCCGGTGATGAAAGTGGTGCATCTCAACCACATAAACATATTCAATTCATGAGTCTTCCATCTGATTTCGTACCTTATTCAAAGAGTTTATGTGATAGTTATACAGAGGAAGGATATATACCTATCAATACTATTGTTGAACGATATCCACTCCAAGATGGGAATATCCCATTTGCGCATTTCTTAGCCAAATTCCCCACCGATATTGATGAAGAAGGATTGGCATTGAGTTTTGCAGCATTGTTACAGAGAACACTTACTGTATTACGTGAGAATCAAGCTACTAGTATTTCATATAATTTTATTATGACTACTGAATATATGATGATGATTCCACGTAGATCATCTAAATATAAACAAATTGGAATTAATTCTTGTGGAGTATTGGGATTGATATTATGTAAGAATGAAGAATTGTTAGATTTAGTAAAGTCTGATGGATGTTTAGAAGTTACTAAAGGTGTTTGTTTTGAAAATACTTCAGGAAAAGCTGAAACTGATTATGATTATTAGAAATTAACTTATGTATATATGTATAAACGCTATGATAGACAGGTATTACCCAATTAGGAAGTCTAGACTTTAACCAATAGAAAACATTTTTTCTCTTCTTACAATTTTTTTTTTCGTTGTCTCTCTCTCTCTCACTCATTCTCCAATATGTAAAATAATATTCAAATCCCACTAAGAAACGTAAATCAATCTATTAAACTCCAACAAGAAGTAAATACAAAGCAGACATGTCCTTTACAACTATTGTCAAGAGAGGTGAATGGATCCGTTCCAGACCAATCTTAGCTAAGATCTTTATCCCAATTGCCAAAACTTATGCTTCCTATGCTGGATACAGAGAAATGGGATTAAAATTAAATGATTTATTTGCTGAAGAAACCCCAGTAATGCAAAAGGCCCTTTCAAGATTGCCAGAAGCTGAATCATATGCTAGAAACTTCCGTATTTTAACTGCTCATCAATGTGCTTTAACTCATAGTTTATTACCAGCTGATAAGGCTATTCAACCTGAAGAAGATACTCACTATTTACTTCCATATATCTTGGAAGCTGAAAAGGAAGCTTTAGAAAAGGCTGAATTGGATAACATGAAGGTTTAAATTATGTAAATAAATATATATGAGTGAAGATTGATCAGAAAACACAGGTGGTGTTTTGGATAAACACGTTTAACAACGAACCCGACATATAAATACTTATAATATACATTTGTCATTTATTGAAATATTAAATTAAGAAAGAGACTTCAAGTATAAACCCGAACTATCTATGCAATGGTACGGTATTGAACGAGAGTGTTGTCTTTTGTCTTTGAGGGAGAGACTCCTCCCGTTGAGAACAAAGTGTAGAAATATGGGGAATGTAAATGCCTTGTAAAAATGCCTTTATTGTATTACTATTCTAGAGTAAGGCTAAAACCCTCAAAACCCAGACAGTAACGAATGTCTAATAAATAATATCTAACTATATATTAATCTCTAACAAAATACTCTACATCCCCAATTTAAACTTTCTTAATTGTTCCAATACCAAAAAGGTAACAATGGTATGTGGACCCAATCTCATAAATGAAGGTAACCAACCTCTAAACATAAACCCAACACCTTCATTCTTTACCGCATTCTTCAAAAGTGTCACAGCACCTTCTCCACTTCCTTTACTATTCATAATTCTTGTCTTTACGACGTCAGCTGGCGAACATACAGTAGTAGCCACTAACCCAGCAATCAAACTTGCACTGAAATGAGTTGATTTTTTAGTTGGATCCATATGTAAAGTATCCACAAGTACTTCCTTGGCAACATCATAACTTGCAACTTGTCCCGAAGTCATTAATACCCCTCTAACTAAATTTGGCATCAATCCTCTAAATAAAGAACTTGGACTTTCTTCTTTACATATTCTCCAAAGACCATCAGCAGCATTACGATAATTTCTTCTTTGTGCTATTGGGAGAGTACTATCATTTTGCATTCTGATATTGACAACATCAGCTGGATTACCAACCATACCACCCATAGCACCAGCTATCATGGACATTGGTAATAATACAGCTGTACTTGGTTTTTGATTCCCAGTCTTGGCTATATATGCATCTTTCAAGTATTCATATATACCGAATCTTGCAGTTGAATAAGTAGCTTGTCTAAGTAATGCAGCCGATAAACCGGAATAAATCTTAAGTGGACCTTCTTTCGTGATTATATGAATGATCATACCAGCTAGGGATTGTCCAGGTTTCGAAGCTGTTTGTAATCTAACTTTGGCCAAGTCTAGGGGATGTGTTACTAAACATGCAGTCATACTGGCGGCACCTCCGTACCAGAATCTAGAAAATAAGGTTTTTGTTAGTAACTCATTTGGTTATTTTTCATCATGGGGCTGAACAAGTATCAGGTGGGGGAAGGATACATACGGATATTGTACTTTATTGGAAGACATGATAATGACTATGGGATTATTTCTATTGGAATGGTCGTAGAGGAGTTAGCTAGTAGTAGCAATAGTTTAAAAGGATGGGAGGGAGTATTTAAATATATATAAATAGAAATTTATAAAAAGATAAAGGAACGAGATGTTTTTAAGAAAATTTTTTGTTTCTTTCTACCGTTTCTATTGTTCTGTAGTATATCCGCTCAAAGAAAATAAAAAAAATAATCTTTATTTCTTTTCATTCGTTGGGTTGAAAAATAGAAAAAGGTTAAAACCTTAATTTATGGTAATATAGGTTACATTTTCATTTACAATATTGACTGACATGCCTAAGTATACCAAATTACAAAATGGTAAGAATTAACTATGAAAAGATAGTAAAGAACTATCAATCTATCAATCTATCAATCAGTTCCGCTTGTCCTTTTTAGGCAGAAGTTTTGTCCCTTGATAGCGCAGACAGGGATTTTGTACAACAAACCGGCAGATATCGGAATCCCGTTCCACCCCTCTTTTTGGCTTGGGAATATTCCGAAATTGCCCTGCCATCGTTCCCAAGAAACAATAGAACTTCTGATTTAGTGTAATGCTTCTAGGACAGAAATACGGATTACGCTGGACAGACGTGAGGGGATTGACATATTATTAAATTATTTATTGTAGTACTAAATCAGTCTACGCATCTAATTTCGAAACAACCCACCAAACGAATGGGTGTGTGGTTGTGTTAATTCCATTTCGTATTCATACTCCATAAAATTAATTAGTGCAATTGAGGAGATTCCAAATAGAAACATACCATTCCATGCATAACACTACACTGGTTACTATACATGCTTCCATTGCAGCATCTGACTTGGCATCAAGAAACTTCATTCGGAAAATTCGAATACTACGCATGAGAAAAAAACATGAATTGACAACGCTATTAACCAGAGATTTAACATATACTAGGAGCCTTTAAATCAGTCGGGATGCCTTTTCCCACTACAGTACGCCATCCCCCAGAACCAAGCAAATATAATTGTAGATGACAGCGTATTAATAACCTATTATTAATACCTTTAGCAAAGTAACAATACGGTTGGAAAAATAAACGATTCTTTTTTCTTGGAACATTAAGGTTTTTGCAACCCGCCTGATGGAATTTCTTTTCGTTGAATCGTGAATCTACTGAAGCTATTGAGTCTCCGAAATTAATCCTACTTGTAGCATTCGCGGAAGCTATTCCAAGCATTGGTGATCGATCGCTTCGAAAAAATGATAGATATGAGTTTTGCAGCATTTTTTTTTAAGCGAAGCTGTGCCACTATTGTCATGAAAACAAATCGTTTCTACAATGAACAAGTGAAGAATTAGGTTTCACGCCCTTTGTTTCAGTTATTCAAATTAAATATTCCAGGAAAATCATCCGATAAGTCGAGCCCTGCTCAAAAAGATGAAGCCGGATCATATAATATCCGGAATCAACTGGCGTCGAACAAATAAGATTGCTAAATTAAACTTAAAACTCGATTGACTTTACTTTTGAAAACTTTAATCTTTAGATCTATGCAATATCGCTGGTCACGCTCATAGATTGCTGAGAAGTTTCTTTTCTGTTACGACATGTAATAATTACTCGAAAGCAAAAAAGAGAGAGTCGGAATGGACGACACTCTCTAACGTACTGGTAGACTCTATCCGGTTTTCTATCGATATTTCATCAAAGGACCCAAATCAGGCCACACTACTAAGAATCTTTCATACATTTCCATGATGAACAAAACAAATATGGAGACAACTGGACTTCCCCCAGGGCTCATGCCAACCTCTCCGCATTCCTTTGTGGCAATATACACTCCCACAGCGAAGACAGTTATGAGCCAGCTTACTTCCAGTTATGTTCCTGCCGATTTTGCTTATAAATATGGTTGCCTTTGATCTCAATACCACTCTGAGCACAATTCTTTTCTACTCAACATCTAAGTTATTTAGCTATAATGACTGATTCAATTAAAATAGAAACAGAAAAAGATACAGAAATCGGCCAAACTGTCCCTTCGACCAACCTTCTCAATGATTCAATCGATGATTACTTGTATCTCAAAAAACCATTCTACAAATATGGTTTCTTGAACAAGTTGCATTTTTGTATCTTTGTGATCACTGTCGCTTCAACCAACAATGGTTATGACGGTAGTATGGTTAATGGTCTTCAAATGATTGAAAACTGGAGAGATGCTATGGGTAATCCAGCTGGTCACGTTTTAGGTGCTCTTGCTAATGGTTTGGTTTTTGGTGCTTTGTTGGCTGCTGTTTGTGCTGCTTGGATGTCAGATAGATTTGGAAGAAAACCATCTATTATTGTTGGTATGATCATCGTTATCATCGGGTCAATTATGCAGGGTGCTGCTAACGGATATGCCTTGTTCACCTTTGCGAGAATTGTTATTGGGTTTGGTGCTAATGTTGCCAGTGTTTCTTCACCTGCATTGATTTCGGAAATTTCTTTCCCAACATATAGAGAAACTTGTACTTCATTATTCAACACATTCTGGTATCTTGGTGCCGTTATTGCTGCTTGGGTTACTTATGGGAGTCATACTTTGAGTACATCATATGCCTGGAGAATTCCATCTTATCTTCAAGGTGCCCTTCCACTCTTTTTAATCTGTTGTATCTGGTGGGTTCCAGAATCACCACGTTTTCTTATTTCCAAGGGTAAAGTCGAAGAAGCCCGTAAGATCCTCAGGGAATTCCATACTGGTAATGACCCCTCCCATGAAGCTACCCGTTTAGTGGAATTTGAAGTTCAAGAAATTATCGCTGCTTTAGAAATCCAGAAGGTTTATGCCCATGCTAAATATTCCGACTTCTTGAATATCGCATCTTATAGAAAGAGACTCTTTTTGGTTATTTTCACTGCTGTAATCACCCAACTTTCCGGTAATGGTTTGGTTTCATACTATCTTAACAAAGTCCTTAATACTATTGGTATCACTGACGAAGACACACAACTTAAAATCAATGGAGGTCTTATGATCTATAATTTAGTCGTTTCCTGGGCTGCCGCATTCTCCATACAATACTTCAAGAGACGTACTATTTTCTTAGTTTGTACCGGTGGTATGCTTGCTTCATTCATCATTTGGACAGCTCTTTCCGCTAGATTTGCTATTACAGGATTTGAAAATAACACTTTAGCTAATGGTGTTTTGGCATTCATCTTCTTGTTTTATTTATCTTATAATATTGGTGCTAATGGTCTTCCATTCACTTACGTTACGGAAATTTTACCATATTCTCACCGTGCTAAGGGTACAAATATCTTCATGGCTGCTGCTTATGCTTTCTTAATCTACAACGGGTTCGTTAACCCTATTGCCATGGATGCTATCGAATGGAAGTACTATATTGTCTACTGTTGCTTCTTGGCTGTCGAAGTTGTTGTGGTTGCTTTGTTCTATGTCGAAACATCAGGATATACTTTGGAAGAAGTTAGTATTGCTTTTGGTGAAGGTAGTGCCAACGCTGAAAGCCTTGTCCCATTAAAAAACAACCTGAGTGACAATGACAGTAGTCCAAATGGCTACCCTTAAATATAAAAGCACTCTGAAAGATCCTTGATAAGGATGTTTCGTGGTAAGTAGCTTTTGATTTTCTCTATAATTTAGTTTTTCTACAAACACACTTTTGCTTAAAAAATGTGTTATTCTTTATATGTTTCTAGATAGTTCTTTTGATTAGACAAAATTTATATTTCCTTGCTTTTATTCTATTTTGCATTAGTGTTAATGCAGCAATTAATTGCAATAAGCAACGAGATTTCTTGTCGTTAATTAATCAGTATGTCTAAAAATATTGTTCAAAAATGAGTAAAGTTCATAATACTAATGTGATCAAAAATCCTTTACCCATATGAACCTTCAATGAACACCCCATTGTAGAAACATGTTGGGGTTCATATTCTAAATTTTTTGATACAATGTTACGCAAGTGAGCTTGCTATGTATTCATATGAAATTTTTGGCAAGAAAGTTCTCACCCCATGATAGATAGGTGGTTTATTTCGAGTCTGCTGTGTTTACTAATTTGCGGAAATTTGATCCCGTTTTCAAGGGTGTTCCTGACTCTGACTTACTGATGCGACATTTTTTTGCCATCTTAAAGAGTTCAAAAAGCGCAATTTAATGTGGCTAGTGATTTGTCCAATCTAACGCGGCAAGTAATTTGCCACAGGTTCGGCATTGTGGTTTTTATGCACGTTACGGAGTTAATGCATAAAGTATATGTATGATATACATTTGGCTATGCATACCGTACATATCGAATCGGTTGTGGCTTTGTGAGGGGTCAAAATTGCGGGTTTAGCGAGAAGAGGTGAGAATCCATTCATTCTTCTTTCAAAGGAACCACGAGACCCATATGGTCAAACCTGATACGGAAGCATAACTCTGATCTTCAATACTACATGCCACTTTTCCTTATGATTTGCTTGAAAATCGTAGCATTTATTGTCATAAACTTTCTTCGTTTTTTGCAATCATTGATTTTGTACCTTTTTTTTTTTTGCTCAGATAAAGAAACTTCTCGTTTAAGTACGATTTACGAGAACAGAATATTTTTTTTGGTTGCAAAATTAATGTACTAAACCAATCAAGTACATCCAATTGCGAAACCAACCACCAAACAAATGAATGTGAATGTGGATGTGCTAATTTCATTGCCGGAATTTCTAGTATTCTTGCCTCTTAAGATATGTGCTAATGCAAGACTTCGTGTATGTGTAGTTTTGTGTTGGTAATACGAACATTGTTGTTATATTGGTTTAAAAAATATGAGTACAAGTATTCACTAAATGAAAATTGTTTGCAACTTGCCACTGAACAAATCTGAAACAAAGCGGGGAAGAAAAGACTTTTAATATCCAGTTTTCTATACTATGACCTTACTTTTGAGGGCTTTAATCTTGTTTTCTTATAACATCGAGGAAAATCTACGAAGTTGTAACCGATGCGATCACGTGTCCCTTTGGTTTAGGTACGCCATTGGATTACGCAAACTTTTCCAAAGTTCTTTTACGAGAATCGTTTCTTTTATTTAAGTATAGATACTCTTTAGGCTACGTCAACTCCGTTCGCTTAGGACAATAAGTGTTTAAAAACCTATATTTAGATCTATAAAATATTTTTTTTTTTTATTTTTTTTTTTTTTGCTGGTCATGCTGATATTGACGAGAAGTTTCTTTTCTTTTATAAAATGTAATAACGTCTAGAAAGTGACAAAGAAAGAGTCAGGATGGATGATACTCTCTAATGTACTGGTAGAGTCTATACGGGTTTCGATCGATATTTCATCAAAGGAACCAAATCAGATCGTGCTACTAAGAATCCTTAGATTGGAAGTCGGCCCTTCATGCATTTCCATGGTTAGCCAAACAAATATGGAGAAAACTAGACTTCTCCCAGGGGTCATGCCGACCTCTCCGCATTGCAACATATGTACATTCCGTGGATACAGGTATGACGCAATCTAATTAGTATTGCCTGTATACCTATATTTGGCAACACTTCGAGCTATGCGGGTATATTTATATTTGGCAACGCTTCGAGCAATTCCGGTATATTTGTATTTGGCAACACTTCGAGCTATGCCGTTTCCGAGGTTGTTATAAATATGGTTCCAGTTGACCTCAATTCAGCTCTGAGCCCAATTGTTTTGTACTCAACATCTAAGTTATTTTAGCTATAATGACAGATTCAATTAAATTCGAAACAGAACAAGGTACAGAACTCGGCCAAACTGGCCCTTCAAACAACCTTCTCAACGACTCAATCGATGATTACTTATATCTCAAAAAACCATTCTACAAATATGGTTTCTTGAACAAGTTACATTTTTGTATCTTTGTGATCACTATCGCTTCAACCAACAATGGTTATGATGGTAGTATGCTTAATGGTCTTCAAATGATCGACAACTGGAAAGATTCTATGGGCCACCCAACTGGTCATGTGTTAGGTGCTCTTGCTAATGGTGTGGTTTTTGGTGGTTTGTTGTCTAGTGTTTGTGCTGCTTGGATTTCAGATAAATTTGGAAGAAAGCCAGCTATTACTGTTGGTATGATCACAGTTATCATCGGTTCAATTATGCAGGGTGCTGCTAACGGATATGCCTTATTCATCATTTCAAGAATTGTTATTGGGTTTGGTGCTAATGTTGCCTGTGTTTCTGCGCCTGCATTGATTTCGGAAATTTCGTTCCCAACTTATAGAGAAACTTGTACTTCATTATTCAACACATTCTGGTATCTTGGTGCCGTTATTGCTGCTTGGGTTACTTATGGGAGTCATACTTTGAGTACATCATATGCCTGGAGAATTCCATCTTATCTTCAAGGTGCCCTTCCACTCTTTTTAATCTGTTGTATCTGGTGGGTTCCAGAATCACCACGTTTTCTTATTTCCAAGGGTAAAGTCGAAGAAGCCCGTAAGATCCTCAGGGAATTCCATACTGGTAATGACACCTCCCGTGAAGCTACCCGTTTAGTAGAATTTGAAGTTCAAGAAATTGTCGCTGCTTTAGAAATCCAGAAGGTTTATGCTCATGCTAAATATTCCGACTTCTTGAATATCCCATCTTATAGAAAGAGACTCTTTTTGGTTATTTTCACTGCTGTAATCACCCAACTTTCCGGTAATGGTTTGGTTTCCTACTATCTTAACAAAGTCCTTAATACTATTGGTATCACTGACGAAGACATGCAACTTAAAATCAATGGTGGTCTTATGAGCTACAACTTGGTCATTTCGTGGGCTGCCGCATTTTCCGTCCAATACTTCAAAAGACGTAGTATTTTCTTGGTATGTACCAGTGGTATGCTTATTTCATTTATAGTCTGGACAGTCCTTTCTGCCAGATTCGCTATGACTGGATTCGAAAACAACAGTTTAGCTGATGGTGTTTTGGCATTCATCTTCTTGTTTTATTTATCTTATAATATCGGTGCTAATGGTCTTCCAGCGACCTATATTACGGAAGTTTTACCATATTCTCATCGTGCTAAGGGTACAAATGTATTCCAAGCTTTTGTTTATATTTTCCTTATCTACAACGGGTTCGTTAACCCTATTGCCATGGATGCAATCGAGTGGAAGTACTATATTGTCTTCTGTTGCATCTTGGCAGTCGAAGTTGTTGTGGTTGCTTTATTCTATGTCGAAACTTCAGGATATACTTTGGAAGAAGTTAGTATTGCTTTTGGTGAAGGTAGTGCCGGTACTGAAAGCCTTGACGAATTTAAATACACCCTGAGCGACAATGACAGTGCTTCAAAAGTCTAACCTTAAGTATGATACTACCCCGAAACTGGTGAAAGCGTTCAAAAGCGAATTCTTGATAATGATGTTACGTGGCATGTTGGTTTCTGATTTTCTCTATAATTTTGTTGTTCTTCAAACACATTTTTACATTATTTTTTAGATTTTTCTAGATAGTTCTTTAGACATAATTTATATTTCCTTGCTTTTATTGTATTTAGGACTAATGGGAATAAAGCGATTAATTGCAATGAACAGCAAGATTTCTTGTAGTCAATTAATCAGTACGTCTAAAAATATTGTTCAAAAATGAGTAAGGTTCATATTAGTATCTGGAATTAAGAATTCATTCGCGGTATGTATGAGAACAGAATATTTTTCAATTGTTTTGGTTGCAAAAGTAATAATTTCTTGGCAACCAGAATACTCGGCACGACCAAAAGAATCATTCATTCATTTCATTCATTAAAACATTAAACTATTAAACTAAAAATATCAAACTAAAACAATTACAGAGTAGATATCAACTAAACAAATCAACCAAATAATACTAATAAAATTTAACCTTTTACAATTCCCGCTGCCCTAAATCGTTTCAACCGACAATCTAAAGCATTCGTAAAAATACCTTCTCCCAAATAGCCCTTATTCGTATATGACTGACACAACTCAACAATATCATCAGTGTCTAATTCTGGGTTACAACGAAGATCAATACGTCCAATATTATTTTTCCAATTGATAAAATTCAAACTTGTAAAATTACACAGCATAAATGAAACATGTTGAATTCTTGATGCGAAATTTATGTGAGTTCCACTCATTTCGACTTTTCTCAAATCGGTTGAATCCATAATGAGATATTTCAAATATGGGAATTGTTGTGCGAAATCTCCTGTTAAAGAGGACATATTGGGAATAGCTAAATGCAATTCGGTAAGATTTCTGGGGAATTTGGTTAAATTAATATTTCGAATTTGAGAATTTCTCATTCTCAACACTTCCAATCTTGAGAATCGTTCTAGGTGCATCTCTTCAATCATACTTTCGTATAATCCACAGGAGAGGTCTAAGTATTGCAACCTTGGCATATTTCTAAACGTACCCAGACCAGATACAGCACAATTGGTCAAATCTATAACTTCAAGAGTATCTGGAAGATTCTCCAATATGTCCAAATTAATACCATTCAAGGTATATTTGAATTCACATAAAGATTGGGGGAAACTAAAATCTGGGGAAATATTCATGAACCCGCACTCTTCAAGTGATAAGGTTTGGACACTGGGTGGTAGTTTCATAAGAAGTTCACTCCCACAATTAATTCTGCGTGATTCTAGTGTTCGCAAGCTTTTCATATTTCTGAAATCACATTGTCCAAGGGGAGTTCCATTAACGTAAGATATCTCAATATTCTTGTCGGTGGTTTTAATAGATAGGGTCCGCAAGTTCTCAAGCTCGAGTAAATTGGAATTACTCACATTTGAAACTTGAATATTCAGGATTATGAGCACCTCAAGACCAACGGGAAATACTACTCCATCCAAGTCAACTCTAGATTTATCCAACCTGAGATATTTAAGATTTGTAGGAAGCTTCAAGTTAGAGAAATTTGGGATTTCTGAAAAGTCAAACAATTCCAATCTTTCCAAAGTATCTGGCAATTGAAGTGTTGGTTTAATTATAGCATCGGGACATTTCAAAGATAATTTCTTCAAGTGTCTTGGTAAATGACATTTCTTACCAATGATGAATCGTTTACTATTATCAAAAAAATCAGGGAAATTATTATACAAGTCATCAGAAGGTCTCTTTAAAGTGGTATTATTAACATATATCTCAATCAATGAATCCGGGAACTCAGAATTGAAAAAATCATAGTAGAACTGATGGTAGCATTCTCCTGATATTACCAAATTACCCAAATTTTGGAAATGATTGGCTTGGCCGAAAATCGGAAAAGCCTTCATACTACAATCCCAAAACATCAACTTTTTTAAATTGGGAGGAAGAATCATAGTTGAAGATATTGAGAAGACACCTTTTGAAAACTTAAGCTGGTCGACGTTGGTATAATCAATCATTTTCATGCCACCTTTAAGTGGTGTGGGTGAAATAGTGTCACGGATTTCCATACTCGAGACCGATTCAGGTAGTTGGAGTTGATAATTCTTCTTGTTGGCCAACTTGGAATTTGTAAACGACACATGTCTAAGGGTAGTTGGAATATCATCCAATGATAACTCTAAGAGATCATCTAGTGACAAACTCTGTAAATTTGGTAATTGTTGTAATACTAACTTGGGATCTGATAGGTGAAGATTTGGTATTTCAAGATGCCGGATCTCGGAGTTAAATTGTATGGTAGCGCCATCAACGGAATAATCACCATGCATAGGAAATTGTTGAACACATATATTATAAGGATAGGATTGAATTAATTTGATTTTATCGAAGGTAGAATCATTAAATGGTAAGTATCTAGGTAGGGATACCTTAAGATAGGGGATTTTTATCAATTTGTCATGATGTGTGTCATGAAAAATAATTAAGTCATCTAACAGATCAAAAGCCACTTCGGTGGGGATAAACCCCGAGTTTTGGTCAAGAAATGAAATTAATTCGTATAATGAACCAAATACGGCTGTTCGGTTTTTATTTGGTAATAACGGAGTTGTGAAAGTTGGTAAAATACCCCTCTTTTCCAAATGATGATGATTAGTAATGTTAGGAATATCAAAGGGAATAATATTATGAATTATTGATATGGAATTAAATCCAGATTGTAAAGCATAAGGAATTGTCCAACCACCGTTACGAGATAAATATTTGATTGTAGAAGTTGGTAGTAAATCAAATATCGATTGAATTAATTCTGGAGGCAAATCTTCTAATTTCATCTTGTATATTTATTGCAGCATATAAATTAATAATAATAAGTCTGGGGTAAAAAAAACTGATAAGCAGTTAGCTAGGGTGTGTAGAGTAGAAAAAAAGGAGAAGAGAGGAAAAAAAAGATTGACAGAAATTAAAATATTTAAACAGTAGAATCCTTATTTTTTAATAAGGAAAGTTTTAGTTAAAAGGAGTTAATCAAAAGGTGGAGAAAGAGAAATAAGTTTAATTAGTAATACCTTCGCTTATTATTTATTTATATGTCTAATTACCTATGTATCAATATATCCCCACTATAGGAATAAATGATTCAAATACTATGATTAATAATAATATACCTTCAAGTAATATTGTTGAGTCACATGATTCACATATACAATATCTTTCAATTATTAATCCTTTGTTAGTATCAGACAAGGCAGAATCTAATAATGAATTATTTAAACAGATTTTAATATTCATCACTACTTCACAACATCAAGATCAAGAATGGACTCAATTGGAAAAATTAAATTTAATTGGACTTATACGAGGAATTGATTCATTTAGTCGAACATTTTCCACTATTGAAAACCATCGTCCTACAATAATTAAAACATCCAAATCTTCAATTATAATCCTTGAATTAGAAAATGATTATTATATTGTATGTTCAACTTATCAAGTAAATCAAACTAAATCTAATTTCATTAATCAACAACTAATTAAATTGATTATAGATGCAAATACGACATTTAGACTATTAAATATGTCACTTGATAGAATCACAAAAGATTATGACTTTGAAGTAATGAAATCAACACTAAATCAATATTGGTCAGGTTTCCTTGAAAGCTATAATAACCAATTGTATAAAGTTCCTGTAGGATTAAAATGGCCCAATAGTTTGAATTATAGAGGTTTCCTAGGATTGTTGAAAAGTGGTGGCCAACCTAAACAAATTGCAAAGAAATCATCTATTCTGTTAATACCGAATCTCAAACACGAAATTAATCAATTACTATCAGATGATGATGTCCAGAATGAATTTGCAGCCAAGGGTATAATCATAAGTTATTTCGGGAAAATGAATCCCAAACAGTATGGACTCGTTTATTCCCAGAGCCTGAATGATGACGAGTTGGGGGATATAATTCCTCAAGAATCATTAGTTGATATCTACAATTGGTTAGAGTACCATGATTATCACGATAAATTAAATTCAACTTCCTTATGTTCGTCTACTAGTAGTGACCTTTTTAAAACTAATTTGCCAATGTTTGTACCAAGTCAAGCCGAAGCAGATTCTCAAGAAAATATGGTTGATTTAGGATTAAGGATGCTTCATCCTGTTAATCTCACAAATAGTTTGGTTGTCCTGCCCTTGAATTATACTGTCAATAGTATGATGGCTCTTGGGAATCAATTTACTTCTGCTGGGGCGGTGCAACAGGAGGTGCCAGTCCAACCTGATGCACAGGAACAGGGATGGTTATCTATGCCACAGTTTCTTCGGCCCTATGTTGGCACTGAAGCTGAAGCAACTACTTTGTTAGATGAAGCGAATGTGGAACCCAACCACGATAGTGAAGATGAAGAGGATGAGGACGAGGAAGTCGAAGCAGCTGGTAGCTATGTAATTGGTTTACAGACTGAGAACTTCCTACAAAACATTTCTCGAAGGTTAGTTTACATTCCAACACAGATGAAAGTAGATCAAGATATAAAGTCAATCGAAAGAGAGTATCAATTAGTCGTTTTTACAAGAGACGATATATACATTACCTTGATTTATGAATCGTCTGCAACTCATCAACTAGATAAAGTTGAATTCTATGAACAACTTCAACACGACATACTATTACCCACTATTCAAGAAATCCAGAATCTGATGATTGGTGGAAGTTTAATAAATACAAGTATCTCATCATTAAGATCTATAGCTGGTCTATTACCTTCCGAAGAAGTCGATCAAGATTTCTTCTATGTTATTTTCGATCCTGAGAAGCCGTGGTTCCAAAGTTCCTTGCCTTATTTGCCTAACATAACGAATGACAGGGCTACCACCCCAACAGCAACCACCAGATATCAAATGGCAATGTATTATTTACATGATCAATTGACAAATTTGTTTTTGATTCAACAACTGGAGTTCTTCCAGACTGATAATAAATTAAATGAATATTTCCATAAATTCACTAGTAATAAACTTAACGATTGGATGTTTTATTACATTCGTCATAAAAATAAATTCATTATTATAATCAAGAATAGAAATAAAACAAATAGAACAAATGCAAATACAAAGATTGTTGAGAAGTCCTTATTGGATAAGATTTCCGATGGAATTGTGGATTATGCCCATTTGGGATTCTTGGACAATTTAGGTGATGATGTGAAATATTGGTTGGGTCAACAAGTAGTAAGTAGCGAATAATTAATAGATTTAATAAATTAATCCAGTCCCTCCATCATAACAACCCCTCCCTCTTGTTTATATTTTTTACCTTGTATTTTTCTTAAGTCCATTGATCCAAAGTAGAACACTTGGCACATCCTTCGCAATCGATTTTGGCATTGACCAGTTAGTCAACCATTGAGGAATACTTCCCCCAGGATCAGAAACTGTCGCCATAGTCCACGACAAACCATCTTCCTCTAAGCTAACTTTTTCAATTGAGTTGTATTCTCCAACAACTTTTCCTGACGGCTGCGCATCGGAATTGACGGATTGAGATATGACATACACACAATTCTCTCCCAGTTTATAAACATGCACCCATTCATTAAATACCCTATCCTTGATTGGGAATCCAAATTCATATACTGCTTTAAGGAAATATGACCACCCATCCGAATTGGTGGTTATATCATTACATTCAACACTTTTTAATTCATGGATATACTCTAGCTCATAATCGGAATGGGTAGTGCCCAATTGTGAAGTTCCGGAAATGTATGAAATAATATCTTGGAGATATGGATATGAGTTTGGGATTTTACATGTTCTTGAAAACCACAATTTATTATCTATGAGTTTCTTTGACACGTTTACTTGGATGTTTAGTTTTGATGGGGGGAGGATATATTTGAAAGTTTTCGATGTGGGCCATTTGGGTGCTGTGTCTATGATGTTTCTACTGTTTGCGATTATTGCGTCTCGAGATAAGCTGTTAGGGTCAATTGATAGTCCAGGCATGTTTATGCATAAGGAAGAGACTAAACCTTAAAGGGAAGAAAGAGGGGCAGAAAAATTGTAGCAATATAATCTTATTATCGCACTTTAAATGGCTCATGTGAAGATGGAAGTCAGAGAGATCTGAGATGAAAATAAACATTAAATCAAAAAAACATAGTAAACATAAAATATAAAGAATTTCAAGAATTGGTAAAGCCCTCATGTCCATAATTTAATATTAGCCCCATCTTGAAGACTCATAGTCAAATGAATGAGTTTCTTTGGTGGATAGTTTGGATCCATAGTGCTAATATTAGGAAACATTTGTACTAATCTGGTAATAACATAAGAAGCTTCTGTAAGTGCAAATTGTTGACCAAGACAGATCCTTGGACCACCGTTGAATGGAAGATATGCCCAGCCCAACTTTTTCAAATCGTACCATCTTTCAGGTCTAAACATCTCTGCGTCTTCACCGTAATATTTCTTCAACCTATGGGTGAGATACACACTATAAGCAACTGAAGAACCCTTAGGAATAAAAATTGGCCAAGTTCCATCTTTTCCACCACCTCGAGGCAATGTTGTGTCTTTGGTAGCCATACGGAAATTGATAGGGACAGATGGATACATTCTTAACGCTTCTTGAAGAACAATCTTTAAGTACTCACATTTCTTCAATGATTCAAAAGTGATTTCATCAAGTCTAGCTTCATCACCATATCCAAACTTCGCATAGATTTCATCCTTGAGTTTTTGCCATACAAGTGGATTTCTAGCCAATTCAAAAAGAGTAAATGACAACAAACCGGCTGTTGTATCTCTACCCGCAACCATGATGTTCAATAATTGATCTTGTAACATTTTAGGATTTCTAGTTTGTTTGACCAATTCATACAAAAATGTATAATTATCCCTGGATTTCTTTTCGAGCTCTTCAGGGCTATAACTAAGAGCCAACGTGACATAATATTTAGCCAAAGCTTGAACTTTTCTATTACAACGACGGAACTCTGGAGTATTGAATAAATGGTGTAAGATTTGCAGATATGCCCTAGTAGCCAAATATGTTTGTGAAACACCAAAAGCTTCTGCAAACCCATCACGTTCCGGAATATTATTAGGAGTAGGAAGACCCAAATGATCGTCATATAGGGAATGAACCGATTCTCCAAACAAAAATTGTGTCGAAGTATCAACCGTGAATTGAAAGAACAATTTCTGAATATCAAATGTCTTACCGTTATATAATTCAATATGTTTAGCAAGCACTTGAACATGTGGTTCTAACAATTGGACATGGCCAACCTGTTCCCTAGCAAATTGTGGTCTCAACATTCCACGGGTGAATTTCCAAGCTTCACCATCCAAAGTGAAAACACCATCTCCCAATAAGGGTTCGAAATGAACATGTCTTCTACCTAATGAAAAGTCATTGAATTGAGTAGCTAAAACCGCTTTCATATTTTCAGGATCTAGAGTGACAACCATCTTCAAAACATGTCCATATCTGACATAAAATGTGTCGGTTGGATAACGAGCAAAGAGACCACCTAAATATTCAGTTAAATTACCTTGTCTTTTTGCTGTAAGGAGTTCATTCAATGTTATTAATCCAAGGATTTTTACTTTCCATAAATATGGTGGGTTTTTGCATCCAAGTTTTTTACTTAAAATTGCATCTCGAACAACTGTTTGAAAAAACACATACAAAACAATAAACCCTAAGAGAGTATACCATTTCAATAAATATTTTAAGATTACTTCCTTGTCAATCATTGTGAAGTAAAGAATTGCCCTGGGCTAGTTGGAAAATGCGGGTAAAATTGATTTGAAAGTAATTTTTCAAAGAAATCCAACATTTATTAAAATGGCCTCCAATTGATATACATTATAAATAATAATAAAGTAAGGGGGGGTTAAATCTATAGAATAAAGTTAAATCATCTTGTCATTTCAAATCTTAAAAAGATTGTGGAGAAGATTGACAATAAGTAAGTCCGGTTTTGCAGCAATTTTTTTCTCGTCACTTTATCATGTGAATTTCTCTAAACCTATAAAATATTTATAAACGATACAACTGTAGAAACAGTTGTGGGGTTTCTAGTTTCATATCAGCTTCATGATTATCTACCTGCTAGTAACCCAACATACGTACTGCCTAGATTCTCAGAACGGCACATGCGGTAAGTATAAATCCGTGACTGCAGTTGGTGCCAGAACCACCTTCCACATATTCTAACTATAATTCTAACAATGTAGTCGGATTCTGTGTTGTTTTTAAATCTGGAAGTTGCATAAATTTGCTACATAATTCTCATACTACAAAGAAATTACTCATGAGATAGAATCACAGGCGTTTTTAGGTAGGCTTAAGCGATCTTGTCTAGAATTTTCTGACAATTGCAAACACTGAATGGTGCGCAAGTCAGTAAATGTATAACATTGAACTCTTATTGTATTCTGGTGACAATGGTTGACGTGTACGTCATATATGCAGTGTCTATAAGTTCATGTGTTGGAGGATCTTTGTTAAAGAAAAGTTGAGGCTGAAAGCTCAATTCCGCGTTCTTTTTTAACCGCCTTTGCATGAGACTAGATGTTTCTGTACTACTTCAAAGATTGCCAGGAAAGATATACTCAGAGAAGTTGACATTTAAGCACAGAATTGGGCACTACAAACCTAGCACCTCAGATTTACTTTTAGATACAGGAAGAACAAGGAGGATCATCAACTTACATGGTACAAATACATTACAACTAAAAAATACTAACTAATTAATCATTTCCACATTTGAATCTGCGTCCCAGGTTGAAGACTGGCAGTCAAGTGTAAATGTTGCTTGGGTGGATAGCTTGGATCCATACTTTTAATATTTGGAAACATTTGAGCTAATCTTGCAATGACATACGAAGCTTCAGTAAGAGCAAATTGCTGCCCAAGACATATTCTTGGACCACCGTTGAATGGGAGATATGCCCAACCCAACTTCTTCAAGTCATCCCATCTCTCTGGTCTAAACTTGTCTGCATCTTTTCCATAAAATTCTTCGCGTCTATGAGTTACATAGACACTATAAGCAACAGTAGATCCTTTTGGAATAAAGATTGGAGAATTCCCATCTGTGCCACCACCACGAGGTAGCGTTGTATCTTTGTTGGCAACTCTAAAATTGATTGGAACCGCAGGATACATTCTCAATGCCTCTTGAAGAATACTCTTTAAGTAGTCACATTTCTTCAATGATTCAAATGTGATTTCTTCAATCCTAGAATCATCACCACCTCCGAATTTAGTATAGATTTCATCCTTAAGCTTTGCCCAAACTTCTGGGTTTCTTGCTAATTCAAACATAGTAAATGATAATAAACCAGCAGTTGTGTCTCTGCCGGCAACCATAATATTCAATAATTGATCTTGTAACATCTTAGGACTTCTAGTTTTTTTGACCAACTCGTATAAGAATGTATAATTACCTTTGGACTTCACTTCGAGTTCTTCCGGAGTAAGCTCAAGGGCAAGTTGCACATAATACTGAGCCAAAGCTTGGACCTTCTTATTGCAATGACGAAATTGAGCACTATTAAATAAATGATGGAATATTTGCAGATATGCTCTTGAAGCAAGAATTGTTTGCGAAATGCCGAACGCTTCTGCGAACCCGTCACGTTCAGGAATATTGTTGGGACAAGGAAGACCCAAGTGTTCATCGTAAAGAGAGTGTACTGATTCACCAAACAATAATTCAGTAGATGTATCAACTGTGAATTGAAAGAATAACTTTTGGAGATCAAATGTCTCACCTTGATACAATTCAATATGTTTAGCAAGTACTTGAACATGTGGTTCTAATAATTGAACATGGCCAATCTGCTCTCTAGCAAATTGGGGTCTTAGCATTCCTCTAGTGAACTTCCAAGCTTCACCATCCAACGTAAAAACACCATCTCCTAATAAGGGTTTAAAGTGTGCATGTCTTCTCCCTAATGAAAAATCATTGAATTGAGTAGCTAATACAGCCTTCATATTATCTGGATCAACAGTAAAAACCACTTTTAAAACACCAGCTAATCTAAGAAAGAAAGTATTGTTCGGATAATGGGCGAAAACGTCCATTAAGAATTCAGTTAAACGATCTTCACTCTTAGCTTTAAGAAGTCTCATAAGCGCAAACACACCGGAGAATTTGACTATATGTGCATATGGCGGATTCTTGCATCCCATCCTTCTGGTATAGATTGCATCTTTGATTAAGGTAACTGAAAGGATATAAATGAAAACGGCAACTGGGATAAGAATATACCATTTGGGCATGTACTCGTCGATAATTTCTGGATTTAACATTTCGAATTAACTTCTACTGAACAAGAAAACACGAACTTGCAGAGAAGAAATTTGACAGATGTTATATACTTTATCTTTTGTACCCCAGTTTGTGGAGAATGTGCATCAAGTCCGACAAATTAGAACTTCAGTAGTAATAGCCAAATGTCATTTGCAGCTTGTTGCTTACCTGAATAGGAAATCCAGCATACCTACCTAGCCTCAGATCAACGCCTCAAGCTTTCACAACCTTTTATTGTAACTTTGACAAAACCAAGAAAATCCTAAAATCTCATTGTTCAATATCATATGAATAATTTCAGAAGCTCAACAAATTACTCAATACAAATATCACAGGAAAGTACTTCTCCAAAACAGAATGATTGATAAGCTACCCCAGAAAAAGGGGTGTTATTTTTTCTTGCTTATGTCATCGTCAATGCCCCCCAAAATTGACAATGGGTTACTCAACAATACAATACAGGTGGAACAATACCCAAAAGCTTCGCTATCTGAGAATGCCCTAATTGGGTAACTCCGGTAATGGAATCCCGTACCACATGCCTGTTGGATTTTTTTGTTGAGCTAGGTGGGGATTGACAGATCTCACCTTCTCTGCAATATGTCTCACTTGGTGACGTAAAACTGTTGCGAGATCTAATGATATTCATGACATATGAATCATTTCCATTCAGTCTCAACTTGCTTGTGAGAATGTAAGCTCTTTGTTCTACTCTGTGATTGCTATTGGTTGACAAATACTCATTTCCTAGGGGCGACTCATTTTCATATGAATTTGAAGGTGAATATGTCTGACATCTGCTGGATGTTTGGCTTCTATTGGATCGTTAGATTGACATTTACTCTATTATCCTGACCTCTTAGAAGTGCAATCTGGCTGAGAACATGTTGTCCTAAACTGTATCGATCAGAAGGGAAAAATTTCATGTCCAGAAAAAAGCAGGGCATTATCAAATTCAGCTTCTTCTGTTGCTTCTGTCGCAGATGATTACGTTAACTGCAGATGAATTAATAGAGTATTATTTGAATTTACCAAATGAAAGACAGTCACCATCATTAAAATCATACATCATCAAGAATCGCATTGAGTTTGAAAAGCAACTCTTAGATTCAATAGAATCCAGTTCATCACCAGCCATTATAGCAACTCCGTCGATTAACGAAGAAGTCGAGCCCCCTAATGCGATTGATCTAAATTTAATTGAAATAGACGAAGATACACTTATTCAACAAGCGGATGAAGCATGTGTCTCCAGCGTTAATGATATAGCAACTAGGAATTTCGTTGATGAACAAATGATTCATAAACAAGCTTTCCTTCAAGAGATTGAAGGAAAAGGACTCACGTTGAAAAGACAAAGAGCTAATGAGAGCGATGGAGGGAGTTCGAAGACACAGGCAAGCAACAAAACCATTCCCATGAATTATTAGTTAATTTAGATTAGTATACAGGATAGTTAGTGTATTAAATTATGACTATGTACAATAGAGTATTTACATCTCCTGCTTTATCTCTCTATGGCAGCCTTTGCGTTTGGCGTTCTTTACTCGAGCTGAGGAGCTTGGTTGTGTTCTACCCTTCTTTGCTCAGTTCCTTGTTGTTCAGGAAGTTTTTCTCGTTTGTGAAATTCCTCAAGAGCTTCTTTATATACATCGAATGCCTCGAGTCTTGCCTTACGTCCTTCTTCTGCAGCCTTGGAGAAAATCTTCAACATCAAACTAACTGATCTGACCCCATCATCGTTAGCTGGAATAGGATAAGTTAACAAAGAAGGTTCCATATCAGTATCACATAAACCAATGGTAGGGATATTAGTAGCAATACATTCTTTAACACAGTTTCTATTATCAACTGGATTCAATAAAACTACTAAGTCGGGTTTGAGAACTTGTGGAGATTCATGATGTTTGGCAAAGATTGCTTTATCACCCATATCAACTGTCATTTTAGAAGGAGCGGAAATTTGCTTAATAACTTCACTATGATTAGTGATCATACCTGGAATCCATCTTTTTGTTACATAGTATGCCTTGGTCTCATAGGCAAGATTTTCTATTTGACGTTTCAAAAAATCATTCTTCATAGTACCAACATACAAGATGATACCACCTTTTCTGGAAATACCTTCAATGACATCACATGCACGTTTCAACATAGGTATTGTCTTGTTTAAATCAATGATATGGACACCCTTATATTTACCATAGATGTATGGTTGGGTAGAAGGTCTCCAACTAGCAGTGGAATGACCTAAATGACATCCAGCAGCCATTAAATTTTCAAGAGTAGGATCATTTCTCCTTGGGGACTTCTTGTTTGGGTTTGTTACGTATGACCCTAACTTCCCAGAAACTCTAGCATGATGCAATTGTCTAATGTATAATTCTTGTTCCGAAAATGGTTTATATTCTGGGGTTGCTTTTACGTGAGCAAACCCTGAAGCTTGTGTTGTTTGGGTAGTTACCTGTGCATCTGAAATTCCATTTGAATCTCCTTCAGTAGATTCTTGTTTAATCCATGGTCTTCTGGCTGCTTCTCCAGTTGGCAATATCAATTTAGACATCATGAATTCTTCTAATTCTTGATCTAATTGTTTGACCTTCTTTTTAGGTAATTTTTCTAAATTCTCTTGTAATTTTTGTAACCTTTGTTCAAGCAAAGCGGATGGAGTTTTATTTAAAGTTGAAATTAATTCAATACTTTCTTGTTGCCACATCCTCAATTGCTTTGCTTTTGCGGCAGCAATTTCTTCTCTGGCAATCATTTCAGCAAGTTCTTTTTCACGTTGATCCTTTTCTGAGATGCTCTGTTTGTCTTCTACTTTCGATTCAACTGGTGCTGGCTCAACTGGTTCGGTCTCAACTGGTGCTGGTTCAATTGGTTTCGTCTCAACTGGTGTATCAGCATCAGGTTGTGCTTTAGTGTTGTTATACCTTCTCAATAAAGGCAAGGACGTAGCATTGGGTGTAACCCTCAAAGGAGCCCTAATGAATGCTCTTGAATATCTAATCATTGTCCTATAATCTTGGAGAGGATTTCTTGAGAGCCAATAGAGTACGATTCAAATTTGATGAAAGAAATTTTTCATGAATTTTTTTTTTCACCCAAAATTTTGAACCTGATCGCACGACCATTGGCAACTGGGTTTACAGCAACAAGTGAGGAGGAAGAATACACAACCAACCATAGTGAATGGACCCAATAGTAAATATAAGAAGGTTGATGCTTTGGTATTATCATGAATCAGTCACTTTAGAAGAATTCATTACCTTGATCTTGAAGAAAACTAATAAAACCGAAAAGAAAATAACCAAAGGATACATATTGGTTGTTGATCCCGAAGTCTATTATTCTTATAAATTAAAACTTTGCGAAACCTTGACTCCTAGATTAATTCATGAAATAGACAAGTTCCAACTTGTACTAATTGAACAATGGCAGGACTTATATGATTGGTTCGCAAATTTGCTATCTTCTTCTCAAGGTACAAAAGATGAGATTATTGTAGCATTATATGGAGTATTCACTCACTTTGTAGAGGTTGGTCATGATTACATTCCAAATAGATTCCTTCCTAATCCTGGTTTATATTCAGCTAAGGAATTAAATAAATTTCTTCATGGTTTATTTATTAGTCAACAAAACTGGGGGTTTGAGGTGGTTATAAATGAATCTGTCCCTGGTGTTGTTTCTAATGAATACGAAGAAGATCCTTTGCTTTGGAAAATATCGATACCGAAGATTAGTAAAAGTTCGAGTCACGTAAGTGGTAATCAAAGAAGACTTACCAATTTGGAGATGGAGGACAAGCAAAGTGAAGGGGATTACATTTCATTGCGAACAATATTTATGAAATGGGTTGAGAAAGTTAATCAAGATGCTTATACGAATCAGGTAGTCTGATTAGGTAGGTAGCATTATAGAGTTATTGAGCATCAATTGTTCAAAGAACATTTTCCTTGAAACACTCGAGATTTACGAAGTATCGTATATTAACTTACAGTAGTCTAAAGAAAAGAAACATGATATAATACTGTATTCTCTTTAGCAATTTGCATACTCAATGACGGTTAGTCAGTATTCAAGCTATTTATTGGTCGGCTTTGGCATTCTCCACTTCTTCTTCACCATCATCCTCGTTGTCTTCGCCTTCGTGAGCCCCTTCAGAAGCTTGACCCAATTGACTTGCCAATGAACTAATATCAAAGTTTTGACCACCTGCTCCACCAAGACCGCCAGCACCACCTGCACCTGCCATTAATTGTGAAAAATCGAGTCCACCAGCACCACCGCCGCCCATGTTCATCATATTACCTAATTCATCATCGACTTTAGCGGCTTCATTTTGTTCATCTTCATCAACCCATTTATCGAAATCGGTGTGAATAAAATGATATTTCAACTTTTCTTTAGTTAATCTTGGCCAATATTCTTCTTTAATAGTTTTCTTTCTAATAACCATAAAGATATGAGATCCATTTTCGGTATTAACATGAGAGTGTTCTGGATCTACTTCATCAAAGAAATCTATGTTTAAATCATAATGGATTGTTTTATCTGGAGAATTGGCTTCTACTTTTAAATACGTTGGTTTTAAATCTATTTTGGTGTCTGTATAATCAAGCATTTCTACCGTGAGATATAAAACATTCTTAGAAGCATCGTCTTCATTTGAACGTTGTGCCCAAAGAACTCGTGGAATTTGTGTGGTTGTCATTATTCTCTATGTTTATTTTATTTGAATTGGAATTGTATAGAAGAAGAAGAAGAAGAAGAACTTGAAGGAGAAAGTTAAATTGAAAAATGCCCAAGGGCAATTTTATTTTTCCAGATTTTGTTTTTTTGTGTCACCGAAGGAAAAGTGTTCTTTCTGTTTCTGTAGGTTTCGATTTATTACCTTATTTCATGCTCACGTGGTTTTAAATATTGGGCACATAGAATTATGGGCAAGATGTTACAGTTTCACCTCTTTATTTATAAAATGATTCGTTCATGATGATTTGCTGTATATAGATTGACAGCTGTTAATACAAAGTCTATAAGGTCCATAAATATAGAAATCTTGATTTCTCATCTAAAAATAACTCGAACAAAATTGCAGTCAAAAAGGAACTCTAGCGAAACGTAACGAACTTAGCACCTTCTTCATTGACATGTTCTTTAACATGATAGTCCAACAACATCTCGACCATATCTGGGCTTGATGACTTGACAGTGTCTATAATAATTTGAACATCTGTCATGTTTGGGTTTCTATTCAAGAACAACTCCTGCAATTCACAACAATTCAGTAAAATTATATTGGCCGCAACACCGGCTTCTAGTTTATTATCAGAAAGATTCAAGATCTTCAATGATGGTGGGAATTTCAACGTCATTCCCTCTGATTGCAAATACTGATTGATCTTGGTCTCTGACATTCGTATTTCTTGTAAGTTACTTAGTTCGGACAAAACATTAGGGTCAGACAACGTGGAAATCGGATTTCCATCAAGGATTAGACATCGCAACGACAAGGGAAAACTTCTCTCCAAGAACCTAATTTTGTTTCCCAGTAAGTCCAACTTCACTAGGTTCTTATAGGAGTCTAATTTCATTTCTCCTAATAACTTAGCAGTTATATAGTACTTAGTTAGATATAGCTCCTTCAACTGCTTTGGCAAAACATTTGGTTCCATTATGTCAAGGGCGTCTCCGGGCTCGATTGGATCAAGACCTCTTGGCATTACTGAAAGCAGTTCGACACAATCTGGTAATTGAAAATTCAATCTCTCAATCTTTTCAAACTTAGTGTTCGCCAATTCCACTCGCTTCAAATTAGGTGCGTGAATGATGATTGTGTCAAGGTCGTAATTATCAGATAAATCCAAAGTCCGCAAGCTGGATGGTAATTTGTATACAAATTCCTCCATTCCCTTCCATGCAACAGAAAGCTGAACTAATTCATTCAAATCAAGAAAACTTATAGATGATATGGGCAGAAATGAATATAGGTCCAAACTTCGCAATGATTTCGGTAATACAACTCCATCAACCTTAGGGACATGAAGTTTCAATTCGATAAGGGAATCTGGAAATCTGGCACTAGACCAATTTTCTTCTGGAACCGATTCATCCCAAGCATCTTGGAGCCCATTGTTTGAAATTTTTAAAACCCTTAGGGAGTCTGGAAATGTCAACTTTTCTGGTTGGTACAATCCTTGGAAAACATCTAGATTAAGGACCCTTAAATTGTTGGGAATCTGAAAACTCTCATCAAAGGTTACACGTGGCCCAGCAGAACCACGTTGCTTAATAAAGTCAAATAGCAAGATCTCAAGAGTTTTTAAACTGGAAGGCAAGGAAATATTGCTAAATGCCGTCGTCTTTAAGCTAATGTTGCCATGTCCTATCCGCAACTCTTTTAAATTAGTGTACAACTCAATACTATCCAAGCTTTCTAGGCGGTAAGGAGAACTATGCGCGGTTTCTAAGCTGTTACGAGAACTAAGTTCCATTCCCCATAAGATCACCAGCTCAATTCCTAGAGGAAACTTGAACTTGCTTAATTCATCAAAACCACAACCAATATCAGCCACAAATTCGCGTAAGTTTTCTAAGTAGGAAACATCCAATTCATCTAATTCAGAAATATATATTTGCAAAAATTGTAGTTTTGATGGCAAGCGAGGGAAACGTGTCTGAAATAAATTGATTTTATCTGTCAATCTTAGCTTTCTCAAATTAGGAAAAAGACGAGGTAGTTGATCCAGGTCAGCTTTATTCAACTCTAAGTCTTGAAGATTGACTCCCCAAGTTTCACGCCAACTTTCATCAGTAAACCATGGAAAAAAGTAAGCAGTAAGTGACGAGATGCTGGACAATAATGTGTGAAATCGATGTTCATTGGCAACATCCGGATGTCTACAACCACCTCCAAACTTAGTTGAAAGTCTAAAAACTTTGTATGACGGATCAAAGAGTGATGGTGGAAGTTTGTAGCCTTGTCCATATGAAAAATCTATTCTTGGCAATTGTCTTAATATATCAGGATATCGTTCATGAAACCAAACAAATTGCATGTAGTCTTTGAAATAAACAATCTTCGGTTTAAACGTGTTATATTTCTTCCTTAATTGAACAAATTGATTAACTTTTAACTGTTTATATGAACCGCCGCAAGCATCAACTTCATTAAGAAGGTTTGATAAAGAAGTTCCATCATCTAGCTTTGGTATTGCAATAGAGCTAAACGCATTTGGCGTATAATACGTCCCCTCAGAATATGTTGACTGCGACCAAACAATTTCGATAAAACGATAAAGCTTATTTATAGCATGCTCTCCTAAGAATGGGATATCGACATAAGTTTCCAAGCAGTCGTCGGGTATGAAGGAAATTATAAGCTCGATTACTTCAATAGGTAGATGAAATATTTCAAATCTTCTTCTTTGTCTCTTTCGTGTCGAGTATGATAGTTGTTCATTCCATTGTTGATCCATCTTGTACCTATATCATTTAAGTAAGTTTCGGTATATGCTCCGATTTTCAGATGTAGAAATATGCCTCTAAATGTTTATTATCTTAACCATTCATTGTTTATATTCCTACGTTGGGAGATTTCAATGTTCTTTGTATTTTCACAGGTGCTACCAATTGACAAGAATTTATCATGTGACAAACGGGTGATTTATTTGTGCGGCTCGTTTGAATTTTTGGTTGCAAGTTGTAATTGTCAATGTTATCACACTTTCCCATTGTCAAGAACATAAGAATGATCTCTCCAGACTAAGTAGATTGGTCGCAAAGGTCTCAGAAATCTTCAATGAGTTCTCATTGAAAATGAGGTTTTTGAAAAGTTGACTTTAAGTCGGGTTTTTTGGTCAAGAAATCACCGATAATTCTCTCTTTTCACAACTCATGTCAAGAAACCAACCAACATGCTTAAACAGATCCTCAAATATAAAGAACAAACAGCCAAGTTTTTGAGAGGCGTTTCTGAGGATCTTTTGTTATCTTAGCAAACTTTTAGGAGGTTAAGAGATTAATAAAATCGAACAATGTTGTGTTAGGGTAAAACTTTAGTTGGTCGAACTTACATTATGCTCTTGATGGACGTCTGAAGTCTCTATTTCGAATACTCAGGAGTTTATAGACTTGTTCGATAAAAGAATAAAGTTTTTTGACCGCATACTCTCCTAGAATGGGAACGTATGTATCAAGATAATCATCGGATATAAAGTAAATTATAGCTCAATTACTTCAGTATTTAGATTGAGAAATTTAATTTCCTTCTTTTTCTCTTTCGTGGCGAGTCTGATTCCTGCTGGCGTTTGTCTTGGGCCATTTCATATTCTAAGTGTTGACTCAAACAAGTCAGTATGGTCAGATTATCAGACTGGGGGATGAAAGAAAAAGTTCATTTGATGACGTCATCTTAAAGTAGGACATTAAGATTAAATGTCGTATCGAATAATGTCGCAACATTATTACATAAATTAAAAAAATGTGCAGCGCTTAAACATTCCATTAAAATTCCGTAATCGCACTCAAGTTTTTAAAAACGGTTTCTTTGATTCTGTACAACTCCACAGATTTGTAGTTATGCTTTTATAAAAAAGTCATGTGCTGGAATTACTTTGAAGATATTTGTTTTAATTACAATAATTAATTAATTTGTCACAAAAATTTAAAGAGAAGATACACCTTAAAAGAAGAGACAAGAAGCTATATCACGCAAAGCAAGACGGCGAATTCAATATGTTGTCAGATCTACCCTTGGAAATTCAAATGAAACTCCTTTATATGGATCCCGTATCTTCGTTGAAGTATACTAATTCGCATTTCTACTTGCTATATAATGATTTATATTATAATAAGATCTTGAGTGTTTTTGGTAAAGATATAATTCAAATAATCATAAAGATATTACCATGGCTTAAGCCATATATCAAGAGTTTAGACGTATTTAGATATAAAGCAAGAATGGCAATTGCATCTAGATTAGAATTGGAAGATTCCTCTACATTCGATAGTCCTGAAAATCAAAATCCATTGAATTGTATGTACATTAAAGATTCCTGGAGATACATTTATGCCGTTTTAAAGAATAAACGATTATTTGCCGAATATAGTGATTATAAGATTGATGAACCTTCAAACTATATATTTGATCATTATGTTGAAATCAATAGAACTTATTTGTTATCATACTCAAAGTCAGTTTGGTTATCGCCCGGTACATATAATTTGAATATTGGTTTAGCAATCAAACAGGGAAGTGGATTAGGGACAACTAAGTTTGAAGTCAAATATCGAGATAGAATTAATAATAAATCAATTGTTCAAACATTTTATCCTCCAACTAATATAAATGATATCCTACCTAAAAACCAATTTTGCTTTTTAAAAATTGGAGAATTTACCATTCCTGAACCACCTCGTCCTATAACTGATGTACCTACAAGTCGGGAAGCAGAAGAGGAAGATGAACCTGCTCAATATCATAATAAGCTTCAGAAAATCCAATTATCAATGGAAGAGATTGGCTTGTATCTTAAGTCAGGATTCAGAATATATTTCATTGATATTTCACAACCTTCACTATTATTCAATGAGTATGATTTGATGTACTATACGGTGAATGAAACTGATTTTCGATATTTCATCAATGTCCTCCTAAAGAACTTGTATAAAGCACTCAACTTTGTTCAGAATGGAGGTGTTTCTGATGATAACAGTGTTCAATCAGTAGCTAATTATTATGGTGGCGGAGATCCATATGCTATAATAGATAAATATGATAAGCAATTTCTTCAAGATTTCAATTCGCATTCGGAAACACTAGAAGATTTAAAGGAAGAACTATCAATGTATGATGATATTAAATTAATGAAATATGCTCAATTCTTTTATAATAGTAGATTTAAAAAGACATATTTCAAGTTTAGTACTATTTATCAAAGACGTCAATTTATAAACAAGTTTGGTGATTTTGAACTAGATTGGAATGAAGAGGAAGAACAAAAGGGAAAAACTCAGAATCAACAACCTCAAGATTCAAATTCAACCAATTTGAAGAGATGCTCTTACGATAAATTCGGATTAAAATGGAAGATACCCATAGTAGGTGAATTGTAAATAGCTAATTAGAGTATTTATATAATTATTTTTGTGTCTTATATAATTGTCGCGACAGCAGATTTGATCCATTTTAACTTTTCGTATTAATTAACTGATGGCGGTAAAAAAGATTACAGTTTTTAATTGAGAGTCAATCAGGATTTAATGAAACCTTCTGAATCTATCAAAGATCAAGATGGAGATAAAGTGAAGATGATGTTGAAGATAATCAAAAATCAGCATGATGTCAAACTGTTGAATGATTCAATTATGCCTCTGGAGAATAAAACTCACATACAGATACCCCATACTCCAATCAACACTAACTTTGATAAAGACCGACCTGTACCTATATACTCTGCGCTGCAGCCATCAAACTTTCAAACTAGAGGAAATGATCATATTCCAGTACCAGAAACCGCCAACGAAGAAGACAATGAAAGTAGAAACCAAGATGATTCTTTTGATACCCCAGAATTTAAAAACAGAAGAATCATCTTACAGAGATTCACCATTTATAATTCTCAAACAACGATGTATATAGTGGGTAGCAATTCTAAAGAAAGCTTATTCAGAATAATGGAAATAGGTAAAGATCCTGACAAACATGAGGAATTAATGATAATTGAAGACAAGAACTATTTTTATACAAGAAAAGATATGATTGAATTATTAAATGGATTGGATGAATCCATTGAAGGTGGGATACATAAGATTGCCCATGGTTATGGTTTATTGGGGTTGGTTAAGTTTACAAGAGGATATGAATTGATAGTTATCACGAAATGTTCACAGGTGGCAATTCTAGGAGGACATTTTATTTATCACATAGATGAAACTAAAATGATTCCTCTAGATATTAATCAGAAAAAACCTGAAAAGTATAGCGATGAAGAAAAATTGCTGACTATATTTAAGAATTTTGATTTAAGTAAGACATTCTATTTCAGTTATTCGTATGATATTACAAACACTTTGCAAACAAATTTCATGAAAAACAAACGAATGGCTACTGAATTCCAATTTGGATCCAGTCATAGTCACGAGAATGATTTATATAATAATTTTGACCATAATGAGAGATTTGTCTGGAACAATCTTTTATTAAAACCCATACTTGAAAACCAAGAAGTTGCAACTTATGAATGGTTTCAACCAATGATTCATGGATTTATAGATCAAGCCAACATTTCAATCTTCGGGCGGAAGTTTTACATTACCATAATTGCCAGAAGATCCCATCATTTTGCTGGGGCTAGATTTTTGAAACGTGGTGTTAATGACCGAGGTAATGTTGCTAATGAAATTGAAACTGAACAGATCGTATCAGATATGCTAACGACGTCATTTCACGATAGTCGATATGGGTTTTATAATAATCCACGATATACTAGTTTTGTACAACATCGAGGTTCTATCCCATTGTATTGGACCCAAGATAGTCGACTACCTAAACCACCTATTGAAATCAATTTGACGGATCCATTTTATAAAAGTTCAGCAAAACATTTTAATAATTTATTTCAAAGATATGGCCTGCCTTTGATTATTTTGAATTTAATTAAACAAAAGGAAAAACTTCCTCGAGAGCTGAAATTAAGTATGCATTTCACAACTTGTATTAAATACCTTAACCAATTCTTACCTGCTAGAAATAGAATCCAATACCATGGGTTTGATATGTCTAGACATTCCAAGAAGAATTTAGATGTGATTGGTCCATTGCAAAAAATAGCTTCATCTGCAGTCTCCCAAATTCAATTCTTCCATAACGGAATTGATCTCGAATCTACCCAAGTCCAAACTGGAATCATACGAACAAATTGTATTGATTGTTTAGACAGAACAAATGCCGCACAGTTTATAATTGGGAAGGAAGCACTTGCGCATCAACTAAGAAGCTTGAATTTCATTTCCCAAGATCAAAATCTCGATTATGATTCTGACTTAATCAATATCTTAACTGAAATGTTTCATGATCATGGTGATACAATTGCTGTTCAATACGGAGGGTCTAATTTGGTTAATACGATGGATTCGTACCGTCGGATAAATCAATGGTCTTCACATACAAGAGATATGATCAATAGTATTAAACGAATGTATTCGAATTCGTTTGTTGATAGAGACAGACAAGAAGCGATTAATTTATTCTTGGGAAATTATGTTTATGCGCCTGATAATCCTAGATTATGGGAATATAAGACAGATTTTTTATTACACAATACAATGATAATTGATAATTTACGTATCATGGAAAGTTATGCTCGTTGGTTTAATGAGAAATATTTGTCCGGATCACGATTTAAGCTAATTGGCCCCCCAACTGAAAACCGAAATCCATTTTGGGATCCAGAATGGAAATTGGAACCATATCCTGATAGTACTGAGAAATGGTTTAATGAATGTTATGTACCGAGAAAATTTCAATCATTGGATGATATTTTCCAATTTAATATGAATTCAAATGCAAGGTATTTCCCATCTAATGTGGCTAATGATCAAGTCTTTGATTACAGTCCTTTTGATTCTCGGAAACAAAATAGATATGATGATTCTAAAACAGGCGAATTCGATTTGAAGTATTTAGAAGGATATCCGATTGATAAAGAAGATGATATATATCTAAAAGACGCTAATGATAAGATATCGCCCCGAAGGAAAGATAAGAAATACTCAAAGACAATTAGGAAATTCATATCCAAAAAAATTGAGAAATTAGCTTATCAAGAAAAAGGCAGTAACAGTACCGAAGCAGATCAAGATATCTCGACATTAGAGGATTCTCTCTATGACAATGAGAAACGGGATGATGAATATTACGGACATAAGAGCACTGCCGACTCACTGATCATGACACCAGAGGTCGACAGGAAGGATTCTCAACTATATAAATCTCAATGGGATTATTCTACCATTCTTACAGAGGGTAAATCAGTCAATTCTCCGGAATATTTGTGCAATTCCCAAAGAGTGAAAGTTACGATTGATGACAATGATCTCTATCGCCATTATACAAATGGCATTTTCGACACGGAGGATTCAAAACATGGTGGCGGGAATGCTTTAACAGAAACACATTTGTATAACGTTCAGGATTTGAGATTATATGGCGATTATACTGGGGTGGATGAGACAAAGTGTTTGGGATTGAATACCGTGAATAACTATTTTTCTTTGGGTGGTTAGTTAGAAATACATATGTAGAGAATAGGCATTTCGTGAATGTGCTTTCTAAAAAGTGTTTTGTGAGTCTACAATCGAAAAAGTTGTAAATTCAGAAACATTCTATTAATTTCAATCTCTATAGAAAGACGTATACGAAGTAAAAATGAAGACCATATAGCATCTTCATATCCAAAGCTTGCCTAGAATGTTATGGGAAATCTGGAAGGGCACCACTGGCATCATTCTTTCCAACAGTTCTGACAAAAATTTGAGTTCCACCCGTCTTACAAAATTTATCGTTTGATTTCAAGGTGCCAGGATAGATAAATCCAAAATCACCACCTTCAGGATTACAAACAGACCAAGCGTCTTGACCATTGTAATTCAATTTATCTTTACGAACACTGAAACCGACAGAAGATTTACCATTAGGACACAACTTCATACGGCCAGTCTTCTGATCAACTCTAAGAAACATATTTGGGACATTGACAAGTTGTAAACTTGAATTTGCCAAGACAACCCCATCGATACCAAACTTGTGTGCGTTAATTGAATCATCCAAAACCACCTTCTTTTCTTGGAAAACCAACTTTTGAAATTGCTTAACTCGAATAGAATTCTCATCTGGAATTGGCAGACCATCTCTAAGAGGTGGGATATAGGCAGCAAGATAAAACTGTTCAGATTGGCCCTGGGCTTGATTCATCAGGATATAAGGTTGCGAGATAACACATCCTAATAAAATAGCGAATAAGGTGGTAAAAATGTACATCTTTGATATCAGACTACTTATTGAGGCTTCTGGATTATATGGATCTGATTTGAATCTTTATATGGTGATTTGCATTGATTTTATAGTGATTATAGGCTAGAATAATCATACGATTAGGACAGGTTTATTATTGCCAAAAATGGTTTTGCACCCTCCCAAATTGTATCACTAGAGTGGTTGGCATAACAAACAAAATGGGAGCAGAAGGTATTGTGGTTGTACTTTCTATATTTAATACGATATAGGTATATCAATGACTAATCGGGAAGTATTGTCAGTGTTTTGAACTATTCAGGGTATGTTGGGAGAGACAGCATTTCTCTTCCAACAATAGGTTGCAAAATTTATACGGGTAAACGTGATACCATAGTGTAAATCAGCTCCCTTTTTTTAATCCCCTGGAAACAAAAAAAAAAATGAAAATTGAGAGATGAGGGTTACCCTACGTTTACTGTAAAGATAAACAATAAACTGTCATAGAGTAGGGTAACACCATCATTGGAAAATAGTTGCAAAAATTTATTCTACTTCCTATTAAGTGAATCTAAACCATGCAAAGAGGAAGACAACAAGAGATTGGAGGTGCTCAGGCATTACTCCAACTAGGATCCAAAGCTAATGAGGAAGAAACAGCTGACGAAAGCACTTTAGGTGATGCTTCAAAAGTTGGTAATGACCAGGATACAAATGATTCAGATGTCGATTTGTCAGATGCAAAAGCTAACCAACATATAAACGATGCAGTCGAAGCTGCCGTTATGCGATATGTTGGAGGTACTTTGGGAACATCAAACAACTATACTGGTAGCGAAGGTTCATCCAAAAAGAGCAAAAGGAAAGTTCAAGAAGATTATGACTTTAATCAATGGACTGGATTCTTAGATGATAATATGTCTCATAATGATGATTTTAGTAGTTATAAGCCAAAGAAGAAGAAGAAAAAGGGCAGTCGTAAGAATCCGCACGGAATAGATCCTGACTTGGAAGGATTGGGTACTTCAGAGCATGATCAATTAGTTGAAGCTGCGATTAAAGATGCCCGAGAATTAGCAAGACAAGATGAATTAGAAGCTGCCATGAAAGATGCTGGTGAATTGGTTAGGCATATGAATGATAGTACGCAAGACCAAGGATTGGCAGCTCACCAAGCCCAACAAATTCTTGCTGCTGCCAATGCTATTGAACAGAATGTTTCCAGTGCTCATGATGAAACATTATCCGCCATTACCCAACTAGCCCATGCTGCTTCTTCATTAGAAGAGGCAGCTTCTGCAGCCACGGCAAGCAGAACCTCTGCCGGCGCCACTTCTTCGGCAACTACTATTGCGACCACAGCTCCTGCTACGTCCTCTGATGCAGCTCCAAAGAAGGCAAAGAAATCAAAGAAGAAAAAGAAATCTAAAGATGAATCTCAACCAGAGGAGCACAAGCAAGAACCAGAACCCGAGGTTGACCCCTTCGCCACAGTTGTTCAAAAATACCATCATTTAAGTGACTTAGAAACCTTGATTGACGATGCCTCAACTCCAGCAATCGAATGGTATAATGCCAAAAATGCTGAAAAACCAATGGGCAAAGGACCCAGGAAATTTTCCGACGAAGAAGAAAGAGCATTGCTTCATTTCATGTCTGGATTTTGTCAAATGAATAAATGGAGTCGAGAAGATATGTGTAATAGAATTTGGTCTAATGAAAGAAGAAAAGATAATTTCTGGGAATCTTTGCACAGAGTGTTACCATATAGATCAAGATCCTCCGTATATAAACATATTAGAAGGCAATATCATGTTTTTGATGTTAGAGCGAGATGGACCAAAGAAGATGATGATTTGTTGCGGAGATTGGGGAATACTCATGTTGGTAAATGGAAGCAAATCGGTGAAATCATGGGAAGAATGCCCGAGGATTGTCGTGATAGATGGAGAAATTACGTTAAATGTGGTGATAGTAGAACTGAGAATAGGTGGCTGGAAGAGGAAGAAGAGGTACTTAAACAAATTGTCAATGAAATGATTCAAGTATTAGAACTGGAAGATAAAAAAGTTGGAGAAAATACTCCAGTCGCAATCAATTGGACAATTGTTAGTGAAAGAATGAAGGGTACTAGATCGCGTATTCAATGTCGTTATAAATGGTCTAAATTAGTGAGACGTGAAGCTGCTCTTCGTGCATCATATATGGACAATCAAACTAAAGTGTGGTTATTTGAAAAGATTCAAGCACTAAATGTAGATAATGACGGTGAAATTAATTGGGAATATATCGCTATGTTATATGAACAAGAGAATATAAAAGACCAAGACCCTGAAGCAGCTGATTACAGTAGATGGCAACCTGCCGATTTCCAAGCCGCATTTGAAAAGGCAAGAGGTGGAATCAGAGAACATAAGAGTTTAAAATTTGATAAATTAATTTCCATGCTTATTGAGGATTATTCCTCAAGACCACCAGATGTTACCAGTGCAGCTTCCAAACCTCCTCGTTCTCGTCCAGAATCTGACTCCAAAACCACTCGTTCTGTGAAACGTAGTGGTGTTACTCCTGCGTTGACTGCAAATAACAAAAAGGGTAAAGGTGATAAGGGTGCTGCTGCCGACCCTAGTGATCCTTCTTCTATTGCAAGTGCTGCTGTTGCCGCAGTTGCTTCTGGTGTAGAGGAGGAAGAAGCAGTACAACAAGAATATAGTCTTTGGAGATAGACAAGATGTATGTATGTATATTTATGTAAATTAAAATCAATATTGTATAGTAAAATGTATTTTTTTCTGACATTATTTGCTTGTCGCGACACGCTGTTAAATGTGGTTGTAAAAAAAGTCACATTCGTCAACAACAACTTTGTTTCAACCATTCAAAGGAGATAAACACCCGACAGTCAAAGCACTATGAATAGAGACATTGATGATGCTTGTCTTATGTCATTTTATGGGGTTAAGACATTGACTCCCAAGAAATTAAGTCATTTGAATATCACCGAAATTGATTATCCCGACATTGACGAAATCTCAAAACTATCAGTTGAAGAACAATTCACAATCTTAAATCAATTGGTTAATCCTAATCAACAAGAGAAAGTCAATCTCAATTTAACAGATAGAGATGTAGAAGATCCTTTGAAAGGACAAGGTACAAATGTCGTAATGGATTTAATACAAAAGGGTATTATTACTTCACCTCGGGATCCAACGGTCAAAAGTTATTTAATTGGTTCGCAATCCTTCAATTCTCAAAAATATTTAACTACTATTCATCATGATACTCCAATTCAACAATTAAACTTTTCATTGAATTTCCTTGAGGATAATATTCATAGTCATACCAATGAATTAAAGGGGGCAATTGATCAAAATTTCATACGATTTATAAATTGTAAGAAAGCCATTGATGATGTATTGGTTGAATTCAAGAATCTGAAAACTAAAGCCCAAAAGGAAAGAGATAATGCTAGAGTATTTAATCCCGAAAAACATGCGATTCGTGCTACGACAGGAAAGGGTGAACTTGGATTAGTCCAGGAATTAGAAGGAGCAATTAATAATATGAATACTACAACATCTTTAATGATTAGACCAATTTCAGATAAAAAGAATAAAGAAATTAAATTATATAATATGATTAATTTTATTAAGGAGAATAAATTCTTTTTTGATTTACCTGGGATTTTAATAAATTCACTTTCAAATCATAATAATGAAAAACTTATTGATGATTATAATGAATTTTTAATTCAAAAACGGAAATTCTTTGAAAATCTTGAAAGTCAACAAAATGCCAATTTGATTAAGTTTACAAAAGAGAAGAATGAAGAAGCTATTAAGGAATGGGAACAAGAGAAACAAATCAAGATAACCATTCTTTCCAAAGTATTCAAAGAAATAGATGAAATCCGTGGACAATTTAGCAAAAGAACATATAAGGAATTACTTACATTAGATAATGATGCACTTTCAGATACATTCAAGGAGAACTCCAAATTTATTTCTTTGATTGATAATTTATCTAAATTAAATCCTTCAACTCAAACCAATCCAATTTCTGAATTTTTAGCTAAACAGATTGATACTATTTCCAAAAATTTTGAATATAAAGTTTCCAAATTTGATAATAAATTTTTGTTAATGCAAAGTAAATTATTGGATTATATAAACTCATTGAATAAGAATCGTCAATCTGGTTCTCATATTAATTATATTTCTGAAAAATATAAGAATTATCGAGATGAAGTGACGGATGCCAAAACAAGCGACGAAAGAATCACTATCATTCAAGAAGCTTTTGGAAATAGTGATTCTTTGGATTTGCCTTTGGTGAATGAAACTTGGTTAGTATTGTACAATTTTATTGATTTCCTTGATCATTTATTATTGAACAATTTAAACAAATGTTTGAGTAATTATCAATATTATGCAAAACAACGTGGAATTGATCCTGAATGTAAGATTAGAGATTCTATAATTGATTTAATTAACAAAGTCGTGCTATTATTAGCTACATTATTTGACGATGATGAATCCAATAATTCCAATAATCAATTGGAATCTTCACCTAGATTCTATAAACAATTTGTTCCATATTATACCAATTCCTTATCAGCAATTTATCATCTAACTAAAATCAACACCAAGCTAAATCGGATTTTTACCAGTTTTGGTCAAAATGTGGGTACAATTGGAAATCTCACCAAATATCCTGACACTAATAAAACCTTGAAATCATTAAAGTCATATAGTTCCAAAATCAATCAAAAAATAATTGAAGCAATTTGTGCTGTATGGGTGAATGATTGTAGTCAATTTTATGATATAGAAGATTGGAAAACTGAAGAAGAAATTGCTTTGCATACAATCAATGATTCCGTGGCCAAATATACTAAATTTGTAAGTATTATTGAATATTATCAAATGTATGTTATAATTAACATTGCTGGATTGATTTTCCAAAAGGAAAAACAACAAGATCAACAATCAGAATTTAAGATTGTAAGTGCACATCCAAGTAAGCGAATCTTGGTAAGTATTGAAATTCAATTTATGAGAAGTTTGAATATATTAGTGGATTCAGTAATGAAAAAATATAATATTGAAAGATCTTTAGTACCTCAAAATATGTTGGAAGAAAATTGTGATGTTGAAATATTTAAAATCTTAACTGTGAATAATTTAGATCGATTGTCAAGTCAAATATTCCCTAGATTAATTCGAAAATTTGATCAATTATATCTCAAAGATTTACAAAAACAAAATTTGAAATTATTTGCTGATATAGATAAAGCCAATATTACAATTATTGATGATATTTTAACTAATGAAAAATTATACATCAATACTCAAATCAATAATTTCTTTAATACCAAATTCGAACCTAAAGAATTGAGAATTGACGGATTTATTTATAAAATCTTAGTTCATTTTGTCAAATTAATCAACAAGATCAAACCATTAACCGCATTAGCCATATTTGTGAAAATCATAAATGAACTTCAATTAAGTCTAATCAAGACCATCTTGGATAATTTACGAAAGTTTGAAATCTCAAGTATTGCATTGGTTAATTTGAAATTAGATGCAACTTTCTTATTGAAAGTATTTGATAATTCAAGAAATTTGAAATTGAATGAAAATTGTCTGAAAATAATTCAAATCTTATTGAATACAATTGATGAACAATATGAACAATTTGGTAAGAATGCGTTTAGTTATTCTCAGGAACAATTCCAATTGGTGCTACAAGATAATTTGAATTCTTCTTCAAGTGAATTTAGTTGTTTTTAGATAGAATTATAATGAAATGTATGTTATTCAGTGTAACCCTTTCTCTTCAGTGCTCAACTACTTTGAATGAATCTTAGGCTGCAAAAATAATTTGCATCAAAGTACACGACCTGTTGATTTTTCCAGACATCTTCAATTTGTCTCAGATTACGTAATCGAAATATCAACAATCCAATGGTCATCATCATTCACCCAACCAACCCAAACACCATGACACCTCCCAAACTACAATTCTCACTCCGATCCCATGGAGCATCAATCACAACCATCCTCCCACTCCCCCAATCCCAACAACTCATAACTGCCGACACAACAGGACTACTCATTCTCCGGAACCTAATCACAAGAAGACCAATACGACGTTGGCAGGGCCACGAACTGGACGTTATCACACTTATACAACTCGATTCTAGTCATGTATTGTCACATTCTCGAGATTCGGAGATTAAGATCTGGAATCTAGATAAAATCGAAAAAGACCGGGATGGATTGGAATATTGTATGCCTGTCAATGCTGTGAATTTTTCCAATATCATTTGGATACCCGAATCATCAAATGGAGAGAATGGATATTTGATGACCCCGGCCAGTGTTGATTCGAACGGTTTTGATGTCTATAAATTATCTAAATCGGATGGGATATGGAAGATGACAACTCGGGTGATTACCAATTATAGCGGATATAACCTAGTCCACAAACAACCACAAGTAGATGGCGAGATTGGATCCCGTGGGGATTTCGGAATCATAATGAAGATGACCCATGATATTTCCAATAATGATGTGATATATCTAGGATATGAATCGGGGGATATAGTCGGTATATCCATCACCTTCAATCCTCAACCAACTTCCGCTAGCACTCTCACCTCATCATCATCAAAACCACCCAATGGAACAACTGGTGGCGGATTGAGTAAGATGTTCAAAGAAACAAATAGGACGATCATAAACCATGACCCACAAATCAAACTAATGTATCACAATTCAACCCATTCGCCAAACCCTATCATCTCGCTCACGTATGATTCGAAAATGGGTCTAATCTCGGGCTCTACGGGCAAGAAAATCATCATCCATTCAACGGAAGAAACTATTAAGCTCAATCAAAGTGGGATCCAATCCATCCAAACCCATGACACGAGTAATATGATTGTGGTCGGATATTGGAACGGGATGATTGAGGGATATGACAGCCAAACTAAAGCCTGTGAATGGGATCTAAAGCGAAGTTTACCCCGGATCAAAACTGTGATGACGAATCAAGGTGGGGTGGATGAGAGTGAGGAGAACGTGAAGGGAGAAATGAAGTTATCATATATGGTCATATCCTCGATGAAAGGAGATGATGAAGAAAATGGGGAGAGGGGGAAGAAGAAGAGTTATAAGGAATTGATTAGACGGAAGAAGAATCAGAATTTAGATTCAAATCTCTTGTTTACGGGATATGAAGACGGGACTATAAATGTATTCAAAATCTAGAAAAAGGTAAATTAATTAATAATAATAATTCTATCAATATTCTCTTGTATAAACTGATTGTATAATATATAATTAATGATAATATTATATAAAAAAAGAAAACTATATGTTTTCAACCTGAGTTTCGGATATCAAATAAATATAGATAAGGAGAACTGGTTCATCCAGTTAATGCTAGATTATGTTCAAACATTTGTGAGTTTCTTTTATTTGTATTCTGTGTATATGACCGTCTCTTCTGTCTGTTATTGTTGCTGTTACCATTGCTGTTCGTATTGTTGTAGTTGACATTGCCATTGCTGTTGTTATAATTGGCATTGGCATTGTTGTTGTAACTATAATTGGCATTGCCGTTGTTATTATAGTTATGACCATATCCATTTACATTCCCATTCGCACTTACATTACTTGAATTTCTACCTCTACCACCTCCATTTCCATAACCACTATTACCATTATTAGTATAATTGATATTTCCAGTATTACTATATTGACGACGATGATAATTCACACTCCCGGATCTACGATGAGTATAATTATTATTGTTAGTATTCTCTTGATCAGAATGGAAATTTCCATGTGATTCAAATTCTCCATTCATTGACAATCTAGGAGAACTAGCTGCAGAATTTGCGCCCGATGGTTTGACACTACCGACACCTCTTGATTTCGGTAGGTTGATGATATTGTTATTCACTGTCGGAGTGACATTTCTTGATTCAATCCTGATTGAGTTTCTATTTCTTCGTTTTTTGAGGGTATTATTTCTAGAAATTGAGGTAGTGCTGGTGTTGATATTGGTTGTGGAAGTTACTGGCAGTGATATTTCTTCATCTTCGAGTTGTGCTTGATCTTCCAAAACTTGTTGAGTCTCACCCAAGAGTTCATCGATATTAACAGTTGCTTGAAGATGCGTTTGTAAATTTTGTTCCATATCCGGGAACATCGCCACAAGTTCATTAATTACATTGACATTTTGTTCCAAAACCGACTTAGATTCTTGACCATGAAGTTTTGTTGCTGTTGCTAATGTAGATAATAATTCTAAAATCTGATTATTTTTAGAAACATAAATATTATCCATTTTAGTTCTTTTATTAACCAATGAATCTAATAAAGTATCAATATCTTTATCATTTTTATTTAAATCTTGATTTAAAAGTTGATATTTCTTTTCTGATTCTAATTTATATTTATCAAATTCATTTTGTAAATGATCTATTTGAGATTTATAATAATTTTTATATTCATGTTGACCCGATAATAAAGCATCATAACTAATTTTTAATCTTTCATATTCACCCATTGAATTCATATTATTTTCTTGTAAATTTTCACATCTAATTGATAAATTTTTATAATTTAATTTCAACCCTTCATTAATATCGATTAATTCATTATGACTATTTTCTAAATCAATAATTCTACGTTCTTTACGTTTTAATAATGCAGTTAAAACATCATTTTCATGATGAGAATTAGCTAATTGATCAACATACGAATCACATCTTTTGGATGAAATTTGATGTTTTTTAGTTATTTCTTCTAAATTAGCTTTAGTTATAGAAAGTTCTTCAGTTAACATGTCAATTTTTGCATGTAATGATTCAATAACTTTTGAAGAACTACTCACTTTTGTTGGTGAAGAAGTTGCAATGTTAACTAACGTCATACTTGTGTCTTCCATTCTGGTTTACTCTGGTTTACTTACTTGTTCTATATGTTTCTATCTGTTTTCGATTGGGTCAAGAATTAAACTTTCCGGCAAAAACCCTTTATTAATATTATTGATGTTGACGTTGACGCGTTGGTGTTGATTGGTCAATCTAATAAATGGAAGGTGAAGTTTATGAAAGGGTAATGTCTTTTGAGGTTTATCCCTTTTTGTATCTTTTCTATAAAATGATTTGAATAAAATACAAAAGTAAAATTAACGAAAGCGTTCAAATTAAGAAAGGATGTGGGTTGCAAAGTAATAAAAAAGTTAAAATGGAAAGTTAAGAAATTTGTTATGTTGAAAAATCGAATCGAAGAAAAAAAAAATTTTGTTTGTTTCGTCTAAATTTTTTTTCAACATTCGTAATAATTCCCAATTAGGAAATTGGTATGTTTACTTATCACGTGAGTTATAAATATGTCAATATTATTAATTTTACTCACACACATACACACCTCATGAACATTATACACACAACCTATCAGATAGATGAACATTTAAAGAATATATATTTAGAAGATACTATCATACATTAGATCAATGAATATATTCAATCTATTTGTTGACATTTGATTTATATATGAAGATTCTTATCATCTATTGCATGTGATGTTGTGGGGTCTTTTTTTGTTGGCAGAAATATTCTTATCAAACATATTTCTTAATTTTCCTATAAATAGATCATATATTGCCACCCTCCTCATCTCTAAATTGAATTATATGTGTAAATCATATTAATGTTCCCTCTATGCCTTCAATAACTTACATAAAGCTTCTTTGACTCTAATCAGATTACATTTTCATTAGTTGCAGCCTCGGGACTGTGGACCCAGTTGCTATCCCGGGGATTTAAAAAGAACGATAAGAATAGCTACAATTGGTTTCGGTTACTTCTTATACTTCTCAATTTGCTTTAAAGTACTGATATGCAAAGTAATATTTAAACTTTACTATGGAATTTCTTGATTTCTATTGATTATTATTACAATTTGTAAAGATATTTGCAAAATTTGTATATGAAAATTTGTTTACGCGCGTTGATTAAAAATGGCTGCAAAATTAAATATGATACATCAAAATATTGCAATCAAAAAGGTGACAAATTAAAGGAATTTATCCTACTACTTTAAGATAGTCTAGTTCGTCCACTATGAAAGTGATTTTGAGAAATACCACATTTGTTAACTGACTAGTATACAAGCAAATTCCAGCTCCTTTACTTTATCTACCACACACCAGTAATGTGCCTGTCTTGTATTATAATGTACTTGTCAGTCTGGAAAGTTCTTCCGCTATCTAGGCACATAGCCCTAGTTCGACTCAAATGCCGACTAATGGAACTCTGAAAGTGAGGTTATTCAAACGACATGGATTTGATTAAGAGCTTATGCCAAGATATTCTATTTTGTTGAATCTTACCGGACATCTAGGTCAATGGATATAAGCCACACGGCGGCAGGGACTAACCCACATCTACAACCTCGTGAACGATGGGCTCATGTCAAGGATGCTAAACACAGGATAGAATCCGAAGTACAGGTTGTAGACTATCAATACTATCGATAACTTCCAAAAGGACATTGTCAACGGTAGCAAGGAGCTTTACAAATTCTTAACTAGAATCATCACCCCCAATGTGTTTCATGGGCGAACTATTCCGGAATTAACACATTTGCTTATTGGCTCCCGGTTTTTTTTAATTCCCGTTCCGTCTTAAAGTATTACCTGTAAAAAATGCTGTGCCACCAGGAGAAAGATCCAATGAACGTTGAGTGCTCATATACAGATACTCTATAAAACAGTCTAGAAGCTATTTCACGGGCGGTCGTTATCTAAACCCGGGGGGCTGGTTATCTAATTCCGACGGACCAAAATAAACTATTTTTTCAGTGATTTTTTTACGTAAAACGTTCTATAAAATCTTTTTTAAATCCGAACACGGACCGGTTTAATTACTTAATTTAGACTTTAGTTCCGGAGATAACATTAGTAAAAAATAATAATATTTTAACGGATAAGTGTCCTTTTGTTTTTTGTTTGCCGTTTAATTGTAAAAACGTTTATTCATTCATCTCGTTTCCCATTCATCACACAGACAAGTGGGACACATCTCGAGGGATAGATCAAAGGACAATATTTAATGTCTTTAGCAAAGTAAAGAAAACCCATTCGATTTGAATAAAAACAAAAACAACAACTAAGAAATAATATTAAAATTAATACGTTTGAAAAACTAAGCCAAGAAGGATACAAACTTTCAGACAGGGGTGAGTGTGTTCGTGTGTTCGTGTATGTTTTCTAAGTATGTAAGTATGTCTCCTATGCTTTGTGTCTCTATCCTTTTCTTTTGAATTCCGAATGATTAACAGTTACAACCTATAATATACATCTTACTAAAATTACTAATGAATGTGTAACCTCCATGTAAATTAAACGGTTCTAACAAATTAATCCCATTATTCCGTAAAATTTTTTTACACAATAAACTATAAACCGCATTCCGGAATTAGTTAATTCCGATGGGAACTTACTCTACTCATCAGCTATAAACCCAAGAATTTTATTTTAAATTTTAAATTATTTTTCATAAGAATTAAAAACATTTAGAAGAAAGAAGATGGAATGATTATTCTCTTCAAAGTTTATTTATTTAAATATTCTTCGTAATCCTTCTTCTTCTTTCTTTCTTATCAGTTGTTACTTCTTTTCTGTCTAACTAATCATCTAACTAATTCAGAGTAGCAAGAGCAAGAGTAAGAGTACGATGTCGTCAAGATCAAGTTTGTCATCTGCTACTCAATCTCAATTAGANAAGAGTAAGAGTACGATGTCGTCAAGATCAAGTTTGTCATCTGCTACTCAATCTCAATTAGATGATGATGTTATACAAGATTATGATATTACTTATGCTAATGAAGAAGAACGTAAATTACAATTAATTAAAACAATTTCAGCAATAACTCATGGAGATTTAGATAACCAATTAGAATCAATATCAAGAGAAATTAGTCGATCAATTACCAATAAATCAAATGATTTATTTCATTTAAAATTAGATGAATTTAATTTATCACGAGTATTAGCTAATTTAGTTTATTTTAGTAATAAACAAGGAATTAAATTAAGAAAATCAGGTGTTTCTTTCACTGATTTAAATGTTTATGGTATTGATGAATCATTTGCAATCATTCCCACTGCTTTAGATATCTTAAAGGGACCAATTGGTGCTATTCAAGCGGCAAGAGCCAAAAAACCAGTTGATAAAAATATCATCCGTAATGCAAATGGTTATGCTAAACCTGGTGAAATGGTATTGGTATTAGGTAGACCAGGAGCAGGTTGTTCTACTTTTTTAAAAGCTTTGAGTGGAACTGATTTTGATTTATATAAAGGTATTACTGGTGATATTAAATATGATGGTTTACCACAACTGGAAATGTTAAAATCGTTTAAAAATGATTTAATTTATAATCCTGAATTAGATGTTCATTTCCCTCATTTAACCGTTGATCAAACTTTAAGTTTTGCTATTGGTTGTAAAACCCCCAATATTAGAATTAATGATATTACCAGAGAACAATTCATTCAAGCTAAAAAAGAAGTATTAGGTACTATTTTCGGTTTAAGACATACTTTCCATACTAAAGTTGGTAATGAGTTTGTTAGAGGTGTTTCTGGTGGAGAACGTAAACGTGTTTCCATTGCTGAAGCTTTAGCTTGTAGAGGATCAGTTTATTGTTGGGATAATGCAACTAGAGGTTTAGATGCTTCGACTGCTTTAGAATTTGCTCAAGCTATTAGAACTGGTACTAAATTATTAAGAACAACTGCTTTTGTAAGTATTTATCAAGCTGGTGAAAATATCTATGAATTATTTGATAAAGTTACCGTGTTGTATAAGGGTAGACAAATTTATTTTGGTCCTGCTAACGAAGCTAAAGAATATTTTGTTAATATGGGTTGGGAATGTCCTGCAAGACAAACCACGGCTGAATTCTTAACTGCAATCACTGATCCAATTGGTAGAACCCCAAGACCAGGGTTTGCAAGCAAAGTCCCAAACACCGCTGAAGAATTTGAAGCATATTGGTTACATTCACGAGAATATGAACATCTTAAACAACAAATTGAAGTCTATAATCAAGAAGTAGACCATGATGAAACCAGACAACATTACTACGATTCAATCATGCAAGAGAAAATGAAACACACTCGTAAGACATCTCATTTTACCGTCTCATATTGGGAACAATTACGTTTATGTACAATCAGATCATTTAACCGAGTATGGGGAGATAAAGCCTACACAATCACCATAATCATCGCCGCCATTTCACAAGCATTCGTAGCTGGTTCATTATACTACAACACTCCCGATGACGTTTCAGGGGCATTTTCCCGTGGTGGTGTCATTTTCTTCGGGGTATTATTCATGACATTACTTGGTCTCGCTCAAGTTTCCGCATCCTTCTCCAACCGTCCTATCCTCATGAAACACAAAAATTATTCCATGTATCACCCTTCCGCTGACGCCTTGTCCCAATTCGTCATTTCCATCCCATTATCCCTCCTCACCAACTTATTCTTCGTCATCATCCTATATTTCCTATCCAATCTCGCTCGTCAGGCCGGCAAATTCTTTATATTTTACCTATTCATCATCCTATGTCAACTCACAATGTCAAACTTATTCCAAGCTGTCGCATCCCTCAATAAAACCATCTCGGCCGCCAATGCTTTCGCTGGGGTATTGGTGCTTGCATCATTGATGTATTCTAGTTATATGATCCAACGACCATCAATGCATCCTTGGTTCGAATGGATTTCATACATCAACCCTGTCTTGTATGCCTTTGAAGCCATTATTGCTTCGGAATTCCATGGAAGGAGAATGGAATGTGTGGTTCCATATTTGACACCCTCGGGACCCGGTTTTGAGAATTTAGCACCTGGGGAACAAGTTTGTGCATTTGTTGGAAGTACTCCTGGGCTGAGTTATGTGGTTGGAGATGCTTATTTGAGAATAGCGTTCGGATATGAGTTTAGTCATGTTTGGAGGAATTTTGGGGTTTTGCTTGCGTTTTTGACATTATTTTTAATTGTGAATTGTTTAGGTACGGAATTTGTTAGGCCCGTGAGTGGAGGTGGTGATAAATTGTTATTCCTTAGAGGGAAAGTGCCTGATCATATCGTGAAGCCTTTGCAAGGAGATTTGGAATCCGGGTCGGGTGGTAGTAGTAGTACTGAACTTGAGAAAGGTCCCAGAGTGAGTGAAGGTGAACAAACACCACCAAGTAGACAATTAACTGATTTGAGAGTGAAGGATATTTTCGTTTGGAAGAATGTTGATTATGATATTCCTTATGATGGTGCAATCCGGAGATTATTAGATAATGTAAGTGGATATTGTATTCCTGGAACTTTGACTGCATTAATGGGAGAATCAGGGGCTGGTAAAACAACATTATTAAATACATTAGCTCAAAGGATTGATTTTGGAGTCGTGACTGGTGATATGTTAGTTAATGGAGCTCCACTCGATCTGTCATTCTCAAGAAGAACAGGATATGTTCAGCAACAAGATATTCATGTTATTGAAGTCACCGTTCGTGAATCACTACAATTTGCAGCTAGATTACGTCGTTCTACCGATGTCCCAGATTCCGAAAAATTAGATTATGTTGAAAAAATCATCAATGTATTAGACATGCAAGATTATGCCGATGCCGTTGTAGGGAGATTGGGTAATGGATTAAATGTTGAACAACGGAAGAAATTATCCATTGCGGTTGAATTAGTTGCCAAACCTTCTTTGTTATTATTCCTTGATGAACCCACTTCTGGTCTAGATTCTCAATCCGCATGGGCCATTATCAAATTATTACGTGATTTAGCAAACGCGGGTCAATCTATCTTATGTACGATCCATCAACCCCTGGCCACCTTATTTGAAGAATTCGATCGGTTGTTGCTATTAAGAAAGGGTGGTCAAACTGTTTATTTCGGTGATATCGGTGATCATTCCAAGGTGATTCTTGATTATTTTGAACGAAATGGAGCTAGACATTGTGATGATCATGAAAATCCAGCAGAATATATCTTGGAAGCAATTGGGGCTGGTGCTGCTACAACAGTTGATCAGGATTGGTTTCAAATCTGGGAAGGATCTGCTGAGAAGAAAGCTACCGATGCGAAGAGAGATCAATTAATTGCGGAATTGACTGGTGGTTCTAATGCTGATGCTGGTGAGGTGGTTGAAAAAGGATTGACGAAGAAATATGCTACTCCAATATGGTATCAATTCAGATATGTCTGGCATAGGAATGCATTAACATTCTTCCGTGATCCAGAATATATCGCCTCCAAGATCTTCTTAATGACAATTTCAGGGTTATTTATTGGTTTTACATTCTTTGGATTGAAATATACTAGAACTGGAGCTCAGAATGGGATGTTTTGTTCATTTTTATCTGTGGTTGTAAGTGCACCTGTGATTAATCAAATTCAGGAGAAAGCAATTGGTGGACGTGATTTATTTGAAGTTAGAGAGAAATTATCAAATACTTATCATTGGTCTTTGTTAATTCTTTCCCAATTCTTGAATGAATTGCCTTATTTATTCATTGGTGCTGGTCTTATGTTTGTTTCATTATATTTCCCAACACAAGTCACGGTTACCCCATCTCATACTGGTGTTTTCTATCTTACTCAAGGGATCTTTTTACAAATGTTTGCTGCATCATTTGGATTAATGCTTCTTTATATTGCTCCTGATTTAGAAACTGGTGCTGTATTGGTTTCATTCTTTTATACATTTGTTGTTGCTTTCAGTGGGGTTGTTCAACCAGTCCATTTAATGCCAGGATTTTGGACATTTATGAATAAATTATCTCCATATACTTATTTCATTGGGAATTTAGTTTCATCCTTCCTTCATGGTCGACCAATTAGATGCTCAGATGAAGAATTAGCATTCTTCAATCCACCATCAGGTGAAACTTGTGGAGAATTCTTACAAGATTTCTTGAATGCTCAAGGAGGATATTTGATTAATCCAGATGCTGATTCTCAATGTGGATATTGTCTTTATAGTAATGCTGATGATTATTTAAAGACAGTTGGGTATAAATTTGCTTATAGGTGGAGAAATGTTGGGTTTTTCTGTGCTTATGTTTTGTTTAATATACTGATTTGTTTAATACTTTATTATTATTTGAGATATAAGAAGGTTAAATTGAATTTAAGTTTCTTAAAGAAGAAGAGTAGTTAGTTAGAGAGATAGTTGGTTTGTTGCTTGTGTTTTTTTGGCTTTGTTTTGTATATACTTCAGTTTATGATTAATATGAGTGTTTTATAGTATATTAATTGATAATAAATTGTTCTGAAATAGTCATGTTTGTAGAGTAAATCAATCCCATGGTAATACTTGAGAAGCTATGACTTTCAATTTAATAATGCCTATGGCATAATTAGACTCATTTCTTGTAACTTTCAGACTGTTCTACCACCTAATCTACATGTAAACAATTTGATGGGATGACCTATCACAGCTGAACTCTTTAGCAAACTAAGAATATGTGCGTATTTCATATTAGAGAGAACGAACAATAGAAATCCAATCAGTTGATTGTTGATTTTAATACAATAATATATCAGAAGTGCTTCTGGCTTTAGAGTTATGGATCATGAATTAACTGAATATGTATCATTATGAATACCCAGCTATCATATCTAACTCTCTCTTCGTTCCATTGGTAGCGTAACACACATACATAGAGAGAATAAATAAATACGGTGGTTGTAATTTAAAGGCTGAGTTCAATATTTTTTATTTAATTTCTATTGTTTGTTTCTCTTTCTCAAATATAAACCAACAAAACTTAAGGAGACGTAATTTCTTACTTGAAACTATTTAACCCCACCATCCCATCTTCCGATAGCTAACTTATAACAGACAACCATATCAGCTACCTATTATACCTCACTCCCCACATATATCACATCCACATCCACAACTTACCCAAATGCCACGACTCAACTCCGATTCAAGATTCATACCGATTTCAGGCATATCAACCACCACGGCCACCAATTCCATCTCTTCCCTCTTCAAACAAAAAGTATCCCAATTAAACAACCTCATCTACCACGCCAAATCATGGTATTCCCAACAATCGACCACCAAGCAAATCCTCATCCTAATCCTATTATGCATCCTATCAGCAGCAGGAATCCTTGTATTAATATTTCATGTCTATATCATAAAATTCCTCATTTATATCAGTGACGAAATCCATGAATCCAAATATGGACCTGTTTTATTATTCACGTTGGTCTTCATAGTTGGATTCCCACCTTTGATTGGTTTCACGGGGTTATCGATGCTTACGGGGATGGTATATGGATTCCCACAAGGTTGGCCCCTTTTAGCAACGGCATCGGTATCGGGATGTTGTGCTTCGTTTTTGGTGTTTAAATATTTATTACAAGCACAAGCCAAAGGGTTGGTTGAGAGTAATGAGACATTTAGGGCGTTTGCCGAGATTTTGACTGAGAGTAATAGCTTAGTGTTGTTGATATTGATAAGATTATGTCCGTTGCCGTATTCATTATCAAATGGGGCATTGGCTGCGATTCCGAATTTATCATTATGGAATTATTTTTGGGCTACTTTTTTAACCTCGCCGAAATTATTGATCCATTTGTTTGTCGGGAATAAATTGAAACAATTAGGTGATGAACATAGAAGTACTTCTACAAAAATGGTTGATTTGATAAGTATTTTAATAACTGCGGGTGCGGCTAGTATGGCAGCATATTTGATTTATTTTAAGATGCAAAAGAAATTGGCAACTTTTAGAAATCGAGAATATGATGATGTATTAATATTTGGCAATTTTGAAGATGATTTAGAAATGAATAGTACTGAAGTAGAATTAAATTCTGCTGATTTCGATACTGATAATTTTATCCTTGATGATGATGAATTCGAAGGTGATGACCACCTGACTAATGGAAAATTCAAACCTTCAGCAGCCAGAGAATCCACATTTGACATAAACGGAAGTAGTAGTTCATAGACTCACACACACTCTTCGCATCTTTTATAGACCTGTAAAATCGCATTATAATAATATAAAATGACATAAATTAATAATTAAAGCATGCACATAAAAAACTCTATATAAATAAACTACCACACTCATCCCCCCGGGGTTGTTCACTCCATGTTAAATATCCTCGTCCGTCTTCTCACCATTTTATCAACCCCACCACCTTCTCTTTCTCTATCCAACACCAAAATCTTCGCATCCTCCTCACAACAAATCTCCCCATCCACAACCCAATAATCCCCCCTTATCCTCCCCCGACAATTCCAACACTTCAAACAACCCAAATGCCACCTCTGTCCCAATTCATTCTCAATACATTCCCCTTCAATCCCAATCATACACTCTTCACATCTAGAGCCGTTTAATTCATGATAGTGTTCATAACAATATGGCATATCGGCCAAGACATACACCGCTACGGATTTGGTGAATTGGGTATTACAATTCGGATGCGAGCAGCGGAAACATCTCCGATGCCATTGTCCGGAGAGATCACCCGATTTGGAATAGATTGCCTTGTCGCTGCCATGGGATCCAGCTAGGATTGGTAGATGACAAGCACGACATGGACCTTGTCCTGCAGGGTAGATGATTGGTGAAAGTGGTGTTTCATCGGGTAGGTTGTCGATGTGGTGGGTTGGTTCATGGGGGATGATTGGAGTTGGGGTGGAGTCGAATTTTTCTTTGTTTAAGAAATCGGAGGGGGATTTATCGGTGGTGGTGATTTCAAAATTCATGTTTTTTAATTCTTGATCGATGATATGGGTTTTTGGTGAAAGTGGATGAATCAGCTCGTCTTCCACTTCTTCTTCTGCTGACCGTTCTTCCTCCTCCTGTTCTTCTCGGGCTAATTCAACTGACTTTGATCTAATCGAAAGCGGTTGTGTCAATTCCTCTTCCACCTCTTCCTCATGTCCATTCACCACAGGAAGTTCAACCTCACTCATATCCTGAATATTAAACGACGGCAAAAGTGGCACCACCCCGGCTCCCACCAATTTCCTCTCATCATCTGTAAACCCCTCTCCATCCTCCCCGTCTTGTCCACTCATTTTCAAACTCATCAATTGTCTCTCCAATTCCTTCTCAATCTCAGCATCCTCATCATATTTATCATCCCCCTCACTCTCACCCCCACTTGGACTATTTGATCTACTACTACTGCCCCCCTTAGAGATGATAGAACTCACCATTGATAATTGACTATTTCTAAAATTCAGCTGTTGGGTTGGCATGATTAATTTATTAGGATCATAGACTTGTTCGGGACTTTCACTAGTCTGTCTATCTGGACTAGTATACGCTGGTTGTTCCATATATGTCTCCTGATATTGCCTCACCTGCGGTTCATGATGTCGTTGGTATTGTTGTTGTTGTTGCTGTTGTTGTTGTTGTTGCACCTGTTGCTGTTGTTGATGCAGCTGTTCCACATCGGCTCTAAATTGATTTAAAGCATGGGAGAGTTTATCATCCCTCGAAACCCCTTGTAAGTCAGGATTTGTCGGAGAAGCCGGTAATTTCCCACTCGATGCATGTAATGATAAATTCGGTGAACTTGCCATCTTTAATGGATGATGATTGGGAAGATATGCCAGCGGCAGATTTGGGATTGACATGATATTCCCGGATGAATGTGCTGATGCTGGTGAGGCTGGTGAATATCTTCGGTGGGGTTGTGGTGGTTGTGGTTGATGATATTGATGGACGTGGCCCGAATAGGATTGACCAGTGAGTCGTTTTGATTGGTGACTATGAGAAGAGGACCCAGCCGAGGTTGGGGTTTGTTGATATCCTGATTGTGGATATTTGTCCGCTTGTGACCAATTCTGGGATGCGTTAGTGGAAGTAGTGTCAGAAATACTTTTGGCTTCTAATGTTGAATTACTATTATTATCTAAATCAAGGGTTAACTTTTTGATATTTTTAGAATTATTAAAAGTAGTTGGTTGAGGTAATCCAAAATCAAAAGTAGATTCAGAATCTTCTGGAATGCTACGATATGGTTGTTGTTGTTGTTGTGGCTGTTGTGGTTGAGCATATGCTTGTTGTTGTTGTTGTGGCTGTTGTGGTTGAGCATATGCTTGTTGTTGTTGATGATGATTGGTATAGGCATATGCAGGTTGTTGATGGTTACCATAACTCATTGATCTTTGTTCTTGATGGAGGAATGATGGTTGTTGTTGTTGATGATATGGTTGTTGATGGAGATGAGATTCTGAAACTGATCTATAATTCTGTTGTTGTTGATATGGCATTGAAGAAGAAGTTGGAGTTGGTTGACGAATATTTGAACTACTACTTCTACTTGCATCAATTTGTTCTTGTGGTCTATTAGTTGTATATACAGTACTTGTACTTTTATGCAAATTAAATTTTGAACTAAATGGCAGTGAAGACGATTGATTAGATGATGAACTAAATGATGCTGAAGATGAAGATGACTTCGGCTGTTGATATGTATGCTGTTGTTGTTGTAAATACTGTTGTTGATGTTGCTGTTGCTTGAATTCGTCTTGAGATTTTGAATGCATACTTTTATTTCCAGTGTTAGATGACCTCATTGAATAGTTATCTTGGTTGTTGTTGTTGTTATTAGCTGTAGTTCCGTCTTTAAATACGTCAAATCCTGCTCTTTCATAAACTCCTTTATATTTATGTTCTATTTTAAATGGAGGAAATGCTGAATCTATTGGTCTTGTTGGTTGTTGATTGTTTCTTAAATAAGTAGGAAATGATGACATCATATTTTATACACCCAGTGATGCTAGTTAATGATATTATTTGATTATTATTCTTCTTATAAAGTCAATTAGACTAATTGATTGGGGATCAATTGTTTTAAAACTCTTTTTACAACACTCAAGGTAAAAACCGTAAATACAAAGAGAGAGAGAGAGAGGGAAAAAAAATCCAAGAAATTTTTTTGGCTGAGTTTCTTCTTCTTTTAACAATTGACGAAATTAATAACAACCTTTTTTTATTTTTTAAAGTTACAGTTTAACTTAAAAGAGTTAAGAAATTTATTATGAAACAAACAAACTTATTGAATGATTTTATCTTTGTATTGGAATTGTATCCGTAGTGTAACACATATTATAGAGTAGCTCATATATATATAATATATACCTTAGATGTAAAAAGAGAAGAATAATAATGTAAGGATAGACAGAATATTCAACTAATTATAAATTCCCACGTGACTCCTTTATTGTTGTTTCAGACGTGTCTTATTTTTTTTTATTTTTTTTTTATATCTGGTAAAAACAGAATGAGATAAAAATAGAATAAATTTACATTGTACATTGTATTCCTTTCAAACAGTTATATACCTTTCTTAAGTTGTCTCAGCCTCACTATTTGCATATATAGTCTTAGCCCACTAGTTGTTGTTAGAATGTTCGTACTTGCATATATATATATATGGACTCTATATGTTAGTAATTCAGATTTTAAGCTGTGATAGTCAGACGCGTTTATAAATTTAAAGTTTTAAACTTTTTGTCATTTTTTAAAATGGTAGAAAGTTTAATTTAAAAATGACACACCACCCCTGTTTAAACCCTAATAAGACCCCTCTTGAACCAGAATCTAAACCAATTAAGTTATATATTATGTCACTACCAATACATTTATGATATACTTATTCCAATAATCGTACCCTTTTTTTTGTCTGGAGATTCATAAGAATAAAGAAGGATTAACTTTAAAAGGGAATACAAATCATTTGTTATTTATAGCATAGCAGAGAAATACACATATGAAAACCATTTTAGGGTTTATTGCATTTCCATATTTCCATATACTTTGAAATTGGATTTACTACCAAAAAGGTAAATAAAAACATTCTTGTTTTAATCAATTCAAAATTAAGAAGTTTTTTTTTTTGCAGCCAATTTAACCAAACAACGCGTATGATCTATTACCTCAGCCTTGAACTATACATTTACGAAATAGATTATAACCAAAGATTGGTCTAGCAACCAAAGTAATTCACATTTTTTAAATCATGTAATTAATCATTCTATTCGACTTCTTTGATCCACGCAAAGACTGACTTAAGATTTAGAAAAGGTTAAATTCCATGGAATTGGTTGACTGGTAACATCTTGAATCTATGTATCCAATTGAATAGAAGCTAAAATTCCCCCCACCCACTTCTGTTGAGATATTTGCTAATGCAAGACTTCTTACATGAAGAAATTAAGAGCTGAAGATTATTATTGTGAATGAAATTAATTAAGTGTTGTATTGTTTCAATATTGTAATAATTAAGTGTTGCGAATATGAGCAGTGTTTCAGTATTGTAGTAAAAAGTGCGTCTGGCAACAGCTCATGTTGATTAAATTAATTGTAGGAAATTGCAACGAGAAAATTTGAGTTTAAAAATCTGTGAGCTTTTCTAGAAAAGAGTTTTATTTGATGTTGTTTAAGTATGGATTTTAATAGATATTGAAGGGGTGTATATGTTCTTCGTTATCATCATCTTCAAATCCTGAGACAAGCAGTTCCATTTCCATAACTCCTTCCCCCCAAAAGATACCAACACATCATTCCAATGTAATACAGAGACTCCTAAACCTAAACCATTCAATGTATGGAGAGACAAACTTATTTTCGAGAAAAGCCCATTTCGTACTCATATTTCGGCTGTTCGAATCTAGCGAGGAGTTATACTAATTATTCCGGGAAATTTTGCTTGCCGATTTGTTTGTATTTACTTTAATGGCTACCCCTCCAAAATTTTAATCAACGACACCCTTCCCAGTTCATCTCCACCTCGGTAACCCCATCCTAATTCATTTACGCTTCATCCCCCCAGCCAACTCGTACCAATGGTCTTTAGTGAGTATAGAACCTAGTTCTGCTGGTCTTGGACTCTCACACTACTTATGTTGCTTCTGTCGTGCACTTAAGTGCCTATAAAAGGTTTTTACCATTTCTACAGAACGTTATGCCCTATATGTATCAGAGGGTCAGTATCAGTTTATAAATATTTTGTTTATAATTTTAGTGTATAATTTAATCGATACCCGTTTAAAGGAAAAAAAAATATGCCATAACCCCCACCAATATAAAGGCAAACTCTCTCGTTTTGGCGTGGCTTAATTCAAAGTTTTACCTAGGATGGTACAGGATTGATTGGTGCCTCCCCGACTCCCCATAGTCACTTGACACATTTAAATTACCGGGGAATCGCGGGCATTGAAGAAATATTTATTTTTTCAATTTCTATTAAATACGAAATCCACAAAAAAAAACTTTTTACATTTCCGAAATTGCATACAAATGGGCTTTTACAAATTAAATCCATAAAGGGAAAGAATTTTCCATTTTAGGACATGAACAATACTTGACAGCAGAGACAACAATGAGAGATCATACAATAACTAAATGTACGTGATGACGATCATTAAAATTGTTGGAGAGATACTGCAGAAACAATAGATCCCATTGTTTGTAGTTCAATTGTTTTGGTTGATTCACGA